GCGTGGAATGCGGAGAGCAGCTAAGTGTCACGACGGCCGAGTGAAGTACTGAAAGTGGATATATGAGCGCACCAATGGCGACAGATCTCAGCCATGCAGAGTCAGAAGAGAGGTCTTTTAGCTGACGAGAAGCTTCGATGTGCTCGCAGATAAATCATTTGTGAAAGTACAAACATCTCCTTTCGCTTGCGACCAGGAGGTACGAAGAGTCGAACTTTCACGCAAAGGCGGCCTCATGTGAAGCGCCAAGAAAGTGCAGGGCAGCCTACTGGAGCTGGGTTTTATTGAAGCTTGTGGACGTCGTGGTAACTGGGAGCCATCTCAAAAAAACGACTATCACTGAGAGAGGTGGTAATTTCAGTTTAGCGTTCTGAATCATTGACTTCAATGTTCTGGGCTTTGCGAAGCAACGGGGACTGAGGAACATCGTGCAATAACGTCTAAATTGTGACTTTCAAGATTGGTAGACAGTCCGCGAATGCGAATAGAATATTTGTGCGATTTGCGATGGATATACTGATAAGAGTAACGAAGGTTATGTCAAGCCTTAAACGCAGAGACTGGGCTCTGAGAGTGCGTGACTTTTTCTCGCCCTGGACCTGGACTCGAGACAAAAATTGCAGTCTAGGCATGGAACGGTTTGAACCCCATGAGTCAAGGGTAGACTTGAAGCCGTATGGCTGTGTAGACTAGCATTTTTCTAGTGGAAATTTGGCAAGTCGTGAGCCTATCACTGCCAGAAAGCTTTTGCGTAAACACGAAGCTGCGATAATTTCCGTGCAGGACATTGAATCGACGATTTTGTTGACAACATTACTGCTTATGCATTAAGCAGCGCTCGAGCTGGAAGCAACACTAAGTCATAGTCCCAGATACAAACAGAACGGCGATTATATTTTGCGGTCTTCAGCTTCAAGGTTGTTAAGACGGGACAGAACGACTGTAAGTCGTGATACCAGGGTGTTTGCTTAGTGGGACAGTAAAGAACAGCTGTAAGCTGTTGTCTCTTACTTCGATGTTGATCAAGAGTAAATGCGGTTGTTTTTTGCCATTCCTCAAACCAGAGTCGTCGGTTTCGAAGGCGACCTTTAATCCCGGGTAGACGGGCTAGTCCGTAAAGATAAAATTATTGACTCATCCTCGACATGATGTGACGGTACTGCCGAGTCAGCTTTATTGTGTGATCGACCCACCATGCAGAGCAGAAGAACTCTTCGGGAAAGAGGCGAGAGAGATTTTTCACTCGTGCATGATTGCCCGGGGTGGCCGTAGATATTGTAAGCACTTTTCTTTAACTTTGGCTAAAACTGCAATAGAGCGGGTATAATATGTGTTAGGGATATGCGTAAGAAGGTGCTGGCCGGTGAGGTAACCGAAATGATACGATTTATAACTTAGGAGATGCTGAGCTTGTCATCAGACAAAAATCTGTCATCAAGGACACTTGCAGAGCACTGAGATCGAGGTGAGAGTCAGCTATCCTCAAGGAGCCTACTATATTTTAACGTTTGTTGAAGAAATATCTCGGCGTAGCAACGAAATACTCATCACGGGTCAACGCTGGATAGAAGTGCGTCATGAAATCGACTTGATTTTTGGAACCAAATACTACATCACACAGCGATGGCTTATAGCAAGGAAATGATGCGACTTTATTGACTCTCCTATCTTTCGTGCGAAGCACAATACGGGTTTGTTCTTAAACAGAAACGCTTGCCACTTAACGCCAAATTTTCGTGTCAGAAAAGCTTACGAATGCTTATAATAAACCAGATACGGCTGAGACTGCAACGCAGACGCCAATCCTAGGAGCGGATGTGATGCATTACAACATGGTCGGCTATACTCGATCAAGTAACGTTGACCTATTTGACGATTACTATCAAATATTGGATGATTTCCTCTCGCTACGGTGAGCTCTATGAGCGGGGGTGCTATGGGGGTGGCTAGTTATGCACAGGGATTGTCTAACGGGTAGCGACGTCCAACTGTCTGATGACGTAGCTATCTACGCCAGATTGTGGCTTCGCATCAACTTATACTTATTTCGATGACGTATCGCCTTGATTGGATATAGAGATCCAAACTAAGTACTTGCGAGCAGTGCGTAAGTGTATGTACTTTCACAGCAATTCGTCAATATAGACAGGCGTGGCTTTGGTGCCAACGAAGTTCCTTTCTGGTTTGCATCAGCGCCCATGGAAAACAGCAAAATAACGCTGAATGCAGTGAGCGCACCTTCCGTGGCGAACGGCTCCGAGTGAGAGCGGAAATGTTGGTTGGGACCCGAGAAGTCACTGGGACCATTTCTAACTGAAAATACCCCGCCATTCACACCAATTATTTTAGAAGCGTCAATCGCCGATAATACTTTTGGCTGGGGTTCGTTAAGCTATCAAATTTGGTACTGTCGAGTGGACTTCTGGTTACGATCAAAATATACACGCTCGAGAGCACGGCACGACCTGATCAATTAATCAATCCAATCCAATTAGATTTACTCTTCTTCTCTGCAATCGTTAAAATTGTCTTACAAAAACAGAGCCCCCTTTGATTTATTTTGTCTCACAATTATACATCGATGACCCCGGCTTGCGTTTGCAAACACGGCTATAATGTCGCATTCGTTGCCTACACAATGATTCTGTTTTGTCTAGGCACTTTTATCACTATAAATATGATTTAGTCAACATAGTGACCTCTATCCAATGTATGCTCACAAATAAAACTTGTATCCCAGTGGCTGTTAAGGTGTCCGTCCAATCGGGTGACCCACCCTAGATGTTTTTTAAATTTTATTTTGTGCCCATATGTCGTTCTACTGGCGTGAAGAACGTTCTAGCAGCTTACTATATGATCGCAGCGCGTGCTCTCACGAACATCATATCGAGCTACTATAACGTGCTAAACGCTTCAATTGATTTGAGTTCAAGTTTCTGTTTTCTGTATTCCATCAAAAGTTCTCGTTAATCCTGTAACACGCCTTGATTCTCGTCATAAACGACTTTTCGTGTCTTGCTTTAAAATAGTAATATCGAACAAACCTTACCTTCTCAGAAATATTGTTAGATCTTCGACCTGTCACCCATGGTGAGCTAAATAATTGGCCGTCTATTCATTATCAGACAATCACTTATTGCAGCCTCCAGTAGTTATGTTGTTACTGATGTTTATTTAACGAAATAATCAAACTCAAATACCGACGTATAGCCAACTTAATAATCAAGCAGTGCATTATATGTTTCACAAAAGAAACCCCAACGAATAGTCACGATAGAACTCTCGTACGGCCTCCTCGTTCCGATTTGTTTCAGCCAGTAGCGCCATAAAGTCAATACTCTCGACAGCAAGAAGCTCTAATACCTTTGCTTCATCCTCGCACAAAACGACTGATGCCAGAGTAGAACCAATTAGCTTTGCAGCCTTTCCATTATAGCGCAAATGATCCGTCATTGCTACAAGTTGCGGTATTGTAAGGCAACCAGATACCACAGAGGGTGCAACCATCTCACTTAAGTACGGCAGAGTCTTGGGAATATCAATTTCAATTTCCTCGGTAAACTCCAGTACATTCTGAAGTGCACTCTCCAATGCGGCACTAGTTACAATCTTGCGGTCATATAAGCCAGCCAAGAAGCTTGCAACTGCCTCTCGCTCCTTCTCCCCTCTTTCAAGACCAATATTTAATACCTTGTTAGGGATTAGATTGTAGTGAGTCGCAGCATTTAGCTCCGTCAAACTTGTATATGCTTCCTCCAGGTCTTCCAGCTCAACATACTCGTCCAGAATAGCCTTCACCTTCTTCTCAAAGGCTTCAGCTGTCATCGGTGAAACAGACGTCACCTGTGATGTCTTTTTAGGTCTAAGAGATTCACCACAGCTTGACTTGGCCGAAAAAGGAGTTGGAGGGCGACCAATGTCTTCACGACCACGTGAAACTCGCATAGACGACGAGCTGTTGCTACGACTACGCTCCTTACGTCCAATGTCATTGCCACTTAATGAAGCAAATGTATTGCTGTTAGTAAGACGAGAATTGCTCGGATGGCGAAGGAGACCACCCGACGATGGGGCCGGGAAACGATCTGAATTACTGCGGTGTTTCATACCTTTTGAACGTGGTCCACCCGTGACTGTTTCCCAACCATCTGCATCCACTGAAGCAACACCGTTACTATTGCTGTTGCTGGACAAAGGTGTCGAAGTAGCAGAAGCACGTGCCTTCCAGGCTGACGCGCCACCGCCTCCACTACTTCGTCTTCGATCGTTCGAATTAATTGAGCCAGTGGAATTCATCGAGTGACTGCGTTGAAGCCGAATGTGGCTTCCAGACTTGGTACTGGATCGTTCCTTTTCTTTTGCTTCCCGGGCAACCTCAGCGTGCACCTCGGCAATTGTCATAGCTTTGGATTCCTTACGTCGGGCAACCCATCGATTCTTTCGCAAGTCCAGCAAATCCTGAAGCATAAAGCGCACACGCGTACAAAGCAATTTGGATTGTCCACTCAGCTTTCTAATCGTAGTATAGTATCCGGAAATGTGTTCTAGTTCCGCCTGTTCTTTGGCATTCGCTTCGAGGGTTTGTCCAATTGTACTTAACAAATTACATAAACATTCGAGCGATTCTTCATCAGGGGCCGCAATGTCACCAAATAAGATACTGATGCACTCGTGCATGATTCGGGAACTCAGCATTCGCTGCTTAAAAAGTTCGCCAACAAAGCGAATATGCCCAAGAGAAGCGCGTTTAAGAATTAATTCCTTTTCAAGACGTTCTGCTTCGGCCATGTCATCTAATCCTTCAATCTCTGGCTTGGCTTCAAATTCTTTTTGGCATTGTTGCAACAGCAGCTTTCGAAAAAGCTTGTGCGTATTTGTAACCACTTCACCTTCCTCCAAAGTGATCGCAGGCATGGCCGTCTGAGCAATTTTAGCACAAAGTTCAGCATACATGGTCGAAAAATGCCATTCCATCTGTGCCTTGGCAATCACCATCTCAATCACTCCTTTTAAGACATCCAATCCACGAACAGCAACCTCAATCAGTTGATCCGAGAGTTTTTCAAACTTTTCAATCGACAATTTGTTTAAAATGGACTTGGCTTCTTTTAGAGACGCCTCGACAGTCTCAACCGGTTCATCGAGACGAGACTTAGCGTGTGATGGCTTCCATCGAGTTTCCTCGTTAATATCAAGCGGTGCACAGTCTTCCAAAGCAGGCGCAGTCTCATGATGGCTACGGTCGCCGCGTCCTGCACGAACTCCACGGCTACTTCCACGCTCCCGCCGTCCACGACCTTCACCAGAGCTACTACTGCATTGACGACTCAAAGACCGCGACGAGTCAGTGCGACGCACGTCTCTGCTTAAAAAATCTGAGGCAGAAGCTGAGAGTGCCTTAGTCGACTCGTCTGCAGCAATACAGCTTTCTTTGACGCTCTCCGGCATTATACACAGTTCGATTTCTGGCTCCATATCGAGCAGTTGTTGAATGGTGTAAAGTATACGCTCACCGATCATGACCTGCTCCGTCACTATTTCTTGTGTCTCTCTCTCGGTCTTGGGCTCTTTAGTGGTCCCGTTATCCTCGAACTCGACATTAATATCGTGTTTCTGCTTCTCTTCACGCTCAGTTGCCTCTACTTGGATTTCAGGCTTCGCGTCATCCTTAATATCGTCAACCTCTGGCTCGGAGGCGTTCGAAGAAGCAGCTGACGTCGCTGGCGTCGATACAGAGTCGGACAACGTAGTCGTCACTTCATTTTTCTTCACAAGGTTCGTAGTTGTGGTCGACATTACTGTTTCAACACTTTGAGTTGATTTCGGGGGCGCTTGCATCGAAGCAGGCACAAAAACTGGCGCCGTGACTATATAGCAGCAAAGGAAAAATATCAGAATTGCTTTTCTTCAAGTGATTTTGTCGCAAACAGCTTACAGGAAGGCACAAAGGGCTTGGCCGATAGCTTCAACTGGCTCGTTCTGGGGATAGGCGGCGGTGTAGCTACTGCCGACGGGATCCAAACGGGGGCAGCAGTATTAAATACGAATTCTTTAGCAGTAGGGCGCAACTTTGAAGAGCTTCCAGAGACGCCCACTTTTGCTTTCATGTCCAGTGTGGCACCATTCTCGGGTCGCGTTTCCGTCATGATACTTCAACTCTTAATTGTGTGTTGACGTATTTGAAGAATTCTAGCGTATAGATCGAAGTAACACAAAGACGCACAGGCACGATGCTCAAATTTACCTAGGAACGCAGACCGCGAATGCTCAGTAACCACAACAATGTTTATTGCCGTTAGGTATTTCATTGGTTAAAAGGTATTGACTGGTGGTGACTGCGAAAAGTGTGGGCCACAACAGCAAGGGGAAAATCGTGGTCATTAATTAATTATATATTGTAGTATCGATTTTTGAAAATTCATACATTCGGAAAATAAAGACGGATGTGAAGCAAGAGAATTTTTTCACTCGTGAATGAAGTAACCAGGTCAGTCGTAGAGATCGTTTGTCTCCTCTCACTAAATCTGGCAAAAGCTTCTTTGAAGCAGAAAACATATCTGGGGGCATGTGTAAGTTTGTGCAAGATAGTGCAAGATAGTGCAAGACGGTGAGGTCACCAAAATCGCAGAGTTGATAACTCGAAAAAAAACTGACCTCATCCCAGACATCTGTCATTGCGGATACCCGCAGAGCACCAATAACGTTACCGCTTTTCTATTGTTTGCGAAGAGTTGTCTAGACGAGGTGACGAGATATTTACCACGCGTTTATTCCTCGTCGTGGAATATATATTGAACCCAAAAGTAACTATTGCGTTACATAGCAAAGCTCATACCAAGGGTGTAATGCGACATCATTGACACTTTTGATCGTGCGAAGCAAGGTGCAGGTTCGGTCTTTGATAGTAACTCTTCCTACTAGGTTCGAAAATTTCGTAAATAATGGCTTACGGTAAGGGGCAAATTGTGCACGCTTATAGTAGCTGAGAATGCAACGCGAATGCCAATTTTAGGAATGGGTGTGCTGTATAACATCATGGTTGGCTGTACTCGGTTCAATGGCTTCACCTTGATTGACGATTATCAGCAACTGCTGACTGATGAGAAAGAGCAATACTGCGGTGAGATACCTGTGCGGGGGTTCTATGGGAGTGGCTGACTATTGTACAGGGACTGTCTTGTGCAATAGAGACGTTCAATTAGCTTGTGGAGCAGCTGACATGGCCTTATCATGGAAAAGCACAAATTTTTATGATATGTTTGTCCTGTTCGAATATGAGATCCACATTAATCACTCGCGCGCAGTTTTTACTTTAACAGAAGATTCACTTAAGTAAACGAGTGTATCTTTGGCATCGAGTAATTTTTCTTCTGGGTTGCATCATTCGAAAGCGTGACCACAGACATATTTCGCAAAGATAAAGGCCAACGTAGATTGACCGATGCCTTTGCTCCAAATGAACTCGAGGAATTGGTTTGGCCTAGCCAACTACCTGCACAAGTAGTGCGCATACTTAGACGACCTGACACAACCCCTCATCAAATGCCTCGAAAGGGTGTGAAGTGCATTGGGGTGCGGCGGATAAGGTGGCTTTTGGGGCTGTAAAAAAAGGCTGCATTGGTTTCTCCGACTCTCACTCTTTCAAATCCAGATCGGCTTTTTCACGTCATCTGTGGCGCCTTATCCCTCGCAGTAGACTGCGCATTGCTTCAAGTCGATGCCAATGGGCGTGAACGCGTGATCGCGTTTGAGTCTCGCTAGCTGAAAGTTGTTGAAATGAACTATCCTGCTCGTACCAGGGAGCTTGTTGCAACAATGTTATGGCCTCGTCAAGCTGAGGCTGAATCTAAGCCGTTCAGTCTGTACATATTACTGGACATTGCGCACAATGACGTCGTTAACATAGCTCATACAATGAACGGCGAAATGGGTATGTTTGTTTGCTTAAAATACCTTGGAGATAAGGTATAAGCTGAGACAGCTTGATGAGGTAGTGGATACGTTTTCGCGCCGCCTAGACTATGAAGTGGCACATCACAGCCGTGACGTCACCAATTAACGAGGTAACATGTTAAGTATACCGGTCGGACGCAACAAGTGATTTGTAAACAGAAATTTGAGAGCGCAGATGCCGCTGCATTAAAGCGCGCGGTTGCACGCTTGCACCGCTATGCTTTTTTCAGGGCTCACTATAATGCTTTTTTCAAGGCTCGCTATATTACAGCACTGGCCTACATGATACTCATCATGTGGTATGAACAAAATACCGAAGAAGGCACACAATACCCCTTTTGAGTGTCTATCATGAAAGAGGCATAATCTTTGGTGAGCGCTATGTATTCGCAGCCCAATATGTATACGTGCGTAGGGCATATGCGCGCACAAGTGAAACGTGTCCAAGAGCTGAGTCCTGTCGTATGCGGCGACACCTTGGCCAGCCTGTCAGCTCTGGCGACCATTTTGGCCTTCCTAAGAAACGCGTCCAGCCATCAGTATTGTGGCTTTTTATGGACCGTCTGGGTTGGATGGCTAATCTCGCTGCTACCGCAATTATGTGGCCGGTGAGGGTACTGCTAAGTTTTTCCTCGAAAGAGTATTTCGTTGCCATGGCTCGTCGATAGTCATCGTATCGGATAGAATCGACGCATTACGGTGAAGTCTCGACAGAAAATTCTCAAGGTGTTCGGCATTAGTTTAAAATAATCAGCTATTGACCATTCGCAGATATGGAACGCGAAAATAGCTTCGTGAAGGAACTTCTTCTGTGCTCTTGTACATTAAGACTGCGAAACTGGAGTAAATTTTTCCTTCTCATTGACTTTGCACTGAATAAGGCCGTACATGCCTCAACAGGCTTTACCCCAGTCTACATATTAGTTTGGCGAACCCCCGGGTGCCTTCGACTTCGCCACGAAGTGTATCTGATCTTATTAAGGAGGGGCAGTCAATTAAAATCGATTTGCTGATATCAATCCGACCACACTTCAAATCAAAATAAGCAATTTTATGAATAAATTTTCATGTGCAGTGTGCACGACACTATGGCTTAGCGCCGAGACGCGCAGATATCGGAGACAGATAAGAAAATCCGCAATCATGCTGTGAGATGGAAAGTAATACTGGACTCTATAAGCCTAGCACACTCTCAGTGTCTGTGCCCGCGCCACATCGGACCGTTCGCGGTCGTAGCAAAAACGAGATTCAGTTATCTCTTGTTATTCCATAACGAATGCAAAACATCAAGTTTTCATGTGAGCTTACGTGCAGCGGGGCTGACTGGCTCTTTGCTTAGAGAAAGCTAAGCTAAGGTCACCAACCTTACGTTCTTGATAGGAACCAGTACGAGTGCAGCGGATCGCGATCCGCTGCCTCCGAGAGTACTTTAGAAACTCAGCCAAGGTAGACTCTTCCGCTCAAAGTTAAAGCTGTATTTATTTGTTTTAGTTGCGGCAGAGCCGCTAATATCTAAAACCTTAGGTTTTAATACAGTAATACCAAATTGAATCCTAATTGATATGCGTTACTACTAGCAGTCCGGCCACGTAGTGGCTTCTTGTTACTGTGTTGCCACAACATTGTGTAATTACATCAGCTTGTGTAGTCCACACCTGCGTACGGTTACACCATCTTGTGTGACTCGCCCTTTCATACAAGGGTACGTGTAACCCCGTTCCATCACCGTTGTGACATGAGCAGGCTCATAGACCTGTCTGCGTGACAACGCATCAACCAAAGCATTCTGCTTTCCTAAATTAAGTCAATCCCACTCGTATGAGCCAGTCGGACTTGAGAATCTCTGCCGCAGACAAAGCCTAGCATCTACCTGAAAGCGGCGATGAGGCTCTGACATGCTGGATATGGGCAGTGTTATGACGAAGGTCAGAGGGCAAATCTAAATTATGACTTGTTTAACCATACGATGCATACCGGGACTATCGGGTAAAGTCAATGTTCGACACGACTAAGAGCACTCGAGAGCTAGCCGCGAGAAAGTCGACATCACCGGCACAGATTGATAATAAAAAGGCGGCTCACATTCAAGTGTTACGTCAGGCGAGTCGACGGGTACATTAAGGATTCTGTTGAAGTGGAATTTTTATCCTCCGTTTGAATTCGCCGAAGCTTGATTTAATACTTCAGAAAGATTGCCCTAGTGCCGTTGCCGCTTGCGATTTGGGGCACCCTCTGCCTGAGAAGAGGCAGAGTCACTCGTCGCAGCTCTGCTTCCAGCCCGTGGGAGGTGATTGAAAGAGATAATTGGTTGGTGGCCATTACATTTGCCTCATAGAGGGGAGCGGGACTGTTAACATCCGGAGCTTGAGGTGTTGAGTTATCACCTCGATGTCCGGCGTCGTGCTTTGAACTGTACGTAGTCAAGCATATAAAAATGTTGTAGGCAAACGACCGCTTTGCTGGAGCTGGCTTGTAAAGTATTTAGACGGGTCAGGCGGCGTGCTTCCCTCTTTAAATGCGTGATCTGAATCATTCAGTCAGCTGCACTTTGATCAGCTTCTAGTAATAACGTACGTTCCTTCTAGATGGAACGGATTTCCCAACCGATTTTCTAATCCCAAACGACTACTCTTGGAGATGGTGATCAGTGGGTCTCGTGAAAATGATGACCTGTAGGTTGAAAACGCTTCCGCAAAGCCATTTCCCCTTAAAATATGAGCGTACGGTCCACACAAACCGGTGTGCAGGACCCACACACCAACTGCGAGCAAATTTGGACGCTTAAACCGTAATCATGACGTGCTTGGGGCTAAAGTCAGTGTGGCTCTTTTATTAACAGAAAAGCAAGCAAGGTTCCTTGAGCCAGATTCAGCTCGCTGGGAAAGAGCAGAACATCGCTGGTGTGTCAAAACACTCCTGCCAATGGGAATAACGAAGCGTAGACAATAACTCGTGTATAGAGGAAGCGTAGCGTACTGAGCGCCTCCTTTGTGGGGATCGGTTAAGCCTTGTATTGCCGGGTGAGGGCGGAGATGTTTGGCTGAGATTCAGAAAGCCAGTGGTGGTCATTCTCATATGATACTGTCTCAGCATTCTCACCAAAAAAGTTAAGCGCGCCGGGCGCGAAAACCGCTCTGGTGACGGGGACCCTTTAACCACTAAAATCGTTCACGAAGGCAAAAATCTCATCAATGCAGTTACGGTAAAGAGTAGTGATTGTAGTGGTACCCAGGCGCAGTGGGTGTTCGTGGAGCGGTCAGTTTTGCGGGGAGTCTTAAATAGACAAAGTAAATGTGAGCCCTACTGCATCCCACCTTTTAGTAGAAGTCGGCAAGTGATGTAATCGTGTGTAGTTAAGCCTATCCCATTTAGTAGGCGCGGGACGCCGTACGGGGAATAATTGAGTTTGGTCGAGCCTCAGAGAGGTAGCGGGCAGCAAAGCCCAGCCTCATTTCGAAGACAGAACGTGAATGAAAACCGGGCTTGCTGGTTGTGGATGCGATTATGAAGGGCTTGAAGACGCCAAGGAAGATTTTTATGGACTCCATGGTGTCGAGCATAATTGCTCGACGCTCCTCGATGGAAGAAAGCCAGCTGTATGCTGAGGCGCTGAAGGCGCGGTTAGATAACACCGTCACTGTTCGCTTAGCGACGGGGACATGTGTCACGGTGCTGAGGGCCCCTGTGGACCTCGGTGTCAAGCTTCTTGACTTTGATAGCGTGAGACGCTGCTTAGTCTTAGACTTGGATTCAAGATTTGGGCTCATCCTTGGCATGGCATGGCTAGAACACCATGAGCCATCAATCGATTGAAGGTCGAACACCGTCGGGATTACGCGCAAGTCTTCTGGTGGAGCTTTGGTGAGTCATGAACCCACCTCTACTAGGAGGCAAACGCTACTGGTGCGGTCACGGGACCGGGACGGTCAACGTGCTGGAGATCGAAGTATCTGAGTTGGTGAACACCAAAGGGTATCGGACAGGAGCTCCGAGCATGGCTCGCGGGCTGAATGTGAAGTGGAACGTAACCCACTGAGCGCTGCTTAAGCATTCGAGCAATCGCTGCATGCCATGCGTGGCATGATCGGCTACCAGACCAGGCTTCCTCTAAGTGACAGGGCTACGGCAGTCCCGCTGCAGCTCTCCAGTCACAGGCGGTTATTCTGAGGTGTGGTGACTCGTAGGGTCAGAAAACAATGATGATGCGACTTTCTGGCACTCTTTACACTCTCTATTCGAGCGATAGGCCCGCACTGTAGACATTCAAAGATTCACCACGGCGTGGTAGCTTTTTATTAAATATATAATCACAATATGATAGAGCATGCAAAATTTATAAAGTTTGTTTTTTGCAGGCGTTAAATTGGCTCGCTGACCAAGGTCCGGCATACTAGCAACAAACTGGACTCCGTCATGAGTTCCGCGGCAAAGACTCGTAACTCTTTTCGTCTACGACATGAATGCATATTTTAAATGAGGAGAATAATTTGACTTTCTCACAAAGAATGGCCTCTGAGTTGCTACCACGTCTTATGGAAGGACCGTTGAGCAAATTAAAATAAAACCCTTTATGCAGGTATGCTTGCAGGAGCAGGCATGGTATGGGCTAGTGATGAAGAATTCAATCATGCGTAATGGGTGCTTGCTGCGCAATGTTTTAGGAAGGTTGTGAGTGTTAGTGTGGACCACATTTTGATGGTAATGGATCGAACAAGGAAGGCATGTACTATTATATAAAGACGAATTCCAACACTCGGTAGTAGCAAAGTACTTGTACTGACGATGACGATGATATTCACTTAGGAGGTGCATTTTGGACCTGACACAACCACATGACAATGATACCACTTTAGGTGGGTCAATTTATGAATTGCTGAGATGCTCGCCCTAACAAGTTCAATCGAATCGGTCATTGAATATATAAATCGGAAAAGAAGGTGCTTCAAAAATGATCCAGCACAAGTACAACAAGTATGAGCATACAGGATGCTTTTAGTCAAAGAGTCTGCTTTAGCAAACCAACGATGTGTATGGAGCAAAACAAAAAGCCCTAATTGTACATTTAACTGGTTAGCTCTGTTATTTCAAGATTGACAGTCATTAGGATCTGTCCGATTTTACTGGTATTGAAAATTTCGTTATATCATACTCAACAAAAAGGCGTCTTTTGTGCTTGACGTGAGCATAGCACTCCACGTGTACCATGAACATTTTCTTTACGGAATTTCATAATGTTTAATCGTATCAATTCTTCAACACTTTTGGATATTCACAATAACACACAAATGTAACGCGAACCTCGTACATCTGAGCAACAGTGTATGTCATAAACGTGCAGGCTATTCACGTCATCTGCAACGCTCCGGCCCCTCGTATAGGCTGGATTTTGCTTCACGCAGATACCCCAATGGCATGATCATAATAGAAGTATGTCTCGCCAGCCTAAAGTCATGATAATCAAGCTGATGACATAGAGCTACCTGCCATGTTGTATATGTCAATTTCAGGCGACACCTACTGGGTTGAATTGATTTGTGATGATTACAAATCACACGCCATTTTGCACACCTTCGCCGACTCGATATCGCTCTGAGAGACGATAAAGCTTGCCGAGTATAACTCACATCAAAGGATCCTGGTGGTAGGTTATGTGTGGCGGCTACGGTGTTGCGTACGTCGGTAAGCTTTATCTCCAATCGCTAGTGTGACACGAAAATTCGACGATGATATCCGTATGTCATACAAATCAGACGCAACGGGTGCTGCGCAATTGAAACTTTCGGAAGGCTGATACCATAAGATTGCTTTTCTAAGCGTTCACAGGCGCGCTAACACCGCTACAATTCATGCTATATTTACAGCACATATTCAATACGATGCACAATGTGTTATAATAAAAGTTTCGTGAAAGGAGTATAGTTCAGAGAGTGATGGATCAATATGTACACTCCTATGGGTACACGTGTAGAAATCATCAACAGACAAGTCTCACACGTGCGACCGCATGCTCTGGCCTCTCCCACCAGTCATGACAAAGTGCCGACAATCTACTCATGTGACACTTTATCTCTTACTAGCAACGCTTTCTCAAGATTCGGGATGCCCGACTCTTTGAAAGTCGGCTGGGCAAGAACGTTTGCCTTGCTAATGTCAGCGACATCAGTCAATCTTACGTCCCCTGCCTTGACACCTATAAGCAAAATGATTTTTGTGAGCGAGATTGACTTGCTGTATTCAGGACGACTAGCAAAATTGATGTATTATTTCTCAGCGACAAATCCCGTTCCAACATTTTGATTAGTTTGTACTTCGAATGTATATATACAAAAATTCGAATTTGTAATGTGGTTTCCAGTAGAAAAGATTCTATGATTTTGATATAGACGAGATTGTGATAATTTTTTAAAAATCGTTTCGTCTCGTTTTGTGCCGATATGGCCGAAAGCTGAACATTTAAAAGTAATATAGATGATAAAGTCTGAGTAATTTTTTATATATATGGTTAGTAGAGAACTCCTATTAAACGCAGTTAATCCAGCTGCCCTTTCAAGTCCTGTAACGTCTAAGCAATTGCGCCGTTGCGCCCTCGAAAACTTAACAATTGCAGTCACCAAGAGCTAGATTTACGCGCTTGACATCCCTATGAGGATCTAGGAAGTAAATCCATCTCAAAGCTCAGTCTATCCATTCTTTGTTCTTGCTTCGATGAGAAAGCCCATACGAGGTTTGTATATGACAAATGAGCACCTCAGCGATGGATATAACCGGATACCTTCGACTCCAAAGCCTTGATCCGATTGAATACCTCTTGAGTGCCTCAAGCCAATTGCCACAATAGTATCGTTCGAAGAGAAATAAGCGCTAATTAACAGACTAAATACGATGAGTTGCCTATGCAAACTACACATCCTTATCTTACCCGATGAAAAGGCCTACTCTCATGTGCACGCTTGTTGATACACTCACTATAGTCATTCCCAGAATCTGGTACCCAGTCCCCCTTTTGAAGGATCTTGGAAGATTGAAGCACCACTTTAGCAAAATCACGTTGCATTGCTGCCGATGGCCATGCAGTATAGCCACTAAAATCGCTTTTCTTGGGTAAGCAACACATTTGTGCGCTGCAACCTGTATTAAGCTCATAGCTTCGACGCCATTTTTGTCAGCAGAATCATGGCTATAAGCATGGCTGGTGTCATCATGTAAGGGAGGCGAGGTTAAGATTTTCGTAAACATCGACTTCACGTTTTATACTTAACAATCTCAAGTGATAAGCAATAGACATTCTTGCTTCGACAAACTTATTAGGTAGCAAGATTGACAAGACGAGGATCGTACCTCGCCATACTCTATGAATCATATAATCTTTAGTACTATTACCAAGAAGCAGTACCAAGGCTATTTACTTTCACAGAGGGAACTCACCGCAGCTGATCAAGCAAAAAAAAACAATACTTTCAAGGTGTTGTGATGTGTGCGGTCAGAAAGAAGCCAGAAGTCTTACATTCGAGCCTAGCTTGAAACGTGCTCAAAATACAGCTACGATCTCACCCACGGCTAGTTAAACAGCTTGCATCGGATTGTGTTGATCAAGAAACTGCTGTAACTTAAGCTATTATAGAAGCAAGTAATGTTTTTCAAAATGACATATACCGCATCGTCGACTCTGTACCGGGAAATCTAGATGCTTAACGATACGATGAGTTAATATTTTTGGCGCAGCTTTTAAATAGGTGGACTTGAATGACTAGAATATTCAGGCCACGTGTGGCTTCAATTGGTAATTTGAAACGGATCCGTGAATCTTTTGGAAAACGCGGAGGTAGTAGGCCAGAACGCAGTGTTTACGTTGGCCTTTCTTATCACAATCCTTTGCAGAGATAGCATATCATGATGTCGAACATTGTGGTCTCCATCGCCGATCGGACCCAGAATCCATGCGCTTGAGTCGACAGTAAAGGAAGAAAATTTTTGGTGATTGATGCTTGTGAGAAACAATAAAGTTGAGTTTGTTACATGACTTAGGAATAGAATAAATCAATATTGGGTTGTGATCCCAGCGGCATTTACATCTTTGTAGGGGAGGTGAAACAGGGCACATATCCTATGAAATAACACTATTGACCTTGTCTTGAAGCATATTTTAAAAGCACTGCGCTGATTCCCGATGAGTAGTTCGTGTCGTACTATAAACCGGTGCTAGGAAGAAATTGTAGGTTACGTGGACACGCGTTGCATTTAGCAGGGTTCTATTATCGTGATGAAGAATTGTTAACATCAGTGAAATTCTTTGGCTAGCTGCTTTAAAATGAGGACGCCATAAGCCCATCCAGTGAGTGTAAGTACTAGATGGATCCAATGACCGTCCTGCTTTTCTTCTTGTTCTGTTGCTCAGATTTCGCGAGCTGCATTTCCTCAAGCCCGTTAATCATTATGTCTTCCCAACTCGCGGTAATTGATGATGTTAGCTATATTTGTGCACGGAAATTTTCTAGCCATCACTTGTTGTTCAGCCTTCTCAACTTGCTCCCGAGCGTCTGCGATCCCACGATAAGCTCAAGCTATCGAGATGCTGACCATCCTCACGCCATCTTCCATCATAAGCTCGTTAGACATGACGAATTATCGTTACACGTGTATGTCACTTGATTCTAACGTAGAACCTCCGCAACTTGTTCCACAGTCATCACCGCACGTAGCAACATCTCGAGCAATCCGATCAAGGACCCTCATGTCATTTAAATATCATGTTTGCCTCTGAATTACGCTGGCTTTGTATGTGCCAGTTGCCAGCGTCATACAAATGAAGAAACCCCTTTGGACGTTATCTCCTTAAACGATTATTTGATCGATCGGCAGACATGGTGACGATCGTAAAGCTTGAAACTTTTTTGCAGTTATTGATCTGATGCGATGACTTGTTGCGCAAAACGTAATTTTAAGTACTTAATCAGTATTGGTTTTCAGACTGCTCAATGTAACCTAAATGTAAGGCTTATGTTTCATATTTACTGAGATCAATCCTGTACACACGCATTCAGTGGCGTACTTGGTGAAGCAATGTCTTATCTTTGGAACACAAGTCATCTGTTTGCATAAATTTTGGATTGTTTGTATCATCCATATTTCTAATTTTTTATGCTGTTACAGTATACATTTTCTTAATTTTTGGCACATGTTGCTGTCGCTAATGCTAAATACCGGTATATTTGATATGCGACTGGTTTTGGTAATCTACGCTCTATATTCATATCAATATTATTTTTCTGTACAGTCTTTTTAGTCCTACGCATATCCATTACACCTCACCTCCGCACATCCATTACGCCTCTTGACGCTGCACCATTCTACACGCTACGATGCATCAAGCGGACTATTGCGGAGAACGTTACGGCGGGCAGTCGATAAAAAAGATCGATGGATTTGAGTCTAGGGAATCTGGAACCATCTGTAACGTTCGTGGGCTACGGTCGAGCGACTTTCGAATCGAGCTGAAACTAAAGCGTCTGGAAGATGCATGGCTTGGGGAATTTGAAGTATACATGGTTAGCGGGGATCCTGCTGGTGTTGAGTCAAAGCTCCATCCTGCTTCTTCGATGTGGTTGTGATAGTAGGAGAGACCATGGATCGTAAAGCGGCGACGATTTTTGTTTTGAATCAATGTATTGCTTTGATTCTCAGCCACACAATTGACAGCAGCATCATATTTGTGCTGCCTGATTCCACATAACGCAACTAACGAACGTAGACCGTGACCTTGAGAGTATGATCGACCAGATCGAAACCTTGAGCGCTTAGTCTTGCGATTGGGATTTAAGGAATACGATGATGGTGGTGCAGCTTCATTGTCAATACTGCGGCTATGATGGCAGCAAAACCACTGAAATGGCATGGTCATGTAAGTTTCTTACAATCTAGTCGAGTAATTAGAGAATGAAGTGTACTATATGATTGAAGATGGGGTCAAATCCTAGAAGATGAGGCTGGTGTGTGGACGGTACAAAACAATAAACACCTTAAAAAGAGAAACTATTGCACTTATTTATCCTAATAAGTTGACCTAATTAACCTTCAAGAACGACAGTCTCGCACCCATACAGTCACGCATACGACACTTGTCTGACCTTAAACCGGGTAATTCTGTTGTGACAAAGTGCCTAAGAATCGACGTAGGTAAAAATTACAGTTTCTAACGCGAGTGAGTATGAGCATACATCATGTCAAAAGCTGTCCACGAGCCATGTTTTTATGCCCAGTGATGCCCAGTGTTAATCTGAGGTGTTAAAATCATGTTAGGAATTCTGAAAAGGTTGGTGGATATCGCACATCATGCCCCACTTATCATCAGAAATAACAATTTTTTTGAAGAATGTAGTGTTGAATCCTCACTGGGTATGGGGTTGCCACCTCAAGGAATCACTGAGATCGTTTGCTCTTTCGTTTGAGCTGCTTAATTTTCTAATTAAGAATGAGATGTGTGATCAGCGCATTCTTCAAATTCTCCTGTATTTCTGCTTGCATAAATAAAAAAATGTTTGATGTTGTTCCACCTTTCTATCGCTGCCTTCGACGGATGCAAGGTAGCTGTAAAAGCCGCAATGAAACAGGGTGTTCCCTGAGAATGGACTTTTTAGAGGTGCGTCAGTATGTAGCCTAGATAAGATATCAAATAAATTCTGAGACGTAGTCTGGCTTCTTGGTCTTTCTTCGCCTCAAGGAATCAATTAGCCGCGAAACTGACTGAAAACACAAATCACATGGGATCGTTGTGTCGGTGGTGACTCAATGCACATTACCACAACAGCATTTATTTAAGCATTCGACCTCCAGCGCCTGTATATTTTATTGCTTGTGATGGTTGCAAAAAATCGCTCGTATGGTCTTGGAGTCTTGTCGTATGATTCACATTTACATTTTTGTTAATTCTCCTGATATGCCAATTTTCGAACATTTGGGATCGACTGTGTGGCTGGCTTTAAACTGCGCACACAAACCTCGAATTTTTCGAAATGCTTTACATGATGATAAATCATCAGTTTCGCACTGTCATATGCCTCATCACCAAGCATCGTAAATGAAATTTTGAGTAGTAGATGTGATAGCAGTGATAATTGTACGGACGATCCAGTGATTCACTGCTTAATCAGTGGCGACCGAAGTACATCGGTGGGATCGAATAAAGTTACTTTCAAATTGGGCAATATACTCATAAAGTAGTGCACACAAGAGTTTGTTGCTCTTTAGTGCTATAATCTTCTCGTCCAGAAAAGTTCACGCCATTGCATACACGAGCGCCAGTCATGTCAACAATTGTAAATGGGTCAAGTCATTATATGCAATGTGCCAATGTCCTGATATATACAATCATTCCATATTGAGTTTTATGACATAAGTAAAGTAAACCATATCATATTTGAGATTAGAAGAGAAATCATATCGTGTCCACATTTCTGAGTCCTCCCGCATGTATTATCACCCTGCACTTTGTTGTTAGATTTGCTAGTCGAGTATCATGGCGAGCTCGTGCGTGTCTACAGTAAAAATGTTTTTCTATACTATGATTATAAAAAGTGATTATCATTTATCGCTTCTAAATCTTTTGATGGAAACCCTCGTAAGAAGTCTTCTTTCAAATGGCAGTAATGCCATATTCTCGAGCTTGCTATTGTTTTACAAAATTAGATGGGCAGTACCAACACGCTGTCGCAAAGATGATTGTGTTTAATGTATCAAGGTGTTGTCTGGAAGGTAGTATATCAAAGTTTACAAGTTTGATATACTACTTATTTTTCCGCTTTCTGGAAACACTGGTTAAGCTACACTCGGTATCGGTGCGCTGACGCTTGTAAGGTAGGGTACATTGAAGCATACGAAAATGTTACTTATCTGGTATGCATAATGAATTTAAACCATATCTTCGTGTGCCGTCAGTACGATACATGGGGTCAGCTATAAATGGTGAAGTGATGTGGAAATGTGCTATCTCGACGTGCTCGTTTGAATACGAACGCAGAACTCTAAAGCAGCTTGTAGTACTCGTTGTCGTTGCAAGAGATATATGCACAACAATAAAAGATGCTGTAAACGTGTATTCATTTTCATTTCTAAAGAATAATCAAGAGCTCAAGCGCTAACCTCTCTCAGTCATCGTTTAAAATACAGTAATGAGAACGAAACACGCATACACCAGCATGGTCGGATACATCACGAGGTACTTCTGCTCCGTCATGTACAGCGCTTTCTCAAAAAATCGGGATGCTGTGTGCGTACTCCAGAGCGTGCAGACACTAGCGAGGAAAAAGCCGACCATTCCAAGATCCTTCACTGAAACCACAATGTTTATCGCTGCCAAGCCGATAATTGGCAGCAAGCAGTAGCCAAGCACAGAGCAGACCCGGTAGATATCAATCGTTCGTTCCGGTGACAGTAAATTCATTAACAAATACACAAAAATGCACGACAGCACTCCAAACCCGTAAATATATCCAAAGTGAACTTTAGCAGCCTGCACATACCGTCAAGCAACGATTATCGGGCTTCAAACTATCGTTAAATTAGACAACTCAATCAAGAGCACGTACCAGCAGTAGACACATTCCAAAAAGAAAGCAAAAGACAAGAGGTCCTGCCAGATCTGCGTCGTCAAGAATATGCTCGTTGATCTGCTTCGTCGGAAGTAGCACGGACACAGTCTTGGCCCAAATATGATCGAAATTAATTCCAAGTTCTGTCGGATGTCCAAAATGGTATGACAGAATTAAAAACCAATGTTTTCTACTAATTCAAACAGTTGATTCAGTGTATTTACCTTCTAACAGCGGCGGCTCGTTAGCGAACTCGTCTGTGTCCTCGTCGTCATAATAGCCAGTCGAAGAGACCACCGTGCCGTTAATTCCACTGGATGATCCTGGAGCTGTCGTCTGAAACCCTGGCCCACTGTTGTTGTTGTGCATATGTGAAGCTGGTGTATTGATGGATGGGTAGTCACCCTCGGGTGGCGTGAACCACGGACTCATCGCGCCTGGATCCATGTTCATATTCATTGGGCAATTAAAAGAACGGAATTGTCAATGATGTATAGAGTCATCACAGTACAAAATTTTTGAAAAATATTCAGCCAATGAAACGATTAAATCCACCACTGATTTATTTCCAATCGGATGATGGGGTTGAGGTTTCCATACGTACCCAATCGTGATGTACATGCAAATTATACGAAATTGTACATCAGACTTTGTGGAAAACTCAGAGGTGCCGTAGCAATGTATCAGTATTGTACTTGGTAGGGCTGAAAGTGATAAAGCTTCATGAAAGAAGAGGTCCGTGGGATATTCTGGTTGCTTGCTTCATATTACTTGTTGGGTCTACCTATTTACGGATAGTACGGCGGAGTTCTAATTTTTATCAAGCAAAGTAGGATGGGTTATGTGAGACGTTCTAAGTTTGGGCCAGAGGAACCGGCGAGGTTTAAATTAAGCTTAAAAGGCCTTACCTTGAATATTCACAAAAGAATCATTACAGTCGTGTGATGCACAGGAAATCTGATGTGGAAATGCATAACAAGCTATTATCAGCAATGTTTGCGTACGTGCGCTTAAGCAAAGAGTTTGCGCTCATATTTCAAGTGCTTTTTGGCGCCAACAAGATCCCAACCTGAGATGCTTTTGAGAAGCACAATTTACACATATATTGAGACCACTGTGAGCTGGTAAGTGCCACTTCGAGGGAAGGATGCGCAGGAGACTAGCATCGTCGGTACAGCACGCTTGTCTTTTTATTGGTACAGTAGCTTACTTACTAAGTGATATTTCTCTATCTGCGGCGAGTACTTCGAGCGGGATGGTAAGGAAAAAAGCTGTATGGGACCGCTAGCGTACCAACAACTTGCATCCGTTTGGTGACACAGTTTTTTCAAGCCTTGTCATGCACGTTTCGGCGAAGTACTCCTCTATAGTTGAGCGAAGCACAGATGTCTGGATGTGATATTTGTAATGAACAGTGCTCGAGTGTATCTTTCGAATAGATCGTTTGCTAATGCAGTTAAATACATCTTTGGCACTGACATATCCGAGTTTATGAGAAGTTTTACGAGGAAGCGTAATCTACAGGCAGATTTCGGATCGAATAACCCATCGTAGTCGGGCCAAGTCGCACTAAGTCTGGCTATTGTGCGAGCGATCTCAATACAGAACGGCTCCTCACCAACTTTTATAAAATTTGAATGGTGGAGGGTCACGAAAGAAGAAAAAGCCTTCAAGGCTGTAAAACATCCTCATTCACCTTCATCAGGAATAAAACCGGCCACTATACGTGGTGTGTGGCGCTTCGGCCTTTACCATATATGGTGATTTGCTTCAAGCAAGTTTGCTATCGCGAATCTGGAGAAAGTCATCCCGTCTATGACAAGTAGTGATCACACATTTCTTTGCCACAAATACTATGTGTTCCACACAATCCACACAACATTACGCGACGGCAACATCGTCAGCGAACCGCCTTTTACAAGATGGTTGGCCTTCTTTGTCGGGTTCGTTTTTGAGGTAGAATATGAAGTTTAGTTGTGGTAGATACGCTTTCGTATAACGTGTTTTGACGCTATCCCAAGGCACACGAGCCAGACACAACTTGTATCATTCTGCTTCTTCTGGCTTTTGCTGAGAAGTGCAGGGCGTAGGTCGACGCGGAATGTCATGATCCCTCTGATCATAAGCGTCCACGACGTCTGGGTGGGCAGTCTTGCCGAAGTGAAAGCCCAAACTCTCCCACCTCTCGGAGTCTGGGTATCCCCACCACTTCACAAAATATTGGGTTTGACCCTATCAACGACGTCGCCCCACAAGACGTTCCACGTGATAGTGAACGCCACCGTTATCGTCGGTAAGAGTCGGCGGTGGACGATGACGACTTGGTCGATGACCATCCAATGACTCGCAACGCTCTTCGAGCTCATGAGAACAAGGTCCGTCACCATCGGGATACCCCTGAGCATCTTGCTGAGGTCGCATACCGCTGTGCGGAAGACTTCGAGAGCATGAAGCACTTTGTGTAATGACTGCCTCACGTTGATGACTATCGCTCTCTATCGGAGCGGCTTCTAACCGTTGAGCAGACAAATGCGTCACTTTGTGCGACGGTAAAGCGCCTGGTGCCATTGGAGATGGAGGTCATTGCACTTCGTGCTCAGAATGATTTGTTGAGTCAGCTTCTGGGTGGTCAAGCGCCTGTGGTTGCCGCCTCGGCGCCAACGCTTCCGCGTTCACTTACGCCGAAACTTAAGCAAGCCCACATAAAACACCGGGTAGGTTCGCATCCGTTTCAAAAGGATTGGTATATACGCAGCGCCCTGCTTGGCCACGATATTAAAATGGACGGAGCCTAAAAATTGCAGAAACTGCATGTGTAGGAAGTATTTTGGCATTTGATAAAATCAGGTCTCCGACCCCAAAGTTTTCGACATTTTTTCTGATTCTTCTGTCTGCATATTCTTTCTGTATGTTTTGGCTTTCAGCCATCGCATCGCAACATGTCGTAATACACTCAGTTTGGTAGACAGAAAGTCGTCCACAACTTTACAAACAGTGAGATGGCTGACATCAGCAAGTCGTTTGGCCATTTCTCCCCTACCAAGCCCTGCGCCATGAGATGGCAGCGTTAGCGGAACGCAAGGATAAACGAGCCCGCCAACATAGAGCGGCGTGTAGTCTATAGACGCATGCACTGCATTGTTTAGAGGGAACTCGATAAGTGGCAGCATGGCGCTCAAGCGGCTTGGCGTCTCAGCGCAGACGCTGCGAAGGACATCTTCAACGACGCGATTCACGCGCTCAGTTTAACCATCATTTTGCAGTTTGGCCGCCGTTAGCATAGTCAATTTGCTGCGCAGTACCCCGAAGATTGTCGGCCACAACTTCCCAGTGAGGCGTGTGTCTCTGTAAGAGACAGTTGACTTCGGGGGTTCATGTTCTAAGAAAACACGACACACCAACGGCGTCGCTGTACCAACACCATCGATAGCGTCTAGCACCGCCGCAAGATGAGCCATCTTGCCTAAACGGTCGATAAAGACCACGACATCCGTGTTGCCCGCCGAGTCCTTCCGCAAGCCAAACACAAAGTCCAAGCTCATGCACTGCCAACAACCAGAGAGTACCAGCAAATTGGCATGCGGCGCAGCCGAATTTAAGAGCGTTTCATTCTTTGACATGTCTGGAACGTGCGTACATATGTGCTAGTTCATTTGTACAGCTTAAGCCACCAGTATTAACAACTCACAGAGCTGTAGGTCTTCTCACGACCAAGATAACCACTAAGTGGGGGTGTTACGGGCCTCATAGAGAATCCGATCTTTCAATTTCTTATCACGAGAAACAACAATACGTGGCATCCGTCAAGTCGGTGCTATAGCAGTATTCGACGAACATCGGTGCAACCGTGCACGCACAACTTCTTATCCGAGTCTCCGAATTGTTTCCTCTCGAGAGCCAGTAGAAGCGCTACGCACGAATCACCACGCGTGAACGCGGCGCGGATCAAATCCGTGATGGACAACGTACATGAGTAAGTTCATAATCTGGTCTGCCTGACAACGCATCTGCCAAAGCATTCTGCTTTCCTGGCTTATACTACACCTTGAAGTTTTTATTCTGCAAAGAAGTAGAGCCACCTGGCCATTCTGTGCGAGAGGTGAGGCAACTGAGTTGCAGTACGTTGAGAGGCATGATCTGTAAAGATCACAAACGGCTTTGAGCCGAGCAGGTGCATTTTGAACTTGACAAGTGCATACTTCATCGCAAGTAATTCATTGTCGTGGATTGAGTCCTTTTCCGCCTCCTTAAGCTGGCGAGATTTGAACGCGATCACCCGATCTCGCCCCTCGGCGTCTGCTTGTAGCAGTGCACAGCCGATAACAAAGTCCGAAGCGTCACAGAGGACACTAAAAGAACGATCGGGATCTGGCAATGCCAGTATTGATGCATGAAGGAGGCTGTCTTCCAATGCTCGGTATCCGAACAGCATTCCGCATCATTCTTCAGGAGTTTCGACAACGGTGTGCCATTTCCGCATAAATATCACTGTATTTGTGCAAGTAGTTGAGGAGGCAAAGCCGCTTGTTCAAGTCCATTTGGTTCTTTGGAACCGGTCAGTTCACTATGGCCTTGACCATAGCGGGATTTGCTCGAAGGCCACGCTTTCGGGATTTCTTCAGCGCCAAAAATGCACTTATCTGCATTAGTATACAGCTTATTCGTGCGCATGCACTCAAACACCGCTCTCAAATGGACAATGTGGTTTCCTCATTCGTCCTTCCGGCCCCGCATGACTGTGGGTGAAGATGTCGTTGAAGTATGTCTGTGCATATGCCCGGTGGGGCCTGAACAACTGCGTCACAAGACGATGAAATGTTGCTGGTGGAGATGACACATCATCAGCCATTCCCAAAGCCTGCCACTCGGAGAACTCACCGCTGTCAGCGAAATATCACTCGCCCTCAATACACATCGAAAAGTCGAGTGCACTGTACTTTGTACATCCAACCATGTTGTTCTGGAGAAAATCTTTCCTAGGAATCGGTGTTTGTGCCGGAATGGTGGCAGCGTTCAGCTTATTGTGACTCAAACGATACGTCACTTGCCATTCGGCTACCGGGCAAAAACATGGGTGTCCAATGAGGGAGACTTGCTCTCATGCAGCATTCCTGAGTCGTGCTTCACACGGAAGAACGCGTCATTGACGTCACACTGATCCTTGGGCAGAGGCCATTGGCGTGTTTTGTAGTATTTGGTTCCCGAAAACAGGTTGATTTCATGATGCACATCTCAGACCGAATGTTGGATCGACGGTGGGTCTTTGGAGACTTATAGTATTGATCCGAGAGAATATTTAGGATCGAAGATCCACTTCGTGCGTTCAGTTCCCTCGTGGCGTCCTCCATGGCGGCCTGAGTCGGGAGGATTCATCCGTCGTCAAAAGTGGCGTCATGGGACGCAGTAGACGCCGACATCTTCTGCTCTATGTGCTCGAGCAGAGCGTTTTCATAGCCCGAAAACGCCTCTAGGCACGCTTATCGCTTCAGGTCCTTGTAACGCAAGATGTTGTAAGCCCCCAAGGCCAAGCAGAGACATCATGTTTTTAAGCCCGTCTGCATGCCCTGGGGCAAATAAAAGAATCGTTCCATTCTCACACAAATCAGTCGAAACGACTCAGATGTAGATTAACTCCTGGAGCTATTAAGTACAGCGAGGCTGCCGTAGCTCTTTGCTTTGAGAAAGCTTACTAAGGTTACCGATATCACGTTCTATGCCAGAACCAGTATGAGAGTAGCGGATCGCAATCTGCTACCTCCAAGAGCACCCAAAAGCTTAACCAGGGCAATTGTACCCTTTCGCTTAAAATAGAAACTGTATTCATTTGTCTTATTTGCGGCAGAGATACCCAAATCTAAATCTGTAGGTTTTGCTCATTGACTAGTAAAACTAATCAAAGGGCATAACTACTGACTGTCCCGCCACGTAGTGGCTTCATATTAAGGTGTAGCCACACCATTATGTGGTCAAACCATCCACCCTGTAAACCAGGGTTTGTGCAACCCCGATACATACTTGTTTTCGTGTAAAAATTGGCCTTAATCCTATATCGTTATATCTAACAAATAGCGTATTTGTACCGCAACTCCTCGTCTATTTATAACACGGGCCCGCTTGGTATGGCTGTACGTTTTGACGACGATCGCAAAAACAAAATCTGCTTAGCCATTACGATACCTCTGTTTGATTCTTCTCAGTCAAGAATGCCGTCTGGCTCAGTGAGTGCTATAGACTGGCGAATCAGTATGTGCACCGAACTAAAGATTCTGTTCACACGTGAAAAACTTGGTAGCGGATACAAATCCACTACTCATATGCCGACGCCCATACGGTCCCAGCATAGTGCTAGCAGATCAGTATGGACGTTTCATATTCTTGACCGAAAATTCCGGACTGAGATTTCTGTGTACCAATTAAGCATATTTGCTCATCTTGCTGCTGCTAATGACAACATTTTCAATGATAAGTCAAAGTGTTAGTACTTTACAGCGCGGCGTAGACTGCTTTTGTTTAAGGCGCTAGGTACGAGGTTGAACATGTGCACAGCAAACCACCCGTATCCCAATAGCCAAAATGAGCCCATCAACTGCGTAAAATTGGGCATCATCCAAAGCACCTCCCCGGAGCAACCGCGATTCTTAAGCAATGAGCTTCAAGTCATTAATTATGCCTCAATACCGTGTTACACGCCTCAACGAGCTTGAGACAGCTATAGCTTGATATTTACGCTTACTCCTAGAATCCTTGACACCTCCACAATTCGGCGAATCTAAGTGATTGGAGATTGTGGATACTGATTTTTTTGCAGAAATACATTACGATAACATATCATTGCAAAATGAGATTTTCAGGAAGATTAAGCGTGGTGTGCAAAACGCAAAGCGCGCGATTGTATTATATGGCTGAGAGATAGGAAGCAACATTCGGTCGCTAAAGTATGTGAGACACATTTCAATTTGATGCAAACGATTGGTCTATATTTAATGCGGCAATTTTTAGTGCCTTCAGACTAGAGACGACGTTAATTTCTAGCTTTGTCGGGTCCCTTTCAGCAGTAGTCAAATTGGTTTTGAGTTACATTGAATATTCCAAATGAGATACGATCGCACGTGAGGCTACGAAAGCTATACCAAGCCTCTCACTCATGTGTTAAACGGATACGGACCCAGCTTGAGCACCGAATGTAAAAGACCGTCAACCTCCCCATTTTGTAGCTAAACACACCATGTTCAATCAAATTAGCGAACGACAAAATGAGCTCGCCCACAATTCGGGTTCAAGCAAGCGACAGCTTTGCTCATACCCATAAGTCTGTGTAAGTTAGACCAGCGACCCAACTCGAACCTGAAATCAAACCGAATTCCTTTCGTTTGCTGGATGATTACCGCGTACCTTGGGCTGATAACACAGGTGCGCCAAATCATAAGCCTCGATGAAGCTAGTAAAAGTGGATTTTTAAACGTCTAGGAGTCTTAGAAGCAGAATTTCTTTTCCCACATTACCAGTTTTAATCTGATGATCCCAATGAACACGTTCCGCTATACGTAGAGATGGACTCTGTACTGATAAACGAGACGAGCCGGCAAAGAACGATATTCACGTGACTGATTCAGCTGATCGTTTATGGCTGTGGTGATTTGACTTTTTATTCAAGCGTATTATGATGTCTCTGTTCTTAAGGTTATCTCTGAGAGGCGCTTGCGAAGCTGCGCATTTTAATTACATGGCTCGAGATACCGTGAGTGGTCCGGGAACAGCCTTTTGCTATAGAAAAAGGATAGCTTTCCTGTTGATACAATGCGTCGTCTTTGGCAGTGTGCCTTCGGGCAATGGATTATGTCTTTCGTTGCCAAGTTTGAGCTAAATTAACTCATGTACTTGTCACATAATTGCAGTATCGATTGCGTAAGAGTCAGACATGATGTGTGCTGCGCTATTGAAATCTGTCGAAAGCAAATATGATTGAGCACTGCGATCACTATATTTGAGCGTTGCAAGTACGAATATACCGCTTCTTTCCTCGTTTAAATATTTGCTGCATTATAGCAGAAATTGGCTTGGAACACAACGTGCGGTTGTACTCTATGAATATGTGATGCGGATTAAACATCTCAAGAAATAGATATTGGTAGATAAAAATTGTCAAGATCAGTGAACGGTATGTATTGGTGGTCCAAAATGTTCAAATAAGTTAGTGATAATGTGTGTACGTGAGGGACGTGTTCAAGGGTCAAATATGCGATGCATGGTTTGGTGCCTTTTACTAGCACGCCATTTCCAGCAAATGATTGCAAACCATTTGTATGAAGTTTTATTTTGGAAGATTACGGGACGCTTCGTTACTTTTGGCATCGTAGCCTTTGTAGATAATTAAATCATGTTGGTATTGTCAGCAACACCGTCACTGGCGAGGATGCAGCTTAGCGAATCCTTGACATAGACTTTTGTCGTCGTTTCTATCTGTGACAATTATCTCGAGTCGCAATCCACGCTTATATTTGTTTGAGCAGGTTCTAACTAAGTAAATACCTCAAGAACATGCGTGAAGAGAAGAGAGACATGCTCCCAGTCATTACTATTGCATCACAGTTTTCTTGAGCTGGTTTGACTGATATATCGTGCGCTCGATCAGCAATACGAGGTCGTTTCGGTCTTGGATGTGGGAGATTGATATTGATGACGAAGTCATAATAGCTTTGCTAAACCTCGCGGGAATGTCAATGATTTTTTTAAGATTGGGCGTAATGCGCCAAGTGTGCAACTATGGCGGCTAAAATTCAAAAAGACTATCGCAAGATGCAGGTGACAACCGAAATGGTAATTTTGCGTTTCCTGATGGCAGATACAGTCTAATTAAACGCAGTTGCTCTAGACACCATGTTCTGTCTACAGTTTGGGAGCCTAAGTTGTGCCTTTGCCTTTACGGGCACATCAAACAAAAGATTGGGCTTCAGTCCAAGGCACCTCAAAGTATGCGAATACATATCGTGCTCTATACGGGCTAACGCAATCTATATCGCGATATTTTCTACCAGCCAACCGGACGTAAGTCGTGCAGTTGACCCAACACCGCTAAAAATGCTGGGTCACCTTCTGTTTCAATGAGATGAAATAGTTTCAGGGGTGACTCAAGCCACCGTCATAACGTTTTGCTGACAATGATGTTCCCGACAAACTCGTAATGGGACATTTGGAGCAATTCGACGCGTATTCATGGAAAAGATTCGATCTTCAGCGCAATTACAAGAAATTTGAACACGTTCTCCGTGATTTAGCTGGTAGCTGTATCAGCAGGCCCATGAGTACGAGTAAGGCTTGGCAATCGAGAGGCGAGGGCGAGAGCCATCCATGACTTAAATGTTGTGCTACTACTATATTGCAAGGTGGAGCATTTATTGACCTTTATGTACATGTTAGATGATTTTGAATTGCAATACATTGAATGAGTTATGTTTCGAGCCCTCTCAGTATCAAAGATCAAGTTTTCATAGAGGGTTTAATATGGCCGTTGCTGATAAAGCTGAGATGGGTGTTCAAATTGTTGTGGTCTTTGAAGGCAGAAAGTGCACACGAAGCAACATTTTCGTAAAACGTTTCGCTCTCACTCATAAACGTCCGAGGGCTATGCCGCATCGAAGCGAGTATATCTGTCGAATCGGACTGACCAAAGCCATATTCACAGCATGAAATTAATGTTAATATCATTGCTAAGGTTTGCTTTAGTTTATGTTTGTTCTTTGAGCAAGTCAAGCTAGTGAGCTAATCACGTACCGATTTTACTAAAGAGCTCTACCACTACAACTCTCTCCTTTGAGGATTGAGTATAGGGATAGTCATCTTGCTATACGATCTGAATGTGGGTGCTACGCCACTAAGAAGCTTCCTTTGATAAAATACGGGAATGCAATTTAATTCACAAATACGAAGGTGGCACATCGGAACTCACAGATTCAACTCAACCATTCTTATCAAAAAAATAGCTTATCCCATAAGGTTTTCTATATATCAGCCACGACCGCCGCGTCCATCTTGGTCGTTTGTCGGTACATGAGCCAAAGCGTTGCAGTTAAAAATGAAGCTTACGGTGTGGTTTGTGTTTGTCAAGTTCACGCAGGTTTATGTCTATTATAGGTTGTGGAGTACGGCTCCTGATGAGGATAAATCTGAACCCAAGAGAATTGTTTCTTTTGAATCAAGCTACAGCGAATCAAACCTGGGGCGAGGGTACTCTTCAACCAAGATGGCCTGATGGATTGGGCCGATTTTAATTTGTGTCTCAAACGAAGTTTACAACTTGTTGGTGTGAATTTGCTAACCTGTTTTGATAAGTACAGATCACACCATTGCCCATAAGCCATAAAAAAGATTATGAAAAAAACATGGTAAAGAATAATGATGGAGGGCCATGATAACTACAACCTGTGATATTAAGTGGGGGCGATTTTGATGGGGTGGTCAGTTGAGCACATGGGCTGCTATCCGAATGAAATTTGCAACAAACCTTGCGCGCAGGAAGCTTTGACTATCACATGGTTCATTAAGTAACACACCGACGATTAATCTCAGTACGAAGTACATAGTCCGCTCCTATTTCAAAAAATAGCGGTGGAACCTGTGTCTACCTCAAATGGTTCTTAATATATATGGTTTACAATCTGTTACATATATTCCTCCGTGATACGTAGCGTCAGGCTAGTAGTCTATGTGTCTAACTGGTGTTCCACATTCAGAGTACCATCACGCTCATCCAAATTGAGTACGTAGCATGACTATAGATCATGGTACTTGACCACAGCACTTTTTTACTTTGTTAAGGTTTACGAGACATAATGCGTGTGCACCTGCATTAGTACAATATTTGCTCTATTTTCGATTGTTTTTTAATGTAGGACACGTACACTTTCAACAACATAGAAAATGTTATCTCATTACAAGAATGCACACGTTGGAAAACATCACGAGTAATATTCGCCTACATTATGCAAATTCTTACGAACTTAACCACTTTAGGAGCCGCCTCAACCCATTTGCACTTTGTAGCGTGCGACTCAATCTATCAAGAATGGCATAGCCCCCGCCGTCGATGACATGCAAACTAAAATGGTTAATTGCCGAGGTGTTCAGCGGGGAGTACGGTCACATTGACTCGTCGAGTCTCCACCCAGCACACGCGCCTTCTCCGAAGGCATATGTCCAAGTTATTCCAACTATGTTTATATCTTCTATCATCTTTCAACGTTGATGCATTGTTTATGTTCTGCCATAGTTCTGTTTATGCTGCGCAGCCCGAGAATCATTTTAGATGATGGAGGGTGGTACGCGCAACAGCCTGGAGGCAAGACTCAGTTGTTACTAGTGATTCGGACTTTATTCAGCGCACCAAGACTTCTGCAAGCGCAAACATCGTAGGACTTTTCTATACTATATATTGTCGCGATCTTGAATTTATTTCGCTTAAAGTGCATGCGCCGTTGCAAGGCGTGTGGCCGCCGGAACATATAGAAAGCAAATTGCACGCTCAAACGTCAATTTGAAAGGACTTTCTGATCCTTCATGTTGCCATTCTAGAGGTGATACATCTTCCTGATAAACAGCACTGATGCAGGTAGTCGGAAGTTTTTCTGGAAGACATTACACTTGGTACGAAGCGCTGGGCGAGTGCGGAAGAGTAAATGACACAATTCACGTACTATGGAATTAAGGCACGTCGCCTCACTCCTTTAACGACCCCTTCAATCAGGTAGGCATTTAGCTGTAGCATGGTTTGATGGATGACTTTGCAATTAACCGTCAAGGTTGAGGAGAGTGCTCACCACCTTAAGTTCATGCTGAAAACAACACAGATTTGCTTCGCGAGCTTACTAACTAAGTTACAGGCCAAACGCTATATTTGAAGGAAACCAATTGCTGGTGGAAGCGCATTGCCTGCGCGACCCCGTCAATCTGTTTAGATACAAGACGCAGAGTGTGCAAAGTCATAAGCGGCAAAGGCTCAATGGTATCTTGCTGAGCCTTAAACCCTTCCGGATTTCCAATTTGACAGAAGCTCCCATCCTAAACGAGTTACGAGAAAGTACTGTTCCTTTGTTCTTTATGGGATTGGACCATCCTTTAGTCAATTAGCAAATGCAGCGGGGAATTCCCTCATACGTTAACCCTAGGATCTTTTGTGTTCATGCCGACACTTTACTTTCTTTCTTCAAAATTCCGGAGCGCTGCTGATACTGACATGTTCTACTTTCGGATGCGCTTGCTATCATAAGTTGAGTCTGTGTCTAAAACCGCAGTGTCTACCTCTACAGGAACCATAACGCTAGCACAAATGGCTTGGTTGGCCACCGTGTTCCTTTGAAAATATAACGAAGTTGCTTTGATTATAAAAAGGGCCTAGCAAAAGATTAAAGTTTACTTTCTTAACAACCACAAGAGAATGCGAGCATTTACTAAGATCTTCATAGAATCCGCGAGTCTCCTAATTATCCTACTTTTGCGAGACAGTTCGATTGGAAGCACTCGGTATCGGAGTTTTGTCTTGACCATCCTTGAGCTGTTGATTGCGCAGCGACTGCGATAATGCTGTGATCCATTCCGGTGTTTCGAACCAGTCCAAACAATACCTATTTCGGAAATGACGTAGCTCAGGAAGCGCATCCCAAAATGACTTATCCGTGTGTCTTCCCGCACAGAGAAACAAAACGTGTTATCATGGTGTAGAGCGCTCACGAGAGTCCACCGCGAAAGCAACCCTCGCTCGCATGGTTTGATGAGCAAGGAATTATCCACTCACAATTCTACATTTAAAAGAAGTTTGAGGTCCCACTTTGACTGGATAGCCCTGGCGTCGTTGTCGCTTTTAAATAAGCGAGTTTAAAGGCAGAGTGGCCCAGTGCAGCGTCATTCCAGTAGCGAAAAAAGTCCAACCTTGTTCCAAGCTCAAGGCTTGTTGGGTAGTTGTAACGGCTAGTCCATAGAGAGCCGTAGTTTTTGTCAGCAATAACTTGAGGTGATGTCTACCCACCTCAATATCCACGTTGTGAATTGAACTTCACAAAGTCTAAATATGAACTAGGACCAAGTCGGACGTTGGCTTTACAAAAGTTGGCTTCACAAAAGTTGGCTTGCATAGCTCAAGACGGGTGAGGCGGCGCGTCTTTTCACCCGATGAGCAAACCAAGTAAACTACCCGTGGACGTTGTTGCCTGCACTCAGTACCCAAAGCACAGCCTTACTTAAGCTAAATATATTTACCGTTTGCTGATTCAAGTGCAGATAGAACTCCTGGGGAGTGGTAGCATGTGAGATTATAATTTATGTAAGCAGAACGCGGCGCGTAAGGGTTCTACCCCGGTGCGACAAGCAAATCCTGCTTGCGTAAATATATAATGGCGATATGATGATCTGTAAAGTTTTTTACGTTTGCCCGTGGAGTCGAGCAAGCTCAGCTTTCTTAGCCAGTAAGCTGTTATCGTTCGCTTTACGGCGGGGTGTCGTGACACTTTTCTACCTAGTATGTGTTGAAGAAGAGAGAGCATAGGAAGCGCCATTAAGTTAGCTAACGGCCTCGCCGTATATATCTTAGAGATGAAGGTTTTGGATCAAGACTCGCTACTTTGATCGTTCCATTCAATTAAGACTTTGGCTGCCTCTCTTCGAATGTATTTGATTTAGTCTACTACAAGGACAGCGCTTTACTTAGAATTGCGACATACTACAGAGAGTACCTCAATGCAAATGAGGTTCTTAAGAGCAAGCAGTATAAGCTACAGGTGGTGAGGATGCTAATCAAGCGCAGCGACAGCAAACTGAGCATTTACATTTTCGCAATAGCTAAGAGAGCGTTACAGGGAATGTGTAATGGAGTACGAATCTAAAATCTACATCTCGCTCTGAAGCACCAAAGTGTTCGTTATATCATAATCAGTGACGGTTCGGATGCGGAATCCAAAATGTAAGGGTGCTTCCTTACGCTATGTATAAAACATAAATTTTTATTGTAGTATATAGTAAGTCTAAATCATGTCATATTCAAAATTCCTTGCATATTGCTATTATTGTTACCAAACTAAAACAACTTAATTTAATCTATTACCTTGTTTCTGATGTATGTCACATCCATAGTGCAGTGCTTTAACTTGAGCCAACTCCTGTTTTATCGCACACGAACCAATCATCCGTCTGTTTGTTAACGTAGACTCGTAGAGTGAATATTATTTCTGTGTGAGGTTCACGAAACCCTCATTGCAGTGCTATTTAAAATTCTTTGTATCGCTTTATGTATTGAATACGAATAAGCGTCAGTGATACCACCCATTTCACGATGAGTAGAATCAACTGAATCGCTATGGTGACGACTGTTGATTTTACTGTATTGTATTCTTTAATTTGTTGCTAGTGAAGCATATGGCGCTCCGGCTCACGCACGTTTTATTTGGACTTGTAAATCGTGCAGAACACAATATTGTAAAATTGTACGAAATTCACATTGCACTTTTGTATTAGCTAAAACTCTGAATATCATGTCACTACTGTGGATGTGCAGGCAATGTCTTCTTCTATAAGTTTTTGACGTGGGCTTTGTTTGTCTCGAAAGGTATAGACTGGATTAAGGAGGTCGCTCTTTACAGTCGGTGTTGAAGTCACACTTAACGAAGAAGTATGACTAGATTTTTTTAATACCCAGCTGTCAGATAGGATACCCATAACCTTCACTTCAGCTTTTAGCTATAATGCCTCAACTTAGTCACAAGATTGCTGACAATAAATTGGAAGAAGCTGCTGTAATCTTGTTTCCACATCCAACGACTTATTCACGTTAATCAGTGCATTCTTGACGGCAAAGTTCCAACGGTCAAATGTTTAGCGGGAATGCTCGGTGGCAGTTATGTTGTCGGTCGTTACGGTGTCCCTTTGTTATCGCAAAGAGTCAACGACGGTAACGTCAATTCAAGTTGTGTGTTTTTAACGATCTGGCTTCGAAGAGACAATTTGGCGTTTTGGATATAACGAGAACATTTTAGCGATAATCGAACATATTGTTTGAAACTTTAAAACCTTGGCGAAAAGAGAAGTGAAGACAGTCTCGACACAATCGTTAGACAAACTAAAAATTTCTATTCAGATAAAGAGCCATTGAAGTATTTTCTTATCTTCTTAGCTTGCAGCAATAATGGCTTAATCATCACACAAAGACTTCATGAAAGATCCCATGACAAAATAATCCACGGAAAGTTAATCGTAATTTATATCAAACATTTCAATTGTTTACTTGAATTGTGCAGTTTAGTTTTTCGTAATCACATCCATTACAATTTCAGCTGCTGAAGATCTATTTTCTTCTCCAGAGCTCGACAAGGCCAAACCAAGAAGGGGTGGCGGGTCCGAATAAGCTCTACGCATTCTTCGCATTGCAGTACTCGATCTCCTGGACGTATGAATCGATCCCCAACGATCGACGCTCCGTCCTGACGGATCCAGCTCTAATTCCGGTTCGAGTTCACTCTCTGGACCCTTGAATTGTAGACTAATTCCAATGTAGCGACAGTCTTCACCTGTGCTAACCACGGGATTTCCGTCGCCGCGGTTCAGACTTTCGCGCTCACCGATACATTCTCGGCATCGAGCGCATACAAGTAATGGTGCGACATAGCGATTATAAATAGCGACTCGTTCTTGCGTACAACACGGTGGTTTCGTACAAATTCGGTACGCACACAAGTCACAGCGACTCCAGTTTTTGCGTATTGTGGGAAGAAACGATTGTGTGCACGCAATGCAGTGCCAATTGTGATGAGTCCCTTTTGAGTTTCTTTGGTCTGAGCCAGCCAGCCCAATATTTCGAAAAGGATTTAAAATTGCTTGCCAGAGTCTTCCGGGGGCAATATGTTGCTGGCGATATAAGCGACGGCGACGTCGAAGGATCTTTTCCAATCGACAGATCCTCTTGCCGATGCTTAAGAGTCGGGTTCGAGCTGTATTTAAGTCACAATTTCCGGGAAGATTTCCCGAAAACGCAGCCTGATAGGTGATTTGAAGTTTTTCTGGGTTATCAGGATTTGGCCCAGCAAGTAACCAGCCGGAAATCGGATGCAGTGCGACAACACACTCAGTTGGCGCTTTGCCCGCCAATACTTCCGCTGCATCTAAAGTACAAAAAGCTAGTTGAATTCCTTTTTGCGTAGGCGTTAATAGTTCAATGAAGCAACACTGCTCGTTCTTGTGCTCAGCGTGGTGTTGTGAATGGTTTGAAGTTCCGGATTCCGACAAAGTTGGACCAACGGATCTTCGCGATAGAAAAGATTGGAGCCGTCGTTTGTGTACAAAACATACGGTACGAACTGTGAGTTGTTGGCCAGGAGTTGCAGAAGCCGGTTGTGATTCTCGTTCCATACAAGGGACAGCATGTACCAGCGAACTGTAAATGAATTGAGAGCCATATAAATCTCGAAATGCCGAGTTGCTTTCACTCTCGGTTGGACATCGCAGTAGCGATAATAAGTCTGACAAATTCGCTTTGATCTCACCTCCAACAACCACTTGACACTGCCGTGTCTGAAACGGAGGGACATTGATCGAAGCATGGACTTCTCGAAACTGCATGTCCATATTGCCCATTCGAACATGTTTCCAACCTCTTTTTGAAGACAGACGCCGTAAGTCCACAAACCTTTCAGGAACTTCAACGCGTTGAACCCGCGCAAACAAGTCGCTGTCCGAAAGCCGCACCTTGCTCCACACCATCGACTGATTCGACGACGACACTGAAGTCCCAAGCACTGCAGCAGCGACCGGTGCCGAACTTTCCGAAGTATGACGCATCCCGTGGCAAATGGGAGAGTGATGGCTGTGACGCCCTCACAGTCGGTGGATGGCGACTGTAAGCTTCTGTAGAGGTACCGCGAGCGAAGAAGAGACTCAAGGTCAAATGTTTAATCGGGTAATGGTCGCAATGTGTAGCTTCTACATGTAGCAATGGAAGTCGTATGTCAATTGATTATTGCAGGAAACGCTAAGTCCATTTTTATACATGAAGGCGGTTGTTGTCGTTTTTTCATACAAGATAAGTACTTCCGTCTTTATTCGAAACACTTTAGTCTTGTCGATGATCTCTTTTAGCTTCTGTTCGAAGAACTTCGAATTGGCGCACTAAACATCACGACTTTGCAAAGCACATGCATTTGGCGAAAGATGCAGATAGCATTGTGCTTACATGAAAAGGACAGCTGGGAATTTCTAAGAGCATCGTCACATTATTAAACTCGGCATTATTGAACAATGACGTTGCTTTAAGATACAAGAAGAACAAACCAGATGTGTGTCGATATCTCATCCTTCAAGAAAACCCAGCGAAAATTTAGAGTGCACAAGAGTCCCACAAGCTCACTTGGATGTGTTATAGATAGCGATGGAGTCTTGGCCAGGATAGTATATAGAGCATATAAGAGCGTATACACATATCTTTTTAATCAAAAGGGTATATGTACTTAAAAGTTAAAAGGTTACATCCGATAAATAAATCCAAATGCGCTCATCACTTGCGCTCTCTTCATACTCAAAATTAGCTTTGCAGTCGACGTACCCAATTCAGAAGTCGATCATCAAAGAAGATACCACACGAAGAGTAAACATATAACCCTTATTGTTTCAGTAACATTTTGTCGTAATTCACTCACAGTATAATGCACACGTTGTCAAGCTTGGCCTCTATTCCATTCAATTGTGTCCCATGCAAGCAGATCGTTGAGTCAGGTCATATGATTAAAGCAGGATATTCAGCATCAAGCTCGACAGTAGCACTGCCCGAATATTGGTGCTACTTCGAGTACCCTCGTCGCCTAGCCTCATGAATTCCCAATCTCATTTCTGCTTAAGCATCCGGTGTTCCAGACGTTGAACAGAAGGTTTGACGACTTGTTGTTCAATGTTACGAGCAATCTTTGCTGGGAATCGTGAAAGGCTGGGCCAGTGGTACGGCTGGTACCAGTGTCGCGATTATGTTACTGGTTGGGCGGACGTGCGCGAAAGCCAGCTCGAAACAATAATGATTCACTGGTATTTGGAATTGTAATCAATCGCTGCAATGTCGACAGCCTTCTACTGCTAACTTCGTAACTTTTGTAGAAGCACCACGTAGCTAATAATCTAAATGAATCGCACACACAACTGATACTACTACGATTTTTAAGTGAATTCCGTACAATCGCCTATTGAAATTAAAGCGACTCATGCTGTATAAGGAGAGAACTATGAATAGATGTATTGAGCAGAGGAACAAATAATGACTTTAGTCTTTCATGAGGACAAACAGATTGCTTTCCAATGAAAAGTAGCAAAATCCCGCTTGCATCGCGAGTGGCTAGTGCATAATTGGTCCCAACCTGGTATCCTGATGTTTATTGTGTTGATTGTACTTGTAAATTCAAAACAATAGTCTGCATACGCGCTTATCCTTCTATAACGCTCTTTTTTAGGTTGCTAAATTTTAATCAAGTCTGCCTATCTGTATAGGAATTAATTCTCAAATTTGAAGCACTTTCAAAAGTTTATGTTTACAGGTTATGTACCTCATCTAACCTGATTTCCCAATACTATTACTATTGTTAATAAGAAGCTTTCTCTTTAGCTGACAGTTCGGAGTAACTGCGAATCCTTCAAAATTTAATTCCAGCGGACGGACGACAACCCAATTGAAGTGGTACGTTGACCTCAATTCACGTCATTTAAATATACTGCAAGAGGTGCTCGATTACACACTGAATGTAAGTCTGTCGGATAATGTATGCACTTGATTTCTTCTGTGTTATTTTTGTGATCATAAAATTCGCCGATAAGCACTATGTGTACTGTTACATATTTAGGGCAAAATGCGTGTCAACCACACCATTAAAGAATTGGGATTAATTTTTCTTCATATTATGCTTTAAGATTATCTTGTATTCTTTTCATTAAGCCCTCGTCGACCGATCGATGAACTAGCACCTCATGTTACCAAACTCGACAAAGAGCAAGAAAGCCCAAAGAGCGATATTGGCAAGCTTTTTACATTTAAGCGTGGTTTCGGAAAAGTTTGTTCTAGTAGCCACTCCGTTTTTCGTATGCTGAGATCATAGTCTGCAGAATCGCTGGTCCTTGCACACTTATTACTTTGCCAACAAACATCCGAACTTGATGTAATTAAGAAGGAAACAGACATAGTATAAGCATCTGTGTTTAATTGTATTTCACATGAGCTTTGATAAAACCTTCGGCAATTACTTTTTGTAGACGCGCTAGAGCAAAAAAAATCCGTATGGTGTAGTTTAGCTCGATGACACAGAGTCGAATAGGTAACGTCTAAATGAGATAGCTATTTGAAAATTATTATTCCAATTACCGTTGAAACCCTAAAGATAACTGCCGTCGTCACCGTTGTTCAAAACCACTTTTGGCCATGCAAGATGTCAAGGGAATGTAAAAAGCCCAAGTAGTCGTTATATACATCAACTTACCTAGCTTACTTATTAGAAAAGCACAAGACCTCGATAACTTTGCAATTTTTCTGAGAGACAAACATGAGGTTTTCCGCTTCTTTTCTTTTCATAAGACACGCTGACGAGACTCTCTGTCTTTCTTTCATTTGTTGAGTATCCCCTTCTACATGAAAGTAATCGAAAGCGTCACACAAAACGATCTCGCAGACCGCTTGGGATTTGGAATCATCAAAATTGTCATACTTAATCGCTTGTTATAATCAATATATTCAGTATGAAGGGCAAAACGTAGCATCGTTTCTTGTTGATGAGGTGCGATCGTTTGCGATACTCAATTCACCTATGCACGCACCATCTCATTGTCCGGACTCAATATACTTGCGTTATCTAGTAATGTTTGACAGCAGCACGAATACCATCACTGTCAATCAATAGCAGCATTTCAGCCGGTTGGCGTCGCCTAACAGGATTTTAATTCAAGGATGACAAATTCCTGCTTCAACAATTGGTGACTGCACCAGAAGCGATCACACCACCACAAAAGCTGATTCGGTTCCTTGATGCTTGTCTTATAGTCAATAACATGCGCATGTCATATCCAAAACATAGAAGAAACGCGAATTATTGCGCAAACTTTTCAAATCTACTGAACAAGGTCACTTGTAATAAATTGATCAGAGAGCTCGATGTTGTGGCCAAGGATTTGAGTCATGTAAACGTTCATGTCGTTTGTCCATGCCAAAAAGACAAGCTCTTATGAGCAAGCATATCGTTGATGTTATGCATGCGTCCAAAATCGTTCGCATTGTTGCTCTTCGGTGAAAACGATCCGTTGGCCACGATCATTATCCATGTCCTCCTACTTAAATGCTACAATTGACGACAAGTACCCAACGGTAGACAGAACAGTAAATACAGGTCCACAAAGATGTTTAAGTCTTGCTGGAGTATTCTGCCCTTGGTCGATCCAAATTTCTAGAGATCGTACCGCTTCCATTTGGTTCGGGAAGCTTACTTATGCACTACGCGCATATGTCTCCTCATCGTAAAATTCTTATCCGTTTAATCAGCCGTAGCTTCTGGGGTTCTATCAGCTATAAACTACAACGGCAACAATCGTAGAAAAAATTGTCCTGCTCGGTACTCAAGACGTTCGCCATCTTCTCCGAACATATCCAATCTACCTAATTGCGACGGCTCACCTTACACACTGCAGCGTAAATTTACATTGTCTTGCAATCCGGATTAGAATACGACAGTGTACTCTAATAGTAGGCTGCTTCTTTCGACAGTCTTCACCTCACCGCTTATGATATACTCTCGTTGTTTGTACGCGTTGCATCAAATATTTAACTCACGGACTTATCTCTTAGTATAATTGAATTCCCGAACCTTATTGATCTTTGCTGTTAACAACGCCCTTACTGCTTCACTCGAGCAAGCCCAGGCACAGATGACGATAGTTGTGGTCGGGTCGCATATAAAAAGATGTGGAGTGGTGGTGCTGCCGTTATCAATGTCAGTGTCATTTCCATGTTTGCGGCTTCAAAAGATGATGAGCTTATTGCACTGGTCGTTTGGTCGTGATTGATGCTTTTTTGTATCCTTGATCTCCATGAACCTTGCAAGTATTGTAAGAATGTCAAGCATCACCTTCTTTGACTCTTCAAACATCTTCAGCTCGTCACTTCTTTTAGCTATCGGTTCTTTCGTTAGCCTGCGAAAGTATGTTGAGATCATCCAGACTATTTCACTTATTAATACTTCTGGGTGTGGGACTCGCGGCAGAAAATCACTTGTGTCATTATCACCGGTACAACTCTTGACGTCAGCACTCTTTTCATTTGTCATTGATCAAGATCCATCTACAACACTCTCCAGGCAGGAGCAAGTTTAGTTTCCATGTTTTCTGTCGAGTGGCAGAGTAAGGTAATCATCATACACCCCTGCTTCACCGCTCTCTCAGAGCTTTGGCATTCGAAATAAGATCAAATCGATCGTTGAGCCAACAACTGGGAAAAAAGTAATACTTGCTGCTTCTTGTTCGTTCAGAGACAGTATCATAGTCCCAAAAATAGTTCCAACTTCTTGTCCTGATTAGCAGCACGACCCATACATTCCTCTACGACTCTCACACACGCACTTTGTCCTCCGTTCCTCTCGAGCTGCTTGCTACCTTGCTGATGGTGGCGAAGTTCTTTGTGACTTAAAATGGATTGACTGTACAATCATTCAAACTCTTAAATCACGTGTCAAGCAAATTGACGCCTGGTACTGATCGCGCCGCATTTACATGAGTGGTTTTGAGACGATTTCTATAATTCAAGAGCAAGAGTATATTCAACAGCAATGACAGGAGACGCTACCAAAATGGTGCTTTTCTGATTTAATCATGTTTAGACCCACCAAAAACCCTTGACAACTGGAGGAGGGTCACATCTTGCTGTAAATGGTGACTTTGGTAGTCGTTTTTAACGCTCTGCAATCTATTGAAAGTCAGACCCCTGAGCACGTATTCTCGGCACTTAACTATCAATTTATTATCCGAAACCATGCAATTACTCCACACTTATTAAGGTGAAAAAATGTAGATGGAGCTGATGTCTATCTTGAGAGGCTAAACTTTATGATCGACACAGGTACTTGTAGCTTTGAGGCAATACGAGACCAAAAAAATCAACTTTTAAATTGTTTTTTATTAATTTCGTAGTTCAACGATCAATGTTTACAAGTACCAGCATTCGCCAATTTTCTACATAAAGTAGCGCATGATTGTGCTGTTCCTATTCTGTCCTTCTATATTGCATTCAATATTTCTTCTATATTACTTCTTGCTAGCCTTCCTACCGATGCTCGCACATGATATTATCAGTTGTACAGCATTATGGAGGGCAGTCAATGAAAATGATTGATGGGTGCGACTCTCGCGAATTTGGCAGCATTTGCTGCGTTGGTGGGCTACGCACTCGAGTTGAATTGAGATGAAAATGATTCCGTAACAAATTTTCATGACGAGGCGATGCAGAAACATCCATGGGCAGCAAAGATCCAGTTGGTCTGGCGTTCATGCTCGACTTTGCTTTGTCAGCATGTTCGTATGAGAGTCCATGAATCGTAAATCGACGATGTGTTTTCGTCTGGTACAACTTCCGACGTCGCTTCTCAGCGTCCGACTCGAGTTGCGCGGATCCGCCCAGACCAATAATGGAGCGTAGACTATGACTCTTTGAATGAATATCATGGTTTCGTTGCGTAGTTTGATGAGGTTTTTGTTGAGTGACAGAGAAAGCTGTTGGCGACCACGTGTCTTCATCTTCAGTGTCAATATGGACACAACGTCGATGGCTTCGGAACCACTCTATCGGCATCTTCGTGTGATTATTCGTGGGTTATGTGAGACTTGTGATCTAGTTGACAAATTGAAATATGAAGCGTGGAGTCGAAGACAAGTTCTTAAAATACGGCTATGTTCCCCAATCGATCGCCATTCTCCACCTGCCACTTCGATGTTGTATCAAGAACTTATTCTTCCTATGCTGTCCAGAGAGCACACCGAGCTTTTGAAGTACATTTGTGGCCACATAGCCAAAAACCAGATTTTCGCTGGCGATCTGCTTGAACATGCTTTATTTCGCAGCTGTTTTGGCTCTTGTCGCGACGTTGATAGTTTTGTCAAACTAGGTCGTCCGTTAGAAATAGCGTTTCGGAACACGGTTGCATTGAAACGTTTGTTTTTTAGGATCTTGAGAACAAAATAGAAATTTGCTGTACTTAGGACCACAGCGACAGAGCAGGTCAATAATTTTAGATTGAGGACCTTTGATTGAATAGCTTGAAGGGTAGACCTTATCACGTTTTTCTTTGACGGTCGACGACTTCTAAGAAGACGTACATAGCCTTCCAGCTGGTGCTCGTTCCAACAATGTAGGACTACACGGTACATAACGTGGTGGTCTAAGTGTTCACTCTATGCACAAGATGAATGGACGATGATGTATAGGGGTGTCCGTCCTACTATCCTAAATGACGTAAATGAAGAAGAAAAAGAAGAATCTACTTGGAAGAAGAGATGTCGCGAGCTTAATGTATGCGGTCGCTAGTAAATCGAGGCAATACATTGGACCTATAATTCCTTCCTGTCGATAAGTTTCTTGACAATAACTGGATGGTAGTGACGAAATGACAGTTTGGGTCTTTTTTTGCTGTATCCAAAACAGGTCACTTTACTACTGAAACAGTATATGACACGACAACAAGAACAATGTACATCCTAAGGTTAGAGCGACCTGAATTTTCTCAATCAACCATACTTAAGCCAAATGTGTTCACTGATGCCAGTGCAAACGTTTATGCAAAGCGTGAGGTAATCCATCCAAATTTTGGTTGTGAAAGTAAAGCACCGTATCAATCTGAATATGATTGATATCATGATGAGTGCTATATCATCGTAGCATTAATATGAAAATATAGTAATAGTGAAAGAATCTAATTAAATGACGGCACACTGTATGTTAAATTCTCACTGATCTGTTGGTTACATGAAGTCATCACCCCCTGCCCAAGCATCGTGTCTAGATGATCAGCGCTACATAAATGATCATTTTCTTAACGCGCGTAATCAGCAACTCTTTTACTGCGCTGCATTTCCACCCGGATTAGTGTCTTTACGTGGTGTAATACTCTTTCTACATGGTATTGGGGAGCATTCATTGCGCTTTGCACACGTCTATAAGCATTTGTGTCTTAATGGGTATGGAGTGATTGCGTATGACATGTTGGGCCACGGACAAAGTGCAAGTGAAGAGCCGGGATTACGTGCTCACGGGTCTGACTTTGAATATTTTATAGATGACACAAATACGTTTATAACGACTGCCAAAGACATCATCTATAGCAAAATGTTAACGAATGCAGCTAGTAACCCGCCATTGATTATCATGGGGATTTCGTTTGGGGCTTTGGTAGCTTTAAACACAATTTTATCAGGAAAACACCAATTTCAAGGTTGTATAGTAGCTTCTCCTGCTATTGCTGTTGAATATACTTTTGCTCTTCGAATGATGGAAATTATCTCGAAACCATTAGTGTGGATCTTTCCAACGGCGAGATTGGTACCTGGAGTTAATTTTGAAGGCTTGACACGTGATCCGGAGTTTTATAAAGATTACATGGCCGATCCACTTAACGTCACGGAAAATCTTACTACTCTTATGGCTGTTCAGGTTGGTTTGGGTATGAAGCGGCTGCAAAGTAGCGAACAAATTGAAGATTCAAATAGCACGTTTTGCAAGGTTCCACTCTTGGTATTACAAGGAACGGAGGACAAAGTCACGAGTGTCAAAGTTGTAGAGGAATTTATGAGTCGTGCTGCTAATAAGGACAAGGAACTCAAACTCTTTGTGGGACTTTATCACTGTCTTTGGAACGAACCAGAGAAGCAGCAAGTATTGGATTATGCCACTTGTTGGCTTAATAATCGTTTCGATGCTGTTTTAAATTCAGAAGGTGCCTCAAAACTTTGAGAGGATGGGGAAACGGATTGGTAAGTGGTGATGATAGTTGCTTTATTTTTCGATTCAAAGAAGAAGCTAGAGAACTGAGTATTTGATATAGCAATACGAGCATGCTAGCCAATGATTCTAAGTAAGGAGGTTGCTATTATTATCATGTTGTAGCAGAATGAATATATATTTTAACCAGAGGCCGTGGTCTATCTCTAATTGCTCAAATACGCAGGAAATGTTGATGGATATCATTAAGTTCCAAGTGCTGCGTGGTGATGACTTTAATTGCCCCCTTCACATCACTCGATCATTTTTACCAATTGCTAACTAACAATTATGTTCCAATTGCGTTGAAATAGTTGGTCACTGTATGACTGTGTTTGTTCTGCCATCAAATAGCCACGAAGACTAAAAGGTGCAGAAGCAAAACCACTCCCATCAATACGTAGTACATGGTGATAGCTGTAACGGGTCACTACATGCTCTGCGTTGAGAAGCAAACATAAAATCCAATTACACGTCTATTCTTCATTAAATCCTAATGAGCCTGCACGCGATAACTTGAACTGCATTACCTATGATGGCAGCATGTTTCTGATAAGCTAGTAGGAATGAAGTAACAGCGACCAACGTAGCAGATCGATGGTCTAGATTTGTACTGGTACTGCTGCTTCGTTAGGAAATTTGAACACTGGATGACAACAACCAGATTCCGCAAACAGCTACTTCACCGGAAATTGTAAAATTTGAGGCAGAAATGATTCTGGAAACCAGCGGTGATATCGAGAGTATACATGGACAGTTAGTCATCGTGGTCTATTCAAACAATTATCGGGTGATATTTGTCAACAATACCTTGATACCATCAAGTGCTATGACGATAAGGATAATCTTACTGTTCTTGAACCTCAAACTTTTGCAAGTAGCTACAGGTGATAATCCAACAGCTGCTCTGACATCATCGAGTTCAAGCATTCTACGAAAACTTGACAAATCTGAAAGTTGACGCTGTTGTTTATGCTTTGCAAACCTGGCAAAGTAAAGACTGGAATCGTGCTTTCCGCAGTAACACTTACGAGATCGTCATGTCAATTTCACATCATCTCTATAACAATTCTTGGCTTTAGTTGTTGTGGACATTTGTCTATCAGACTATAGTATTGAGTGTGGGGAGTGGGCGATATTAATGCTAACATAGTGGTGTTGCTTATGAGAAACATGAGATAGCCATTAAGCAGCTCCGCTTCCAGATTTGGAACCGCAATCTTCCGAGCAAGTGCAAGTCGTCGTACCCCAAGTGTCCAAGAAAGACATGGCACACATCCGAGTTTGACATTCGCCAACTCACACTTGCGTAGGCCATAGCTTGGCATGATAACTAGCCCAGCGTCATCCGTTCAATGACTTCAGCCAAATGAATTCTGACGGATTCTTATTGTTGATGATTGACATTGCTCTTCGTGGATTGAATAGCTTTTCTACTTTAACACAGTCACCATTACCTCTTTTGGCTACGTCGGTTATAACCATCGGAGATGCTATACAATAGAACCATTTGACGCCCACTTAGTGTTTCAGGCCAAGTGTCTTAATCAGGTTGGAGTACTCTTGTCGATGCTTATAGGGCAACCTGCACAACTGTTGATGAACTGATTTACTGTTGTAATCAATCATGTGAAATGAGAGTCAACGCGATGACTTCGATGGAAATTACTTAGCACCATAAATCACATCAAAGGTAAATGGGCTCAGTGCTGGCCAACAAGATTGAAGTGGCCAACAATCCGACCAGTTGATACCAAGAGCCATCAAATCACGTGTCTGTAATTGGCATTTCGATAAAATTCTGGATCTGTCCAGCAGCTGAACATTAATTTTTTGTAGCATGGAAGTGGAGTTTGCAGAGTCATCTTGATGTTCAGATAATGCCTAAATCGATGCTTCTGATCGAGCAACTACAGGGCTATCATGGAATCGACCGCACAAGAGACAAGATCATATGTTAAGTGCTTGAAGTAGCTGGTGCGTTGGATCGTTATGGTATTCCATTTATCGTGGTGAAAATAATCACTGACTACTGCAAGGCGATGTTAACGACGTGATTTACCGGAATTACAATTCTGTTGAGACATCAGACTACAAGCAGAAGGACGTGTACTCGGCGAGGCAGGCAGCAATTATTGTCGTACATTCATATTTCAATCGCATCTACATTTACCCGCTGATATCGTAGTTCGCTTCTTTAGGATGAACATTGGATTAAGCGATGCCGAGAATGTACCGTGCAATTTATTATTTTATTGAAGTCACAATGGCTAAAGAGTATCGCACATTGCAGCGAGAGTCCATTACGAGGTGGCTCAGGGTATACTCAGTTTCGTTTTGCTGTCGAAAAGTGCCATCAAGTGACACTGCACTAATAGATGTCGCTCTTCACAACCGCTGAATATGAGGCACCTCGTTTAGTTGATGATAATCGTAACTAAATATGAAGTTTTAAATACGTTAGTGAAGCGATTTAGATGTTCACGGTATCTGCTTTCTAAATGTGGAATGTGAGGCAGTCGTCAACAGGCCCCACACTTGGAAATGCAATTATTACTTGGTGACCTGCATCGTCTTCGATCATCAACCACAGTTTTAACATGTCAAGGTTCCTCCCATATGACCTGCTTTAACAAGACGCGCTGTTTTGCCTAACCGAGTCCATTGAGATTATCTCTGCTTTGCCTTGACGCTTGACATGAGCAGTCTCGCTCTATCGAGCTCTGGGAATGCCTGTAGTGTTTTCCCTGACGTCTGGAAAATACTTGTCAATTTTATATTTATCATCGATGAACATGTTTGTATAGGCTCTTCTTGAGATATGTGTGAGGATAGCTCCTCAGCGCCTGTGTACGCCTCTAGACGAGCAGAAAATACTACCAGAGTTTGGTCCGCCATTTATGCTATCCTTTTGAAAAATCGTGGAGACAGGGGATGTCTTGTTACCCAGAGGTAAGATTAGTGAATATTTCATGTTCTATCCTCAAAGAGTATCAAACTCAGGCTCGGTTGTTGGATTGACGACACGTGTTATTAAGTGCAACAGGATTGCCGTACACCCTTGCACAGAGAAAGCTTAGACTTAGAGTCTGATGAACGCACAAATGATGGCGTCCCTTAGACAGTAAATAATGTTTCACGCCACTCAAATTAGTGCTTGTACCACATATTTGTGTTTTAACATCTACAAAGACAAACAATACATAGCACATATCCCATACCATCGTGACCATCCCATGCCGAGTACTAATCATGATACTTCTTTAGGTAGTTCACCATGATACTCATGAGCTTCGCTCTGACTTCTTGGTACAAGAGTGTAATGTGCTCGCACAGCACCTAACATATGATACGCTTCAGGTTAAAATCCCCTTGGACTACACTTGTCATCTATTTACAATTGGCAGACTCATCGTTACAGACTCGAAAGGTTTAGGAATCAGTCACCTGTTTTAAGGTGAGCTTGCTTTAAAAATATTGCACATTGCACTTAGCCGTTGTATTGGACATGGTCACACTCAGGGAATTGCAGCATAGTGTCGCCTTTACCTACCACCAAAAGCGACCCAGCTCACAGCTATCAGCTCCGATACAAGTAGTGACTCCCGGCAAGAAATGTAATCAAGACACTGTATTAGAAACAATCGAGCTGGATCCTCGCTGGTCGCATTAACTTTGACAGCAGTGAGATGAGCCGTCCTGGTCAAACGGTCCACAATGACCGCAATTTCGGTATTACTGGACGCGTTCTTCAAAGACCAAATGTCAACCCCATACCTATTGATACCAATACTGCGTGTCGGAACCAGCACGCTGGCCAATGAGCCGTCGCACGCGGCGAGAGTTCATTTGTTAGCACGAATCATACCTGCGCACATGCACTTACTTGCTTATACATGTTGGTCAACAATAGATATAATTTGCGAAGCAGTATGCCTTTTTCTTTCAAAAATGCCAGCCAAAATGGAGTCATATGACTCATACCACTGTTCTATACTTGGCGTCCTCGTTGTGAGGCACAACTGCGCTTTAAGTGTCATGTGGGGCAGTGCTGTGATACAACAAGTCATAGGGTAAAGCACAGTGCTACAGGAGTGCAATCGCTGTACGTATCGCCTCATCTATTGGCTTTGTCAAATTGGTGACTTGAGACAATTTTTGTAGAGGCGACGCGAAAGATCACAATAAGTTAACTCGGCTCATACACTACCTCAAAGGTATACTCGACAAAGAAGCATAGCTATCAAGCAATTAATAGCGAGAGATTTGGTGATGGCCAGATCTTAAACGGCTTAAAGCCAAGAAGGCGCTTCTAAAACTTGACGAGGAGATACTTCATTGCCAGAAGCTTATTGTAATGGACAAAATAATTTTATTTCGCTTTTTCAGCTTGCGAGATCTTAACGCGATCTCGCGTTCAGACCCATCCGAATATTGTTGGAGTAAAGTGCAGCCTATTGGTAGGGGTGAAGCACATATAGCGGTCAATCCGGATCCGAGAGGGCTAAAAATCGGAGCACATCCGAAGCATTCTTTCAGGCTTAGTGGTGGCATTCGCTGCTACCATTTAATAATTTCCCCAATAGGATTGACAAGAGATCGTGTCATATCTGCATAGTTTGCACTGGATATGTTCAAAAATATGCTGACCACTCTACGCTAACTTCAGATCTTGCGTGATCTACCCGTATACTTTTCCATGGAGCAATGAAGAAAGTATTGTTTGTCCATATTGACGGACAGCAGATATAAGCGTATACAATCGGACATTGCTCGACGCGTTAAGTTTGCTTTTTATCAGCCAACTATCCGCGTTCTGCACGACTATGAACAATTTTGTCATCGAATAGGCAAGTGCATCGTCTAAACAGCTGCGTTACCACACAACTGAATGTGACCGGTGAGTCATGCATTCCTAGAAACACAAACAATTCGTGGCGAACAAGCAGCATCCCAGTAATAGGAACATCGCTGTTAGACGCAATTGCACTGCTGAAAGCTTTGGAAAGCATTCGGGCTTGGAGTCAGATGTCACTTTAGAAAGAGGTAGCGCATTAAAAACTCTATCCCTAGTTTTAAGCTTGTTGCATGGCAAAACTAATGAATTCGACACGCAGCGTGTAGTGGTGCCTGATGATGAGGTATAAGAGTTCTGAATATTTGATGTGGCATTCAAAAACGTTCAGCTCAGTGAGCGCTATTTACTAGTGACTTGACTTGTACAAATAGGTAGGAACTTGTGGGCGCATGTGTGAAACGTGCTAGCTGGTAAAGCTTCGTCAGTAACTTTGGTCGGTCTGCCGGTCACAGCAGATTACTGGTAAATGCTTATTGGTCTCTTGCAAGATGCCTTCAAGCTATATCAATATTGTTATCTCTGTACGCCATACGATATTGATTGCTCATCACACGCTATTAGCGACACTTAAACTGGTGATAGAATAGCCAGGCTCTTTTTCGACAAACATTTTAGCATGGCAAGTCAATGCCCTTTACCTCGGATCAACAGCTGACCGTTTTTACAATTTTTTACGAACATGTTAAGGTGTTTGATACCCGAAGTTTTGTCCCAGAATCCGCTTGACATCACAACGATTGCCTTTGGTCCTGATGAGAGGGTGGCTTGCTTTGCCGAAATAAATTCGGATGCCCGCGTAGAAAATCGACGAATCATCTCGAGAAGATTGAGCATCATACGCCGGGTTGGCGGCGCTAAGCACCGCAATGTGCAAAAGCGATACAAGATGTCATAGGCGTATGTGGAACACACACGAGCTCGTGCTGGGCGACGAAGTTATGTTATTAGGCGCTGCAAGCCTACCTACATGTGTGTGTTTACAGTCCGTATATGTAACCAATGTTCGATATCGCTACATTGGAACGCTAGCGACCAAAGGCAAAATTAAAGCAAGCCGCAATTTTGTTATATCAACATAAAGCAAGAGCATATATGTCCCATGTGGATTACTAAAAACGCACCAAGACCCCGCACTCGCGGGTCCGTTACATGCAAATCTTTCTATTTGAAGCATGGGAATATATTGACCATTAACTTCAGCTAAGCGGCGTTATGCTTGAGATTTGCAACCCGATTCCGCGCGCCTTAAGTCTTCGGGTCTGTATTCGTAGCTCATGGGGCGCATCAAAAATTGACGGATGTCTCTATAGCCGAACACCGAGAGAGTCGGCGCGCTGTCATTATCAAGTGAGCACACGAAATATAGCCGCGAAAGTGTAGATTTCCATTGCCTCATCTTGACGAGCAATAGATCTTAAATTTATATGTAGAAAGGATTACGGACTGGCCGCTTCCCAGAGTACCAAGCGAAGTGGTGGGGGCATCTTTACTGCGATATTTCATTAGATTTTGGAATTCCTAGATCGTCCTGGTGCCGTTGCGACTTTACGTACCTCTCTGTCTTTCCCTCCTTAGGTAAATGGACAGAGTCACGCAGCGCAATTAGCTTCCCACTAGCAAGTGGGGCTTGCTCAAAACTTGCTCTGCAGCTGTAATATATGAACTTAAGTTACATAGGGCTGTTAAGGAGTCAAAACATAGGTGGAAAGTGCGACGGGTACGTACCGTAAGAAGTACGCATAACGCTTTTGCGCAAGTGTCTGGAAATTAAAGAACTGGTACCGATGAGGACAATGGTGATCTGTGGAATACGTGGACTGTTGACCTCACGTCAGACAAAAATATAGCATTTACTGAACATAGTGAAATCGATATGTGTAAATCATCCTTGATTTTTAACTGCATGACGCTCTTGGCATTGAACAAGGTCAAAGAGTCACTAAGATCCCTGATTTTGTTTGCGTATGGAGCCTTTACGCGTAACCTTTGCGCGCTATGAAAGTAGAATCTTTGAATCAGAGTTTCTGCTACGCATAGTATAAGGCAATCTGTTGCACTTGATACCACTTGCGATCTCTACAACGAACAAGACATGAATGGACTGTATTCTCGGTGAGGATCGACAAAAATGTGATTTAATATTTTCTTGTGTCAGCTCGGTACTTCGAATTAGCTCATGTCTATCATTGGCCCCGAAGGGATACAACTTTTGCGGCTCGATGGCTGGAAAAGAAAATCGCACGTCATGAGGCGCTCACCAGATGTGAGAGACTTCTCCAAGAGTGGTCTAGCCAGGATTTGGTGAGAACTCAATCGTCTTCCACCGCAAGGCTGCTGATGCTCAGACCCCGGTCCTTCGAGAACTTGGGCAAAGAATAATAGTTTTTATTAAACGGTGAAATGACCTTATATGTCGGGAGCAACAGTGCGTGCCGCCATAGCGATATCCAAGGTAAGAGGTCGGATATCAGCGTGCAGAACCTCTGTATATAAGCATGCCGGCACAGGAGAGATGGAGCGGTAGAGTGACGCGGTCGGGGCATTTGTCCAGCATCATGTTTGACGGGCTATGCCCAAATTATGCGAGCTCTCGCGGTTGCAGCAGGACCCAACACACCTTCGAAGACGATTCTGGTCACCATGTTTATGGCGGAGGTGCTGTATGCACTGATACCCATCGCGTCCACCCAACCTATTTCAAAAATGTGGTAGGTGTCACAGTTTCTGCAAAGGGCAGCTCCGTACCGCGAGGGCCGATTGGAATGTGGTTGGTAAAAGATCTATGAGCGAGACAAAGTCAGTGGATCTATATCGTGCTGATAAGAAATAGAGCTCAATTAGCTGCTGATCGGCACCATGGTACTCGCAAATGCTTTTTATGTGGCATTACTCTGCGCCACAACCATGATTGTTGGCTGTCAACATTAAGGTTTTGCGCTTTTACGAAGCAGTAAAATTTGAAAAGGCAACGACGCGCACCGATCGTGTCAAATGAAGACACGGCAACTTCAAGTCCTGCGATGGGAACACTAGTCAGAGTATTGCAAGATTGATTGAGCCTTTTTGTAAAATAAGAGGCTTTTATTGGCGTAGTATGCCTACTAGTTTCAATGATGATTTCGTCCTCGGTATGACGTCAGCTGACAATATCTGATAAAAGTCAAATTATATAGATGTCACACCTCCACGCCTGGTCGAGCTTTGGTTAGTTTTGAACTTATCTTTGCTGATTAGTAAAAGCGCTTTTGACGCGACAAAAAATTGCAGTGGCTTTGGTGCAAGACATAGAGCTCTCCAAATTGATGAAATGATGCTCGTAGAGCCATGAGAAAAGCTCAAGAGGATTGAGTTGCAACCTTAAGTTGAGACAGAAAATAATGATTCTACATCGCAGACTTTGATGTGTATATCTGCAGAGAGAGGAACAGGTGATGGAATGTCAAAGTCTCCAGAGTAAAGACTCGTTTCGGCCAGTTGACACAAGTCAAGGCAGTGATTGTGTGTCGCGGTCCCCTATGACAGGCTAATCAATTGATAAGTCACAAGTAGAATAATCAGGCCCTAAAGTTACTAGAAATATTCTTTCTTTGGTGGAGGCGCTATGTGTCGTGGCCTCTTGTACATAGCCGATGAAGTCAAGTAAGCGTGCTTGTGAAATCGCAGTTTTGGAACAAGACAAGTAAGTGACTGTGACGTGTATCGCAGTATCTTGCGTCAGGTATTTGGAGATGACTGGCGTTAAGTCTCATGCTGAAGAGCCAGCCATTGAGGGTAAGAATTGTCCATACGTGTCATGATATGACGGTACTGCTGACTCAGCAATACCGTGTGACGCGCACACTGCGTGGAGCAATGAAGCTTCACGGGTAAGTAGAGAGACATGTCATCTAATTACCAATAGGGTGACTGAGGTATAGCTTAAATTTGTGAGTTTCTCCTCATTCCCCGTTTCTGATAAAACAGCACGGCATGATCATAATCGACTCACCACGCGTGTTGCTCAAAATTGATATAGCTAGTGCGTCAGAAAGCAATGACCCTTGCAGTGGAAACAATGTACGTTATTGAGACGTTCTTCCGTGCAAAGCACGAATCGGGTTAGGTAAGAAGGATTAGTTCCCTTTTATCGGCACCGACTTTGTGTGTCATTGAGGCTAGCGAAAAGTGACGATATGTGTATGTTACTACAAATTAAGTGCAGCAATCGTTCCCAACGCAAGCACCGACCCTGAAAAAGATGTGCGCAGAACCGCATTGTATGTTGTACTTAGTTCAGTGCTGAATGACTATATCAAGACTTGTGGGTAATAACAATTTTTACGCACTGCGAGATGCTATGAGAATGTTTAATTATACCAAAGGATCGTCGAACGCACTAGTGACGTTCAATTCTTTGGTGAGACAGCTGTTTAGACTGCATCTTGCATACGTATAGACCTGCTTGGCGATGAATTGTCTGTCGTCATACCGAGGGCAGAAAATCAGATGCGGGCATTCTCAAAAACATCTGCGAGCATTGATAAAGTGAATACGCTCGATCAAGGTATTTGCGAGATGTTTTTGGCACCGATGCGATCCCCTTTCCGGATGCTTCATTGAAAAGCTTGGGCTTCACACCCGCAAAGATCAAAGACATCAAAATCGGCTTGAATATATTTCCGAAGCAACTAAATACATTTGGCTTACTCCAGTAAATTTAGCGGTGGGGTACTATGACACTTTTTGCCTCAAAGTGCGAGCATGCGGTGCGCAATCTGTTTAGAAGATGGAGCGAAGTAACGCGACTTTCTCAGTGGATCGCTTTGCCTTATGTCACACTCGGAATCGGAAAGCGAAAATGCCGAATTAAAATTGCAGAATCCCTATGACAATTTTATTTATCGAAGAATCTCTTGGCGATTTCATCAAAACTACGTTGAAGACGGCGGCTGCAAACTCCACGCATTTTTAGAAAGCGCGCTGGATTATAACTGACACAGCAGGAAAGACTTCTGGTGGCACATGAGGCGTGTGTAAGTCCGTACTACAAAGACTGAGTGGAGCGAAAACGTGGACGTCGTTGGGCTTTAATCTTGCGAAAGATCTTAAATAGGCGAAAAACGTGCAAGCTCAACTTTGATCTACCTGAGGATGTGACGGGATTCGCACTGTGCTTGATTATACGTATATATCACACTTTTGTGCAAAATGATGCAAAGTCAGACTTTGGTTTGTGTAATTGCTCAAAATATAGAGGTACAAGCGTACAGTTGAGAGGATGATGAAAATCCGAAGCAGAGAGATCTATAAGACACGTAGGCTGTCAGCCTCAAGTCGTGCAACGCATATCAATTTATTATGAACACAATAAAGGAGACAAAATTGGTGTTAAGGTCACTCAGCATACCATTCATGAAACCAAGTAAGAGCGAAGAAGTAATTAGTTAAGTAAGAGGCGTCCGAATTTGCTCCTGGGTGAAGCATTGAACTCAAACTATACGTGTTGCTAGCCGAATTCTTTGTGTCAAAGCTTGCTCTGTGCAAAGTGCAGGGCAAACCTAAGGCGAATGTTTCGCCCGGCACTTCCTACAAAACTTACTGTAACAGCTCAGTGATTTTTGCCTTTTTGCAATCCCTTGCAAACGGCATTTCCTCAAGCTGAAATACAGCTTTATCCTAAATGAACAAGGGATATCCGGGTTTAAAAGTTAATACAAGTGTTCGTCGCACATTCGAGGAGTCTCACTGCTCCACACGGTTAGAGCGTCACAAGGTTTTGCTGGCGAAGGGGTACCATTGCATCGTGACACGAATGGTCCGCGGTAAGTACTACCAAGGTTCGATCCATTCACTTGCGACTAAAGACTGAGCCACCAAGACGCTCTGACTAGCCTCCACGAGATGGAACCCAACGATACCTCGACACACTGCCGCTTTTTCTTTCCACAGCAGCTGATCTTGGAAGACCCCAGCTTATATTTAAAGCCATGTATTTCCTCAGAGATGAACATGAAAATCTGCGGCTCACTAACGCTTCTCTTTCCTGGGTCTAGCTGAAAGCACATAAGCAACATCGTTGCTGGTAATTTCGGGCATCCTCAAAGTTTGCAACGAGGCTATCACAACTCATACTGGCGTCAAAAGCACTTCTACTTCTTAGCTATGATGCTTATATATCACCAGTTGTCTTTGGTTTACGGCTTTTTGTTTTACATACTACAAATGCGATTGTAGCCGGTCTAAGACCATTCAGCTTTTCATGCTGTCAGAGTCCTCAGACTCCACATAAAAGAAAGGCAAATTTCCAACATGTCTCGTGTTCTCCTACTGATACTAATCCGTAATTGGCATATTGAATGCTGATTTTGATTATTGCATGTGTTGTACGACGCGTTTGAACTTATAAATTATCTTTATGGCCACACAAGGCCCGGAATGTGGGTATTTTAACCTCTCGATTTCAGATAGCCAGACTCCACCGGAAGAGCCTCAAAAGGATTAGTTCTAAACAAAATCGGTAGCAATGTGGAAATCAGTTGAGCTACGACAGACGTCTGGTAAAGGTATCCTAGAGGTGTATAACCGGGCTTTAACAAGCTGGCAACGCTTCCAAGAGAGCGATAACCGTTTCAGGCCCTTGGAATGTTATAATTTTGAGAAACAATCGAAGGCAAAAGCCTATCAAGATTTTATTGTTGTCCCGAGGACAAATAAGTGGTCAACTTCTACCCCATCTTAACAAAATATTAGCATTGCTTAGACTCGGCCATCGGATTTACAACCGGCACTGCCAGCTGCAAAGAGAATACCGTGCACCTCGCTTATAAGAGGCTGTAAATATCTAACACAAAGCCCTTCAGTAGTATGAACTTATTTTTTCAATTCGTTAAAGTTAAGTCTGGCTTAAACTTGTACTACATATATAACTTTTTCGACGGCCATAATAAAGCCCCATGTTATCATTAGTGTGGGGTACCAGTTCATTAGTTTCTCACACTTATCGTGCACAGAATTGCAACTCCCTTAATCTTCCCGAATGCTAATCGAACTACTTTGTCACGGGGTTTCACCTTGGCACTTCTGGCTTAGCTGAAAGTCCGAAATTTGAGAGTATATTTCCTGACACCATAGTACGGTAAGCACCTCGTTGTAGTATATCTACCAACTATATTTCTGGTATAAGCTACCGCTTTCGGTCATTGTTGTAGATTTATATTGCGTGACGCACGTGACTGGCAAGAATTCAATACAATAATGGAAAATGGTGGTCACGTAAGGCAATGGACCTATACGAACTGTGCCTGCATTGCATATTGAAGGCACTAAGAAATACCCAATCGATCATCTCAAATGTTGAGCTGCTAAAATTGCTTTACCTGCATGTTTTTTTAGGGGGACCGGATAAAGAGTCACCATGTTCGTTCTTCTTCCTTCCCAGTATTACAGTTGTGCTTGGAAAGATAAAGGATGTACTCCGACGAACGCCCGTAAGCTGGAACTTGGCTGCCTACAATGCTCCACTGTTTGTTAAATCCGCTTTCTTTCTATTCGTCATTTGCGCTTCCGAAAAGGCTTCATTCTGTAAGCTTCGTAGAGTTTACTCTGCTCCGAACGATTTGTCTTAAAAGAATGGAATGAAGTCTCTGCCACGGACCTTGTGTAAATTTGCTGGTATGAGTGTCAATTGGTTTATTTTGTTGGACACGTCATGCGGAACTACGGGATACCCCCATCAGTATACCGCACAATCAATCGATCGACTTCGTTTCCTACCAGCAAGACCGGATATTCTTGTTGGCGAGCCACCACATCTTGAATACTAAGGCCTTCTCGTCTAGCAACCATGAACTGATTCGATGAATACGGGCCAGCTTTACAGACAATGTTGTCAGCTTGCTGCGATTCCAAGCGTGACCACTTTGCATCACCACGTCGACCTCTTCCATTGCTAGGACATTATAATAAAGTTTCCTGCAGCCTAAGATTGCGCAAACAAACAATCCATAAATTGCAGCGATCACAATTCAGTCGGGTTTACTTGATATGAACGATACTCTGAAAGCGAATTCTGAAATGATCTAGTGACCACAGCTATCGCAAACGCATCGACAACCATCGCATCGTACTAGGACATTTTGAACCCATTTCTTCAACCAACGTTCTCTTTGCGCAGACTGCTGACCATTTGTTTGCTCCACGAATGAAACTGCCATGAAAAAGAAAATCTCAACATCCCTTTGCAACCAGGTCGATCCGGTAAAACTTACGTTAAGGGCACTGAACGCAAAATATCGCTTTTTTCGAGCAGGGCAAGAACTCTTCCACCTCAACCGGTCATAACGCTTGCTCCGTCGGAAAGAGTCACAAGTTTCGCCCACTTGGGTGGACTGTCAACAAATCTAATTGTATGAGGCCGAAGATTTTGATGTTGCTGTGTTGATCAAACATTGGAGCTTATAGAGGATATCGAGCGTCGTGAATCTCGAAGATATCAATAAATACGGCAAGGCAGTTCGTTAGCTTTCTTTGGCCGGATGTTGTTACACATGGACACTGTCTGTAACTATGCTATTGACAGCTATTAGGATACATGGACAACTTGGAGATGCCAGGGTGGCGATATGCAAATCGAAAATCAATTTTCTTCAATCAGCGTGGATTCTAATCCAAGACCTTTAATGCGATGATACCGAAGCAAGAGTATATCATTAACTGATGTAAAATTGACAACTACGTCATCTCGAGAAAAACCAGAGACTCGGCTGTGAATACCACGATAAACCATGCGAGTGGTATTCGTGACCAAACGATATAGCAGAACGTTCGTAGTCGTATCGATATACAAAAATGATACTTCGTATAAATCTTTTTCAGCTCAAATTACGAAATTTAGCGAGTTTGAGAATTGCCTTACTCGTGCTCATGCCAAACATATCGAGATTTTGATTTCTAACAAATGATATAATTTTAGTGTACGAATTGAGAATTGTGCAACTTGTCCTCGCTGGTCCCATTCTTATATCTTTTTGTTAGATTATGAGCATAAATTGTTCCGTATTATACACAAAATCGTCACCAAATGCACCGCATTACTTTCGTAGAAGCGTCAACTTTGAGGCCATACTACAGCTCATAAATAAGTTTTAACTTCGTGCGGTTGGTTTTTAGCTAAGCAGACTGATCTCGAGCACTTCATACAATATGGCTTAAATGTGATCTACTGAGTCGTGGAAGTTTTGGCTGATTTTGGTAATGTTTGTTTAGTTTGCTTTAAATTTGGTAATTTACCAACAATAAATAGTCCTAAAACGCATAAGATTGGTGTCATTTACACAAATACAAAACGACTGGCATTGGTGGTGCACAACAAATGGGTGTGTTGTGCAGTCTTTCATTCAGAACGGGAGATATTATCTAGAGCTTAGACATCGGCGATGGTCAAGAACGTACGCATTACTTACCGCCGTCGGCACTCATATGCCACCAAGTCCAACAGCATCAGGGCTGTTAAGACTCCTGGTAAGTCATACAGTTGTAATTATAACAGATATCGACCTGGGCGCCGCCTTAAGAGATCATATATACTTATTTTATGCTTTCTTATCGTTAGGTGGCAAGCTTGTTGCTCAATACCGCAATAAACGCGCAGCTGGCCCCAAGTGCGGAGACTGCAAACAGACGCTTAAAGGTATCAAGCACCTGCAGTCGAAGCAGTACAAGAACATTAGCAAAACGCAACGCACTGTGTCTCGCGCCTACGGTGGCTCGCGTTGCGCTCTGTGCGTGCGTCAGCGCATCGTGCGTGCGTTTTTGATTGAAGAACAAAAGATCGTCAAGAAGGTGCTGATGGAGAAGCTTAGGAAGAGCAAGTCGGCTTAAGCATTTCTTTCGCTTCTTTTGAAAGGTTACTTGTCAGAGTTCTTTTCTTCCCGTGTGGCTCAGGGCTAGCATAATGCAAGTTTCATCGTCACGACCCGTTCCGATCAGCGTTGGTTGTGCATTTTGTTTATTTTCAATTTGGATTACGTACAATGCCCTATTATATATGGAGAGGAAGTACCGATTCAAATTCAGGCAATCAGCATATTCAGCATGATATTGCGTAGATATCCTCGCATCTTTACAGGGCGTAGATCTAAATGTTTACATTGTCCACAATGTTGCATACTCCATCAACACCCACTAATCGTCCTTCATAAGTTGCCCGTTAATCTCTCTCACTGATTGGTCAGATTTTTTTGTGCTCAGGATTAATTTTGTCTTTCATCACGGTGTCCGCATTCCTCGAGCTCGCTCCCTGGCGAGGGGGAATCTTCTCGGCCTCTACCTTCACTCTTGCCACATTCTTCCGCTCATCCTCGCTACCAACAATTGATCTGCAAGTTGAGATCTCTCTACCTTCTCTTACATGCTTCGGCCTCAGGCGTTGCATACGGACCGCACAATTCAAATGCACTTCCAGGACCGAGAGCATGTTGAAACGCTGCTAGTTTCCCTGGTGCAACGTTTGGATGTCAGTGACAGCTCCGTGCGAACAGCTCGAGTTTCAGAGCTATACTCAGCTGTAGCATCACTCAGTCGTCAGCTGTCAGCTGAACGCTTTGCAAAGGCGTTGGGTCAGCTAACTCCACAGCTGTACCTGCTGCTGCAGCGAGGATCCAACGAAACAGCCCAATTGGGAGCCTTGCTTGCAATTGAACGCCTCATTGACATATCAAATGAGGATCAATTCATCCGCTTTGTCAACTACCTGAGATACTTCTTACAACAGCCTCAAACTAGTAGAGGAGCTTTGCTGGCAGCATCGTCAGCCATGGGTAAGCTTGCTGCTTCCAGTGTCAGTGGTACGCTCGTGGCGAGTTTTGTCGATTTTGAGGCTAAGCGAGCCTTTGAGTGGCTTCAAGACACTCAATTAGGCTCGCATATCGTCCGAAATGAAGCGGTTGTGAGCCAAAGGCGACTTGCAGCGTGTTTTGTTCTGCGTGAACTGGCACAAGCAGCTCCGACATTATTTCATGTGAATTTGACCACCTTTTTCCAGAGTATTTGGGGCGCAATACGCGACCAGAAGGTCGAGATCCGAGAGGCTGCAACCAGCGCGTTAGCAGCGTGTTTGCAGTTAATTACTAAGCGACAGACACGACATCGTGTGCAGTGGTACTGCAAGGTCTATGATCAAGTGTTCGAAGGCTTAGCCTTGCGTAGCAATACGACGGAATCCAATTCTCCACTCACGACTACACACCAGGCTCAAATTTCTTGGGAGTGCGCGCATGGGTCGTTACTTGTAATCGGCGAGCTCATTGCGAATACCGGACGCTTCATGGTGCCACGATTTCGAGAAGTATGCGATACAGTTCTGCGGTACAAAGACGCAAAAGAGAAACTTGTAAGTCGTGCTATTTCAAAACTCTTGCCGCAATTGGCCGAGTTTTGTCCCGGAGCGTTTATCCAGCACTATCTCGACGTCTGCGTGGGGCATTTAACCAAGCGGATACAAGAATATTCTGCGCCATCTTCTGAGCGCGGCGTGGCCTTCTTAGCAATAGGAAAACTTGCATTGGCTGTTGGGGAAGCCTTGTTGCCTCATCTTCCCTCGATTTTGAAATTAATTAAGGAGGCGTTGGCGCCACATATTGAAACGAAGCGTAAACGGGCTCGAAACAAATTCTTTTGTGTGCAAACACTCACGTGTGTGGCGAATCTGTCGCGAGCATTGGGACCTCGATTTGAAACGTTTTTGTTTCACGATGGGGTGCTAGAGACGATGATGATTGGTGGCCTGAGTGACGAGCTAATCGATTCTCTTACTGAGGTGGTTGATAGTGTACCGAGCGCATTGCCGTATGTGCAGGAACGTCTTCTAAATGAGATCTCTGGCATTTTGCGGGGTACTCCATTCTCGTTAGGTAGTGGAGCAGTCTATTTACCATCAACTGTCACTTCATCTAGCGGAGATGGTATTGAATTGACATTGGATGCATCCTACCTTGATACTAACACGGATACTCCGCCTATAAGGCAAACAGCAGTTCAAGCCCTATTTTCGTCAATGAAGCGAGGATTTACAAGCGCGAACGAGGATTTATCGAGTGGAACTGGTGCGTTAGTGATCAAAGGCGAGACGGGAGATGAGATTGATACCATTTTGTTGTCGTTGCGCACACTGAGCTGTTTTGATTTCAGTGGAAGTTTTTGTCTAATGCCTTTTGTGCGTGACTGTGTGGCACTATATCTTAAAAATTCGGACGCACGCATTCGTAAACAAGCTGTGATAACTTGTAGCAAGCTTCTGCTTCCTTCACCCGAGGCGACTGATACATGGAGACACTTAAAAAAACGGGGTCCTACCGGACGGGTTATCAATTTGGTGCTCAGTCAATTGCTTCAAGTTGGCATTTCGGATATGGATGTGGCAGTAAGAAGGAGTGTTGTAGAATCCTTGGATGCACGTTTTGATGAGCTCCTGGTTCAGGAGCAACATTTAAAATTGATATTTTTCTTCTTGAATGATGAAAATGCCACCATCCGCGAACATGCCATGCAATTACTGGAACGATTAGCACCTCGCAATCCAGCGTTCGTGATGCCATCCTTACGCCGTGTACTTATACAACTTGTCACGGAATTACAGCATACATCGGATCCACGAATGCGTGAGGACAGTACCCGTTTGATGGGATACTTGATCCGTAGTGCGCAACAGCTAGTGGATCCGTATGTCATGCGTATTCTTGAAGTGCTGTTGCCCATGCTTGTGCGCGAAAGCGCCCCACTGACTATAGCTGTGTTGATTACGCTTGGTGAACTGGCGCTCGTGTCGCGGACGCAAATTGCTGCGTACGAACGGTATCTCTTTCCACTCATTATTCACACTCTCCAAGATCATTCGTCGATCGAAAAGCGTCAAGTGGCATTACAGACACTGGGTCAACTTGCAGGCAGTACAGGCTGCGTCATCCGTCCGTATTTGGCATCACCCAAGTTACTTGAAATCTTCTTAAGTCTATTGCACCACAACGTAGGGAGCCCGTGGTCTCTTCGACGTGAGGCAATGCGAACAGTTGGCATTCTGGGTGCATTGGATCCGTACAAGTACAAACTGTGTATTTCAAGGGCCTCCTTGCGGCTAGCAAACGAAGTTGTCTTCATTGCTGATTCATCTACGAATCAAGAAAACATAGAGAGGGACATCGACGGCACTTCGATTAGCGTTTCAACACCGATGCCAGGTACAGTGCCATCTCAGTATCCAACGCTTAACATTGACTTAAAGGCATTAGGCGTCTCGATCAATCTTGCAAGTTTTGACCGCAAAGCGACAAGCGACGCCCTAGATGAAAAGCAGCAGATTGAACTCCAGCTGTTCACGGCTGCGCCAATCGGAACGAGGAAACTCGATGCCACTACAGCCGCTGGAACTCTCAGTGTCGATTCGCACCCATCTCAATCGGTCAGCGGTGTCGCTGATGTTGCTGCAGGAAATTTGTCATCATTGTCGTCGTCTTCTCGTAAAAAACGGCAAGTTGGTGCCACTGACACGAGCTTAGATGAAGATTCATTTGACTTTGAAAGCTCACTAATGGATAGCAAGTTCGAACTTGACCCCACTGAGTTGTCGCCAACATCCGAAGCATACTTCCCAACGGTAGCGATACATGCCCTGTTGCGAATATTATGCGAGCCGTCTCTGAATGCTCATCATCATGGCGTTATCCAGGCCATCATGTTTATCTTCAAAAGTCTAAGCACACAATGCATACCGTTTCTCAAGTACATTTTGCCACCGTTCCTTCGAGTTCTTTCGCATGGGGAGCCTCGACTGCGCGAGTCGTTATTTCTGCAGCTTACAGCGCTAATATCGATTGTCCATGCGCACATGAAGCCATTCTTTCCGCCCATTATGGTGCTGGCCTTGCGGTTTTGGGGCTCACATTTACCACAAATTGTGCGCCTTGTAGAGAAGATTGCACAGGCGGTACCGCATGAATTTCGAACGCAATACTTTCCCAAGTTATTACCAAAACTTCTTGAAGTTCTTCAACCGCATTCTGGAGTGGGTGTTGGCACTGCAGACGGTGATCTATCAGGTGCTAGTGCTAGTGTAAGTGGTACAACAACGACTACAAAAGGCTCCGGAGACGATGTGAATGTCATTGGAGAAGGTGGGGAGCATCATGGACAATGCAATGATAGCGCATCAGGTGGAAAAAGTGAGCACGTGGTCAATACATATGATATTATTCAAAAAGGTGGAGCAGACGGCGCGTCTGTCGTATTGGCGGCGTTTCAGACGCAAGTGGTTCAGTCGTTAATAGTATTCGGCGATGCAGTAGAAGATTACGTGTATCTTGTTGTGCCTGCTCTTGTGCATCTTATGGAGAGTTTTGACACCCCGCTAGAAGTAAAAATCACAACTGTCTACGCACTCGCTCGTATATGTGTGGTTGCCAAGTTTGAGCAATATGCTGGTCCAAGATTGCTCCAGCCTCTTGCCCGAGTAGCGTCACAGGTATCTGCAAAAGGAGCGTTTTTCTTTAGTCGCTCAGGCAGCACTACTGCCATTCCTACAAGTAGTGGTACAAATGGATCCGGATCATCTGGAAACGGATCTATGGGTGCAGGGGTGGCGCGGATTGCTACTTCTAAATCAGAAGCAACACGATTCTCCGAGGTAATGCTCTATGCCCTCGGAGCTTTGGTCTTTCAGCTACAAGCGGAAGTATTGAATTTTGAACCATTATTGCAGCAGATCATTGCGTCTCTGCCGTTCTCGCACCGTGGCAACCTCACTACAGCGGCTATTGATACTGAAAACGGTAATTCTTCTTCGTCAACTCACCTGATGGTACAACGGATTGCACAAGCATTGGAGAGCTTGCGCCTCGGCAAACGCGTGTCACGGACATTTCTCAATGATCCAGCCTTTATGACGCCTTCGCTACGGAAGTTTTTTACGGTGTTGCAAGCGCAAACAGCAGCGGCGATGCCTTCAGCGGCCACCCCGCCTACCAATGCTCGACTACACGTCAATCAACAAAATTTGCGACGAGCTTGGGAAGCATCTCAGCGCAGCACAAAAGATGATTGGCTCGAGTGGATGCGGCGTTTCTCAATTGAACTGCTTCGTGAATCTCCCAGTGCCGCGCTACGTTCGTGCTGTGCATTAGCTCAAGCCTACAACCCGCTGGCTCGTGCCCTTTTTAATCCGGCCTTTGTTTCTTGCTGGAATGAACTGTATGAACAGTATCAGGACTATTTGGTGAGAGCTTTGGAGACGGCATTTCAGAGCGACACGATACCAGCCGAGATATTGCAGACGCTTCTTAATCTTGCGGAATTTATGGAGCACGATGTCGAGGCATTACCTATTGATATTCGAGAGCTGGGAGAGTTAGCACAAAAATGTCATGCTTATGCAAAGGCTTTGCATTATAAAGAGTTGGAATTCCACACGTCTCCTAGCACGTGCATAGAGGCGCTCATCTCCATCAACAATCAGCTAGGTCAACCAGAGGCTGCTGTTGGTATTTTAAAATACGCGCAAACACACCACAGTCGGGTCATCCAAGTAAAAGAAACTTGGTTTGAGAAGCTTCATGATTGGCGCGCTGCACTTGCGCTGTACGACCGACGACTGCAGTATGCGCAGCAGGAGGCAGGCGACAATCAAGAACTCGACATTGAAGTTTGCATTGGAAAAATGCGGTGCTTAGAGGCATTGGGAAAGTGGGAAGAATTGGGTGCGCTAGCTTCTCAAGTTTGGGCTGCATTGCGCTCGCCTGAGCGTTTTTCAAACCAAACCAATGTCCAGCCGCCTCGCAGCCGGCTATTGTCTGCTAGTCGGGGACCACCCAGTGGATCTGGTGTTGTTTCTGGTCGAGGCAGCGCCACCCATCCTCGTAATAGTACCCACTCTTCTTTGGCCTCGACCGGAATTTCTCCGGGTTCCTCCACTTACCAGCTCAAAGAAGATCGTAGTGATGACGTTGCCGCGCTTCGAACAGTGGCAATGCTTGGTGCACGGGCTAGTTGGTGTTTGTCGCAGTGGGATAGCATGGCACAGTACGTGACCGAGTGTTCCGCACAATATGACAAAAGCAACTTCAACAGTACAGTAATATCACGAGCCGCGAATGACAATAGTCATGGCTATGGATACGGACACATGCACAGTCACGGAATCTTTGGTGCAGATGAAGATGTTACGGAGTTGTCGCTGTATGAGTCTGTCTTAGCCGTCCACCATAACAAATTCGATCAAGCGGCGATGCTAATCGATAAAACACGAAAGACGCTGGATACAAAACTGGGTGCGCTGGTAGGCGAGTCTTACAGCCGTGCCTACCGCAGCATAGTGACTCTACAGCAACTCAGTGAGCTTGAAGAGATTGTTACATACAAAAAGCTACGTGCTCAGATTTCAAAGGCGGAAGAAGCTGCGCGGTATAAGCGCCACTTGATGCAGATGTGGCGTGACCGTCTATCCGGTTGCAAACGCGTGGTTGATGTGTGGCAGCAGGTTTTGGTGGTCCGTGCCTTGATCTTAGCACCGCACGAAGACATTGACACTTACCTGCAGTTTGCTAGCCTTTGTCGCCAGTCCGGAAACTTGCCTCTGTCACTTAAGGTTTTTACTAATGCATTGCACGTATACAATGGTGCAGGATCTAAAGGAACGGGTATTTCAGAAATGCTTAGTATGGCGCCCACAAGTTCCGGATCCACCACATTTGGGATCGGTGAAAACGATCGACATCGGGTTGGATTTGCTTATTTGAAACATCTTTGGGCTGCTGGACAAAAGCAAGAAGCACTAGCCGACTTACATCGCTTAGTGGTTCGGATTTCATCAGCAGCGCGGCATCGGCCCCAGCCTTCTGGTGGAATGAATGGCTTGCAGTCTTCTACTCCGGCTACGATGCCTATCAAGAGCGAAGAAGAGGAGCTGCTCGTGAAGTGTCACTTAAAGATGGCCGAATGGCAGCTTGCAGTGCACGATCAGCAGATTAAAGAAGTGCCAGTTGAAAGTGTTCTGTCCTCATTGCGGCTGTGCACTGAGCTGGAGCCGCGTAGCTATAAGGCGTGGCATGCCTGGGCCCTAATGAACTTTCAAGTTGTCGAACATTCAACGCACAGCCAGTATTTCTCGGCGAACACGACTGCGTCAGCCGTTGCGGCGTCTTCTTCGGTAGCCCCATTCATCGCGCCAGCGATTGAAGGATTTTTCCGGTCCATTGCGCTGGGTCGTAGTCGCTGGGCTGCTAACGTACAACAAGATATCTTGCGGGTTCTTACACTTTGGTTTGCGCACGGTCACCGCATGGATGTGCATGCTGCTCTGGAAAAAGGATTTCGGTCTGTAAGTATCGAGACGTGGCTTATTGTAATTCCACAGCTCATTGCGCGTATCCACATGCCTTATCCGCGGATTCAAAAGCAGCTTCACCGTTTACTTGTGGCTGTGGGAAAGCAACACCCGCATGCTCTGATCTATCCTCTTTCTGTAGCGCTCAAGTCGTCGGTATGTGAACGGCAGCAAGCTGCGGAAGCGGTCATGAGTACAATGCGTACTAACTACGTGGAACTTGTGGACGAAGCATTGCTCGTGAGTCGCGAGCTTATACGTGTGGCTATTTTGTGGCACGAGATGTGGCATGAAGGACTAGAAGAAGCGTCACGTTTGTACTTTGGAGAACATAATGTCGACGGCATGGCGCAAGTATTGCGACCACTGCATATGATGATGGAGCGTGGTCCAGAGACGCTTCGAGAGGTGAGTTTTCATGGAGCATTTGGTCGTGATTTGCGTGAAGCAAATGAGTGGTTGCAAAGGTTCTTGCGAAATCGACGCAATGAGTCCGATCTCAATCGTGCATGGGATCTATACTACCATGTATTCCGCCGTATCAACAAGCAATTACCACAGATTACTACACTTGAGCTACAAGTCGTATCTCCTAACTTGCTGACCGCGAGAAACCTGCACCTTGCTGTTCCAGGTACATACCGAGCTGGCCATCCCGTTGTTAAGATAGGAAGTTTTTTGCCTACTGTGGCTGTCATCACGAGTAAGCAGCGACCTCGCCGTATCACAATCGTTGGTTCAAATGGACTCGAATACATGTTTCTGCTTAAAGGCCACGAAGATTTACGTCAAGATGAGCGCGTGACGCAGCTCTTTGGTCTTGTAAATGCATTGTTGATAAATGATAGCAACACATCAAAAAAAGACTTAAAGATACATCGCTACCCCGTCATTCCCTTGTCGGACAATGCCGGTATTGTTGGTTGGGTGCCACACTGTGATACTCTTCATCAACTCATTCGTGATTACCGCGAGGCCCGCAAGATTCTTCTTAATATCGAACATCGTTTGATGCTGCAAATGGCTCCCGACTATGATGCTTTGACTCTGCTAGAAAAGGTCGAAGTATTTCAATATGCGCTGGAAAACACGGCTGGTCAAGACTTGTACAAGGTACTTTGGCTTAAGTCAGAAAACTCGGAGATTTGGCTCGACCGACGCACGAATTACACGCGGTCTCTTGCCGTGATGTCGATGGTTGGTTACATTCTTGGGCTGGGCGACCGTCATCCGAGCAATTTGATGCTGCATCGTTTCACCGGAACGATCGTTCACATCGACTTTGGCGATTGCTTTGAAGTAGCTATGGATCGTGAGAAATACCCCGAAAAAATTCCTTTTCGACTTACGCGAATGCTGACGAATGCGATGGAAGTGAGTGGAATCGAAGGAAACTTCCGCTTTTCGTGCGAGAGTGTCATGACAGTGTTGCGTGAGAATCGCCATAGTCTAATGGCGATGCTGGAAGCTTTTGTGCATGATCCATTGATCAACTGGCGTCTTCTTTCAGCTGCAAATATGCAGCCTTCAAGTCATGCGGGCAGCTCCGTTGCATCGAGTTTTGTAGCATCATCGGTTGCTTCCAGTGCCATGAGTATGAATAGCGAGAGCGACTACGAGCCCTTAGAAACGTCCTCACAAGGTCCATCCGAGTATTCTAGTCATGAATCAGAAATGTGTTCTCGTGAACCCTCCGAGTCCTCAATCGGCGAAGACGAGACATCACATCGTCGTAGCGAAAGTATTTCGATTCCAGATTCACGACTGGATTCAACAGCCCCACCACTTAAAGATCGGGGCGGTACTCGATCGGCCAGCAATAAGTTAAGTGGCGACCAAGAAGGTGACGACAAGCAAGGTGGTGAAAAACTCTCAGAAAATTCTGAATCAGACAAGAATGTTGATGATCAAGATTCTACAGCTACTCATTCCCAAGATCAAACATCTGAACAAGCACAACAAAAACAATCATTGCCGCGTCAAGTCAGTGCCAATACCGCGACTCAGGATCGAGTGGAAACAAATGATACAGAAGACCCTCAGCTCCCCTCATCATTATTGTCGCGTCCGATGAGCGTAAGCAAATCCATTCCACTTCCAATGCGCAAGCTTCCACCTCGAGCTCCAGCAGTGAATCGTCATCGTAACAATCCAATCGATGAAAACGAAGATTCCACAATTGTTGAAAAAATCGACTTAGCGACTACAAACTTGCACGCCGAAATGTCGTCTCTGGCCGCCAGTGTCTCCAGTGTAGGTCATTCAAGTTTAAGCCGCAGTTTTTCTGTCACGCAGTCGCAGCTCCAAATTCAGTCTCGTGGGCAGCAGCAACGATCAGGGAATGTTCCATTCGCGCCAGGTGAGTGTCCTCCTGTAGCATTGAACACGCCTTTACCACGAATGGATCCAGCCACATCGACCTCATTCGTGTCGGTCACAGCAGCTGCCCACATTCCGCCATCTTCAGATGGACTTCCTCCATCGACAAGCAACGACTTGCACGCAAACCGCAGCGTCCGTGAACGCGAACTATTGAATGCACTGGGACCTGAAGGTATAGCGGCACCTCGCGTGGCGTTAAATGAAAAAGCAGTGGCCGTCATTCGACGTGTGCAAGCAAAATTGTCGGGCCGCGACTTTGAGGGCGATGGCGGTGATCCACTAGACGTGAGTGCACAAGTGCAGCGACTCATTTCGCAAGCCAGTTCACATGAAAATCTTTGTCAATGTTATATTGGATGGTGTCCATTCTGGTGAAAACTTGCAAAAAGTGAAATAGGATATTGTAAGCAAAATCAATCTATTTATACTGCAAAGCCATTGAATGACAATGATATAGCAGCTATTGTATTGTAGGTCCTGAGAAGCATGTATAATACATTATGTCTGTGTTTCATGATCATGACCACCTTTGGCAATTAAATTGCCACGAATTATTTTTCAGGTAACAATCGAAAGTAACGTACGTCTTAATCATTACGAATGTCGTTGTCAACATTTGCCAAAGAAAGTGGTTCTTCTGACTGAGTTGACGACGCCAACGTGTTGCTCATGCCTCTACGTTTATTAAACGTATCGTCATATTCAGGATGCCACGTTTCCAGTTATTAACGTCACTAAAAAAATGTACGATCTGAACTCCGAAGTGTCGTTGTGCGCGCTTCTGGCCCGGATCGAAAGTCCGCCCGACTCTACGACGCATAATTTTTAAATCGGCTATTGAGCCGACGATGTCAAAAACAAGATACCCCACTGCTCCACCAATTACTACTAGCAATAGAGCAGCACCTTCAATCATTGCTACAAGCATCCAATTTGAAAATGCCGCTGACTCATGAGATGGCGGCAAAGATTCTTCTGATGGCGAACTATTATTCTCACCTGCGATCATGTACTTGGAATTGTATGGTGTGCCAGTCAAGACACAAATATTCGCCGATCTGGTTGAAGCATCACGGAAATTCGAATTTGCCACGGTCAGTTTGAATCCCCAAAGTCAAAACAAAAGTGGCATGATCCTTCATACGAATGGACTGTACTACCTTCGAGATTCAGATATGTTAAAGATGATGAGAAGTATCATCATTATAGCGCTGTCGTCTACACCTCCTCCAGCTTCACTTTCAGTTGATGCAGTCACCAGACTCAAGTGAATTTTGGTCGATTCGACGACATTTGAACAGCACCATGATGTTGAGAGTTCCGGCGAATGACATACCAAATCAGCGCCTCCTTCCAGCAGGACGTATTTTGGAGATCAGGTTGAACTGAGCTAGACTTGTATTTAACCAGGCTTGTACTATCATCCAGTGCTAGGGTAAACGCCAATTGTAGTCGAAATACGCTTGCAAGAACCCGGAAGCTAATAGCACACTATACACGCGCGGAGGTGGCCACTTCAAACTCATTCAGGTCGCCAGGTCAGCACAGCTTCTCTCCTCCTTGGTTGACTCCAAGATAAGCGCAGTATGGTTGAAGCTCATACCAACCACGATAGGCTTGATTTTGAAAGCGGTAAAGTACCAAACTTGCGATCTTCATGACATCGATACCATAGTTGTTTTCCAACTTCAAAATTCGCACTGCGTCTAAGTGACTGACGCCCTGGATGTCTTCCGGGCCCGTAGCATATCGCCAATAATAACATTGACGATATCGGCCTCTACTCCATATTCAGTAGTTGTAGAGATGGAATTCAAGATGGCCACTATCTGATCAGCTGCTAGGTCACTTTTGACCGACTTTAAGGGTCTGGTCTACTGCCTACTCACTGCTGATGGGTCCGGCTTGATTGGTGACTGGAATATCCTGATCAGATCCGCCTTTTTCTTAAGCTTCTCGCCAGCAACCTTCCGCGAAATCTGCACGATATAGAATAGACCAAAGGTGACTTAAAATCGAATCAGCTTGATTGGAATTTGTAATCTATCATGTGCTACATCTGGAACAGTGTCGAGCGTGGCGTAGCTGATCATTGATGTTTCTTGCTTCTTACTCTTGCTTGCCGTCCTAGGAAGAGAATGGAGATCTCTCAAAAACTTTGTCAAAAATGCCACGGGAATGGGGACGACAGCAATCGCAAGGTTTAACAGGGAATATAGACTAGCTTGATATAGTCTATTTTTCTCGCTTCTTGTTCAGCAAAAATGCATTAAGTTTGATCTCCTAGAATTTGGCACTTGCTAAATTTTTAGAGTAGGCAATCAATCAGGCATCAATTTGGTAAAATGACTAATATAAGTTCCTGGAATCAATTTTTCTTTAAACGAGTACGACTTTTCGTTGCTAAAAATGTAATTACTAGATCGATCAATAAACGTTGTCTTCACATTGCTTTCTGGTATATTTAAAATATCACTTCCTCGACGTTGCAGACAGAGATGTAAATGATGTGTTATTTATACCTCAGCTAGCGACCTTGAGTTAAGAGCTCCTTTTATAAGCTTTAAGCACTCATCTAGTAATGCTGCGCTGGAACTTGAGATCTTGCTAGATCAAGGCAACTTGTACATGGTTCATGTGCCTCATAAATAACCAACAACTTTAAAAAAATTATACTTGGAGCTGACGCATGTAAAAATATAAGATCGAGAAACATTTATCGTTAATATGATGCATGCAGTATGGCCTGATCAGTTTCTCCTCAACACCGCTTAGCTCGCTTTCGAAAGCAATCTACGCGTTCTGGGAATTTCAGGGATTGACTAAGTGCGTTGCCTTGCAGGGTTCTCGTTGTGCAGCCTGGAACGTGGATGATCTAAATTAATCAGCGCGATGAATTGCTGTATATGCTGGTAGTCTCATCCAAGAGCAGTTCTAGATTGTCACGCCATGTTTATCGCGTATGCTTAGGCGGTGCCAGCTGAAGGATGACGTCAACCCGTCTTACTATTGATGAGATAAGCATGGTGAAATAATGTGCTGTTTGTGAGTCGGTAGATTCAGCAGGGTAACAACTATTACCTGATTAAAGGAAGATATCCTTTTTTTGAGAGTTTTTTGGAGTTTGAATTTCCACTCCGGCAAGATTGCCTTAGCGACGTCAACGCTTAAGCGTGACATACCCTCAGTTTTTTACCAGGGTCAATACATGGTCGTACAGCACAACGCACTTCCTACTAACGAGTGAGACCCAGCATTCTTCCAAATTTTAGACTTGGCCGATAGATGTACCAGCAAGCTCATGGGTATGGGGAGAGCGGTAGCAGTAGGAGCTGTAGATGACAGCGAGTGTCTGCCTCGACGTCGACGTCGCGTTTTGTACTTCGCAAAGTCACGAATTAAGATGATTATATAGACCAACTTATTTTTTTGATTAAAAATTGCTTAAGGAGCGGTAAGATGGCGCCGTCTTCATGCAGCATTCATGTCACGTTCATGCAACGTTCGCCATATACTCTTTAACAGCGATTGAAATAATCAGTTGACTACTTATAGTTTAATTAACCGCTGCTATTCCAGCCGCTTATACTGGGGGTGAAGGCTTTGGAAGAAAGATTGAAGCGCGTTTTACGAGCATCAATTTAGCCAAAATTTAAGGTCAAAGGGCGCAACCGCGGCGCGGCAGGAGGCTCCGGATGGATCAAATTAGCCTGTAGCGACTTTCCAAAAAGTAGTCCCGCGGTGGGGTACCCCAACATCATTCGCTTTGTAAGTCGTCCATTTCAGTAAGAAACGATGTAACGGAGTACGATCCATAATACGATGTACATACATCACCTTGTTGTCCCTGCAGCTCATGAGTTCCTAGGGGAACTTTTGTGATTAATGATCATTATTTGTACTCGGAGTGATCGTCAAAGGAAGAGATGCTTGGGTAACGTCAACTGCTAACCGATTACAGTACATAACACATACAAGTAGTGTCGTATCTGGCTGGCTCAACTCGAGATAAAGCACTTATTAATTGAAGCAGAAGTTAAATACTAGCGACATAAAGGCTCTCGATTTTGCTTCTTAATGGCGACCACATAACTTGGCGCGGACTCTGAGTTCAAATCTTTTTTGTGAGGGTTGCTTGGCAAGCCGTTGCATGCAAACTATGTTTATCTAATTTTAGGTTGATTGAAATTTCTGACTACTGCGCAAAAAAGCGCTAAAGTCTCGGCCGTGGTCGTGTCCATGGTGAAATTACATCGTATTCTCAGGTGCCGCACGTTAGTGCCAATTACCTCCTAGGTCGGAGATCCTTAGCGTGAAGTGCTGCAGGCTCGGCCCTGCGCTGATGTAGTGCAGGGTCGATTCTACAGCCATTTCAACCGCTCATATCCAGAGGTAGAGAATTTTTGCTGCCTACCCCATAAAATACTCGACGCCTATTAGAACTAGTCTCGCTCTATCGAACATCGCTACGTTATCAGCAGCTGCAATAACACGTCACCCCGGTGATACTTCAATCGATATAACGGTCTTGGATGTGTCTCACTATGCTAGAGAGCACCTCCACGCGCACTATAACCGCTTCTGGACATTGGGCTACCAATCGTACTCTGTCCTCTGGACCAGCCAGATATATGAGATTTTTCCGCGTGCCTTGTTGACCCGGCGTAAGGTATGTGAAAATTCATTCTTCATCATCGCAGAGGCTACAGCCTTGTTTAGACTAAGTCGTCAGATTGAAATCAAATGCTATAGAGAGAAGTTTTCGTAATAGAAAGCTGCATCAATTTTGATAAGCACCCCACTCGGAGAATTAACGAGTCCGTGTGCATATCGAAATTCGCTCAAGTAGCTGAATACGTCTTGCTTTTTTACTTCAGGATTGACTTATATTAAAAATGCTCAGCTTTGAGAAGTACAATATCAAGTGAATCTGGCTCAGCCAGACGCAAGAATCGCTGCGATTTTCAAAGCATAATTTTAACTAAATTTTGAATGTGATTCGTCAAAGTTGCGAATGCTGAGCCCGGTCGAGCTCTTACCCACTAATGAGCGCAAGCCTTCCATTATCACTCATCGAAAATGAGAAATCAGAACACGCTCCGCAAGCGCTTTCTTAATCTGCAAGTGACCATCCTCAGAAGTACCTCATGTGCCGGGACAAGCAGTTTGTTTTCTCCTTAAAGAGTGTCCTCAGGCATCCGGTGCTATCGAAAGTATCGAAAAGTATATTACTCAAATCGCGCATTGAGTAAAAAATGCGCTTCGCTTCACCCGCCCGACGGCTCTGCAAGTCAGCTGCTGCGTAACAAACATCTCATTAAACGTCCAAGTCTGCGAGGCGGACGTTTACCATCCTTAATATAGCTCTGCTTATCTCCGAGAGCATGCTGTTAAAGCTACATGCCACTTTCACAATTGAAATAAGGCTGGATCCGACCGCTTGCCCAGAGCGTTTTGTGCTATACAACCTGTCTTATAGCATGAAATGATGTTATAGATTTTGTGCAAGTCGTAGGTAGCAATGGTGTTAAGACAATCTTGCCCAAGTAGAAAATCAAGATTTAATAATTTCTCGAAGTATGAGTATGCCCTCTGCTTAATCAAGTACTGGCTGGCCCACGGGTCGACGATCGGCTCCGCATGGAAGTAGCAAAGCCAATCAATCTGATCGTGTAGCTCAGAAATCATAAAAATATTATACCGCCTTCACGACTAACATTAGAGCCGATGTCCGAGAGAGCTCACGCGCGCTATTTAAGAGAGGGACGTCATCCACCGTCTCTGTTCGAGAGCAAATACGGTTGTCTTAAATACATCTCGTTTAAGCTCGAATGGCCATTTGCTCGGGTAGTGAGGGCAGAATTCCATCCTCTACGACTAACCCAGTCGCTTTAATCACGATTTAACAAGCTATTTTTCACACAGCAATGTAGATTCAACCCTCCGCACAGTATGTGCATCATACGATGGTTCTAAACCAGCAGTTCTGTACGTGACAGTTGTTGAACATCTATAATATCATCTGAATCGTGCCATTCTACTCGTGACTTATATCCGCGGTCTATGGTAGGTCTTGCTTTGAAGACCACGGCACTGAGCTTCTCTTAACCGACCCCACAGAATAAGCTCTGGAGTACGCTGCATAAAGTCGTTCTGATATGTCCCACTAAAACGAACTCTTTGAGATCTCAGCTCACAGCTTTACTTGTCCGTATCACAAAATATGCACTTAGTATATATTGCAGTATATGATCTCTACTTCCCGACTTGTTTATAGACCGCGACTCACCGCCTATTTGCCTTACAAGACTATCTCAAGGCGAGCATTGATGCTTACATCAAACAGTCATGGAACATACTGCAGCTTAATGCTTCCGCTAAAGGGCTTCCTTTTTACTTGAATAGGTAGCTTCAATACATCTGTAGGAGTAACGCGCGCTGTACTCAGTGTGTACCTTCACACTTCATGGGTCGTGGCCTTCCATTCACACCACATTTGGTATTAAATAAACTTTTGAACTCATTTCTATGACCAAAGTGCGCACCACAAAAAAGCATCAAAATACACCACAGGAAGGATGAAAATCTCGACGCATTGACCGGTATCTCCATCGCAATCATTTGTATTCGGCATCATCAATTTCTCCCTATATTTTTGACCCCGCGCGTCGTACATCATTGCAAGATGCTCTTGATTCTATTAGGATTTCACACGGCTTCACAAAGCTCGGGACATTGCTGGCATCCAACAACACCAGGCTATGTGCTTCACATCTCTTGAAGAGAGCTGCTTCTATTAGATTTGGGCTCCTTTGGCCTTGACACACAAGGAACAAATCAAACTGTTCTTTTCTGCCCTGTGCCTACCAAGTCTCGGCATTCGTAGTGAGTGGTTTTTTTGGTCGCCCCAGCACTAGACGCGACCCTTCGACCCCTCAACAGAGGAACACACAAATTACAAAGCTTGAGACTATCGATGTAACATCTGTATAACCACGGTGCTGCTGAGCAGCCAAGAGTCACTCTTTTTCCGAGGACACCGCCTCTGCCGTACCTAAAGATCCCCCATTTCACTTTAACCGGCACTCGTGGCACGGGATTTTTGCTCCGCATTGAATGCGACGCCAATCACTTCACCGAAAGAGTTAGGATGAATGCGGAAGGTATTTCTACGAATCGCACCGATATGAGACCAATCGTAGAAATGGTCACTGTTACTATCTTCGATAGAGGATTTGCCGCCACTCTAGGGTGTTGAGCTTTTGGTTTATGGATATGACCCGGTAGTTCTCAACTACCTTGACGGGTGGACGGACAACCTTGATCTCACATCTTACACCTGATTAGACGGTGTGAATACATTTGGCGTCTGCTGCTTAAACAGCACCCACGTCACAAAAGCTTCTTCTTCGAATATATCCCACGTAAATGTCCATCTCGCGCGCATTCTCCTAGCTTGGAGACCACACAATAGCTCCGATTGATCATGACCAAATGCATGGCCATCCTAGCCTCTCTTACTCGAGATAGGAAAATTCTCTCTGGTCTTTGCCCTCAGATAGCTGAACGGTTGGCGATAGTGAACTAACTAGGGATGTCGGTTGTTCTCTCACACTTGCGTTTGTGGAGGTGTCTCACCAGCGCAATTAAGTCGCTGGTTGAAGTTTGTAGGTGAGCAATTACTGCCTCTGCGTCAATGATCATATTTTTCCTTTAGATCAACCAAAAGTAGAAGGAACATTGAGCGTGTCTTGTTGTTCGAGCACAGAAACATGAACATATTGGGTAAAATATACAGTCAGGTTGACGACTGGTGCTATTAGATGCAACGAGGCCTCGTGCACTTCGTATTGAGGAAGATTTGACCCTATAATATCACTTCAGTCACACCCAGAAGATGAGCTCGTGCGCCTCGGATCGGAGAGTTTTTTTAAGTACCAAGTATACTAAGTCTCTTATTTTGCAATGATATATTTATACGTCAATTCAGCTTAAAATTGCAGTTCATATCTGTTTCACTTCTCATCACAATAAAACCATTGACATTGCATAGCGGGGCACCTTGCATTCGGGTTGCCGTGCACTTTGCACATAGGAAGCTTGACTATTAAAGTAGTCCTCGTTTACAAACGCGCTCAGAAGTTGGATTTGTGTGCTCCAATCAGGAGTGAAATGGAGAGCCACTCGGAAACTAAATTTTAGCCTGCTCTGGTATTTGAGAGTGTATATTTGTAGGATTAGTTCTATTTCGAGTACATATTTTTTCTCATGATAAATTTGTTATGTAAGTTTGATTTGTGGCGAAAAACCCATGTGTACCAAGTAGCCTTAAATTATACAAATTTTGCATAATTACAGCTATGTACTACAAATAATAACAATTCTACCAAATCTAAATACACAGCGTTACAGTACTGGTCCTGTTACACGGGTGTCCCACATACCCACCCTCATCACTTATCAGGTACGAATCATGCTACATCTCATGGTAAAGCTTCACCTTCGTATTTCTAAGCTTCCAAGGGATGTGTACGTACGTCCACCGTAACAGGTTAGAAAATTGTGCGTCCGTAACACATTTTGACCAAAAAGCCGACCAAAGATTGGCTAAATTAAGCGCTACACAACGAAAAGCAGCTTGAGCTGTTTAAGGTTTCACATCAGCACAAGTCGATAAGCATTGTCAGTACCGACAATAGCCGTGTATTCTCGCAAGCTGAGCCTCTAATGGTCAGCCGTAAAATTTCTATAGATAGCAGTATAAAGGCACATTTAGCAAGCGTTGATCAGTCACTTGAAAGATTTAATCAAAAAATTCTGTTACAATAACGGTGATACACAATATTTAATATTGTGAAAATGAATATAAATCCTCATATGGCTACAAATCTTGTTGGTGACTTGTCAGGACTACGAAAGATACAGTAACAGATCCGTCCCGTCGACCCACCGGCTGCTCATCATCCATAGATTTTCCCAGATACAAAGAATTAAGGGTCCCTCAGCGCTAGTGATGGTGGTCTCTTGGGACAACAGACATCTTCTGGTGCATAACATGCACGCACCATGTGATGCTTCGTATATTCGAGATATCAAGACATACGTCATAGATATAGATATACATCGTTCGCAATGCGTCACACATTAAGCGATAACCTCTTTCTTTTGATGAGAATTTCCTTAACAAACCTCTGAACGTACATATGATTCAAACGAGTACTGTCCTGAGTATAATATACTGGATTTTACAAAATAGAAACCGGTGTTGCAATCAAAGGTCAAATCAGCTTTAGAAATTGTCAAGCACTTCTTTAAAAGGATATTTACAGTACTTTTTTCCTTTAATTATCCATGGTAGCCAGTCTTGTACAGTACAAGAGCTAGAGTATACATCAGACAATGCAACTCAAAGCTTGCGTACATTTGCTTTACATAATTTGCAACCAACAGAAAGGTGCGTAGTGGTATGACCAAAATCTGCTTGTAACTGATGCTGACTGCCAGCGATCTCAAGACCTTTATCACTTGCACAGCTCTATTTTCTAATATACTCGAACTTCAGTTGTCAAATCTAACACTTGACACTTTACCTGTAGAATCTTATTCATTCTTGACATCCATTGATGTTGAAGTGATGGTCCGCCCCAATCCCCTTATTCATACTACGTACATTCTCAGAATCTCAAGGCGCCTTCCATCACTCCAGCCACACAAACCAAATGCCAGTTGTCACTTGCCAATTTGTCATCTCCATCGCAGTCCTTTAACCGATCCGGAACATCATTCTCATGGCATTTTTTAAACTGAAAAAGACGGAGGCTGAAAAGGCTCAAGAGCGTGAGCTTAAGGAACTTAAGCGTGAAGCCAAGACACAACGCAAACAGGCAGCCAAGGAGCACAAAGCACAGAAGCGAGAAGTTAAACTGCAGCGCAAGGTTGCCAAGCGTCAGGAGAAAGAGGCTCAGAATGAAGCCAAACAGGCGGAAAAGGCAATTCAAAAGAGCAATCGGCAAGCTGCAAAGGAAGCAAAAAAAGCATCCAAGGTGGCACGCAAAGCTGAGAAGGAGCGTAAACGACTCGAGCGTCGTCAGATGCGAATTGAACAGCGGAATTCGACTGCCGTAGCTGCTGGTGGCGTAGCGATACCACCATTTGCTAAGAGTGATGGTTGCTACATTTGTGGTAAAGAATTTGGAATTGTAGTGCATCAACGTCGCCATCATTGTCGCCAATGTCGAAAAAGCTGCTGTTTGCGTTGTACAAGTCGCACACGTCGTGCTGTACCACAATACGGACTTGTGAAACCGCAAAAAATCTGCGTGGTCTGTGAGACACTAGGGTCTGATGAAGAGAATGTGAATGCGGTAACAAGGTCGCAGCCACGTGAACCCGCTGAAGCCGTTGAAGCACTTGCATCCAGTGGCCGTGCATCGCGGCGTCCACCAGTCTCACCTACGACTGGTGTAACGATAACCATGCCACAGTCGTCACGTGGCCGTGTACGTAGTAGAAGTGGCTCATTTTGGAAGCTGCCCATTCGGCCACTAATGAAAAGGAAAAGAAGTGCCGAACAATCACGCAATCGAAAGCTTGATCTCGATTTGCAATTGGAAAAGCATGCAATTTTAGGAGCACGCACAATCGAGTTGCAACCGCAGGTGATTGCTTCGACTACGCCGTAAGTGCGGAAAAGACATAAGGGAACGTCGAGAAGGTTCGGAGGGACTGATTGTTTCCCTCATAGGGGTTGAGTGATGTATAATGCATATTTGTATGCCACCACCTCCAATGGTAGAGGTGCGGGCGTTGATATTGTAAAAAAAATTATTGCATGAATGTTCTCGCTCTTTGGTTGAAATTACATATGGGAGGATATTAAACTCATGTGGGTTGCACTGCTGGGATGCAGTCGACACATCGCAACGTCAAACGAAACGACATGGGGCTCAAATTTAAAGCCAGGTCTATTTCTTTCCCCTTGATATTTAACCGGCTTTCGCACGCAAGGTCCGTACCGGATCTTGCCAAAAATTATGGGTGGCCGACCCATGGCATAATCCGGATACAGTTAGATAGCCCATGATACGCCCAGTACCTTGGACATAATCACAAACTGCGACATTATATATTACTATATGAAAGTGCTAGAAGGTTAAAATGCAGCTCTAAGAACACTGATGATCAATTTTCACAGGCATCAAAAGGCTATTGAGCAGGCATTGTAATTTTGAAAATCCCACGTGATAGTTGCCTGTTTGGCCTCGTTTCACTCGATAAATTTGAGAGCCGAAAGATGACAAAGTTATCATTACGCTGCTTTCAACATCATTTATTTTTAAGGTACGTTCTTTAATAAGGAAATAAGTCATGATGTCTATGACTTACGACCATATAAAATATTAAAAGAAAAAGTACATTAAGCTAGAGTATATTTCTTAAAAATATCAAATCATCGGATATCAAAACGAAATATCATTCGAGCTGAAAGATAAGCATGCTATTTTAGTAATTACTTTTACCGATAGATTCTAATAAATGATCTACTTCCTAAGATCACGTTTTGGTGCTCCTGAGCGACAATACACACAACATTCAATGATCAATCAATAACTTATCAATCGTGGTGAATTCGCATGCATGACTGACGTGATATTCATCGCGTTTAGAAATGAGCGAGGCCGTCAGTGTAAATAGCTCTTCATTCACTTGAATATTAAAAAAACGCTAGCCAGACCACTCCTTTGTCACAGAAAATAGTCATCAAATTCTTTTGGGAATCTAAAGCATCACGGTTGCGCCATTAATAATCGACGCTAGCGGCAGAGGGAAAGGTTGTACGTAAGGTAACGAAGTAAGACATTAAAAAAAGAGTTAAATTTCTGCCAGAGGAACTTGCAACTTGAAATACTTTAACCAGCATAAATGATGATACGAGTTTTTGATTCGTCGAAATCCAGCTCTCTTTAAAGGCTTTGAGGTAATCAAACACAGAAAATCTCCCTTAATATTTAAAGAAGCTATTATCTTGGTCTTATCACTCAACTCTATTTCGACATTTTCAAATGTGCCAAATTCTAAAAATTAGATAGAAGCTGGATGCATCATCCTTTGCTATTATTGTATCTGAATGGCACTGTTGTATTGCGCTGTGGCTTGTGACCTTTGACAGGGGTAGCTGTAATTTGGTCGGGGTAGGATTAAGAACGTACCCATTTACATGATGTATATCAAAATATGCGTAATACTGCTAGCATATAGTGGTCACTTTGTAGAAAAGCTCTTCACACTTCAAGTATTCAATGAGAAACAATCAAGAGACCGTCTTGCTACCTATAAAAGAGCAAGAATCTTGTGTACTTAAACCTTTAATTGATACAGTATTGTACAGTTGTACGCAATTTACATAACACACTTGGTGAATTTATTTACTATCATGGATTCCGAAAGCAACGGTATTTATGAAGATGATCGGATTTTGAAAAGGAACAACGAAGACATTTTTTTCACTCAAGTAGCGGATCGTACATATCTTGAGAAAAACTATTTAAAATATATACTCCTGAAATAGCAAAGCAAACGAACAATGTTCTTTGTTACTAGGCTGGAAGGGGCGTACGAACCCAATTTCTGTGCGTTTGTAAACTCTGAGAGTCAAAGTCCCCTCTGTGCAATCCTAAGTCAATCTTACGACCAAGTAATGGAAAATCTGTGCGAGAATGGAACACGGAATGTATGAATACCTGTTCCCGGGACAAATGGATCAATTAAACAGGCGTTATCTATCTGAAGTCCCGAAGAGTGGCGGCCAAGGACTGGAAACGGTATTGCTTACCCAGAGGTACTCACCAGTTTAAACCTGCGATAATAAAGCGCGCCTAAAGCATCTTAGCTTGGTGCCAGTAGAGATACAGAGTGTTCTCATTAAGACCTTCGATGTTGAGCGCCAAGATCTTTTAAGTCAAAGCTCAGAAATACTTTTCGTTTGGATGAGGAATCTTCCGACGACCACAAACGCGTCCTTGCTCCAAACGGAGCCACAGTGCATCACACTTGCGATCTCCAAACTAGGACTCAAAAGCAAGACAGACATCCACGTGTAAACCTCGGTAAAATGGAGTTCCCGACTTAGGGTGTCTGAAACGACAGATGTTGCGAGTGTTCACACTACAAAACCAAGCGTTTTGTTTGAAGTTCTTGCCCACCCGTCAACAAAATCGAGAAGTGGCGAGTTATGCCCAGGAATTTGAGCTTGCATCCCTGTAATGGTGTCTAACTCTCTTCCGAAGGTGTTAACGGGTCTTTATGAATGATCTCAGAATGGGCGCGGCTCGCACCAAAACCTTCCGCGTCTACCCTACTACTTTAAAGAAAACGGCGAGTGTCGTATTTAAAGCAAGTTACGTCTGATGCAGGATAGGGGTCTGAGAATGTAAGTGATGCGAGCGCAACAGAGGCGATGGACTTCAGCCATGTCCACGAAGAAGAGACGGAGATCCTAGCCACCAAGCGACTACGCGGCACATGTAGATGTTTCACCTGCAGTAGTACGGTCAGGGGCGGACGACGATCTTCACACATAGAGACGTTAAATCCATGTAGTTCGCATTGCGAATAATGAGAAATCCCCGGCCTCTGTGATACCTCGAGGTATTTGCACTCAATAGGAGTCAGCCCTAAAGTAACGGCTGTCTCAAAAATACGAAAATCTACAAAAAATATAGGGGCTGTCGGTTTTAGTATCAACGACCCTGTCTTGATTAATACATATATGTGGTGCAATATTACGTATGAAGCGGGATTTATAAAATCAGAAGACAGAATGCGAAGGTATTGGAGATACCAATTACGATATATATGCATAAATACGATATACTTGTGACTAGTGACGAGACACTGGAAAAAGTACGAAAGAATATTTTGAACCTTCAGTGAATTTTGAGTACTTTGCTTTCGCGGAACGTTGTCTTTTTCTGGATCCGGAGATAAAATACACTCTCATGTTTAATATGGCGACGCCGAAACGCCACGTTGTGTAGAATGAAATAGTTTGGGGCTACGCACTTACCACCTGGTGGGGTATTCAGGAATATTGAACTCTCCTTCGTCGAAAAACAGAAGCGCTATGGCGCGGGCATTAAGCCATTCTAATATCGTGCAGAATACATGTTTAATATTGGTATTGTCGATGCCTCAGGATTGGGATGGCAGAAATAACTGTGATCCGAGGTCTCATGATACGATGGAAAAGGGCGATTGTATGACTCGGTCTTCAGAGTGTCAATATGTTGAGACGGAAAAATACGACTGCAAGTCGTGTTTGCCAGACTATCTTTACCATGATAGAATGCATACGCTCTGAGCTGCTGCCTTCTGATTGAGGGCCGGTGGAGAGTGAAAGCGAGTGGATGCCGCGATCGCTTGTAACAGAAACGGTGCAACTGATGGGCGAATGTAAGTAGTGAGTAGAAGGGTCAATTACTGACGATGTGATGAATGATTCATTAATGTGACGATTGTACTCCCGTCTGACGGGTCCACCATGTGAGCTTATTCGGTATTTGGATAGCGAGATCATCAATTCCTGTATGGATTGACCGGGTAGCTCGAGGGGTTGTAAGTCCCCCCTCACCATCTCCCGTAGAGACTCGTATAGAGTCCAAAAGTAAGATTGGGGGGATCTGTACAAGGGATTGCATGACGGTACGGTCATGGAGGGAGAGCTGAGCTTGTTATTCGGCATTTGACATGACTGCATCTGTCCTTAAAAATACATGAAAAACACCAGTGCAAGAAGAACTACTTATCTACGGCTATTCAACGATTTTTTATGTATGCCCTTAATGATCTCACTAATTTTTTTATCCGGCTTAAAGGTCGATCACGACGGTGTACCGAGACCCACCAAGCATGTCAATCTCGGATAGGGAAGTGCATCATGAGCTCGAGCTTGTTCTCGAAACCAAATTTGGCGTCATACGGCGACGTCTCCTTTCTAGGGATCAGTGCGACGTCAGTGATGATTTCTTCCATGCAAAGCACCAAGCGGCGTTGCTGACAGAAGGAGTAAAACTCCCCACCTGATCTTGACCTTCTTTATAACAAAGACCGGCAAATCGTGCTTTTGCGATAAGTCAAATACAGCTATAATTTTGGCGCAAGGGCTGATTTCTAGAAACGTTATGGTGCAGAACAGCAGAGGTTGACGTTTGTTCAGTGCCCTCGACCTTATTCATGGATTATATCAACGCCTGACGTGTGACAGCGACAACACTCTCACTGTGCAGGGAACTCCATTCAACATGCTCTAGGATTGGACAGGCACGCCACAGGGACTTCCTGACGCATCAGTGCCGTCTAACTAGCAGGTGACATAGCTGTCAAGGCCATATCGTGGCTATATAGACACATAGTTGATGATACATCCTTCTATTGTTGTGTAGAGCACAGAAAACAGGACGCGGAGAACTAATTAAACACTTGCGAGCAACACTTAAGTGTATGCACTTAATAAGACACTAGCCCAGATTGGCAAGTACGATTTTGGCACAAACGAATTCATTCATGGATGTCTCGCTGGGGAGCATAGCCTACGGGCAGGTCCCATATATGAGAAGGTAACTGTTGATTGTCCAGGGCCTCGGCCCTAAGAGACTATAATTATATGGATCGGCCAGACCGACTACTTGCACGCGTATAGTTTCTACTTCCTTCGATGAACCCCAGCCCCTCAACAATCTTCAAAGAAAAAGTCAAAAAAGCTGGACGCGGCAAAGGAAAGACCGGAAGCCTTTTACGTGCTCCTACTTTGGCTTTTTTACATCAAAATCAGCCATTCCGTGTCGTCTGCAACGCTTCAGCCCTCGCGACAGGTTGCGCTACACTAAAACCAGATGTGAATGGTTTCGAATGCGTGATCTAGCTTGCGTGACAGGAAGCTACTTGCAATGAAGTATGCCTTCATCAAGTTCAGAGTGCACCTCATTAGCGTTACGGTACCTCTCAACTAATTACTGAGCGCTCCGTGCCTGCTCCCTGCGACGGAACGTATTACGACACCCAGCCGCGGAACTCACAAACATGTTCAGCTCATCCAAATTTACTGAAGCGCAATCCGCGTTTCAGTTCTCCCGTCAGCAAGTACAAGATTATTGCAGACCAAACTTCGTACACATGGAGTGCAGTGGGGCTGCCTTAGCTCTTTGCTTAATGGAAGGTCACCGACGTTACGCTCTATACTAGAACCAGTATGAGCGTAGCGGATCGCAATTCTTCACCTCCAAGAGTACCCAAAACCTTATTCCAATTCAGAATTGCGACTGAATTTATCTGTTTTGTTTGCGGCGGAGCCCCCTTTATCTAATAGCTTAGGCTTATCTGATTAAATAGTAAGAAAAAACTAACTAATATGTAAAACTACTGGCACGTAGTGGCTTCTTGTTACAGTGTAGCAACACCATTGTGTAATTGCATCGACTTGTGTAATCCACACCTTTGTACGGTCATACATATTGTATGACCCACCCTTTCACATCAGGGTACGTGTAACCACGTTACATAAAGTCAATCCACCAGAAGTCTACAGCGGATCCCGTATACACACTATGCGTACATACCCTTCCCTTAAAGCGAGACAAACAAGCGCTCGAGATAGTTTCAGGAGGAATGTCTCACCTCGCATGTTGCCATTCTCTAAGTATCGGCAGCAGCTGTCGAGCATTTTTAAAACAGGGTAATTACTGCGCGATTGTGTACATATATCCTACATTTTTGCACAATCGTTCAATATGTAAGATTACATTCATACTGAAATCGTATACATTTTTAAGAGGTTGCAAGCATTCTTTATCAGCAATTTACCGGGACTGACAAAAATGATGGGGCTCTAGAAATGGGATGTCCAGTATATACGTGGGCTTTCAGCCGCATGCCAGACAGTAGAAAGTTTATATCAGCGACATAGACGTATCAAATATTAAATATAGCATTATTGCTGAATCTATATACTTTGAAAGGGCAGAGTTGACTAGACACTTAATCAAAAAAGGAGGATTTTTCGATTCTGCTCCTTGTCGGAGCTCACGAAGTAACCTGTGCGTATTCTTAATGCGAGCTTGTTGAGTCGAAAATTTTACAGCGCAATATGAACAGCAACCTCCCACACATGGCGACCCTTGTATCCAAAGTCATGACCAAGTTGTGAAAGGTATGGATCGTCTTTGAGAATCGAACATGAAATATTCAAGCAACTTCCTTGGGACAATTAAACACTTGAAATCTTGCTGGCGACGAAGGGCCATGGAACTGGTGGCCCAAGGGCCAGTTGCGGCAATGGCTCGTCTTAAAGCTGTCGGAATGCGCTGAGGGTATACCTACAGGTGCCCGAATCAGGCTTTGTCAGGAGATCAGCTTGCACCGACCGACAGGCCGCTGATGCTAAGCGTCATTTTCTATTAAGTATGCTTCTGTAAAGCTCACGATACCCTTTTGTGAAATATACAGGTCATGCATCGTTACGCATAGCAGCGTTATCACGTCTTCATCACAACACGTCGAATAATATCTGTTTTATTCACTGACGGAACGCGTTATAGGTGCTGGATAGTTTTTTACGATGGACCTCCGCAGAGCGATCAAAGTGCTGGAATGACATGGCTTCGCTCTTTTGGTCTACGTTAAATAGCGAAACTATTTAGTATTTAAATAAAATAACTATTTTGAATTAAAAGTGCCTAAACAAGTTTAGCAGTATTATCTATACAATTGTCTTGAGTTCCCTGACACTTCCACGCAGATATTCCAGTCTTAGCAGAATTTCACTGATCGACATGCTAAGACTTAGTCTTCTTACTCACCTTATAGCTGAAGCAATGTAACGGGGTCACACAAGATGGTGTGATCACACAATAGCGTGGCTACACTTAAACAACAAGTCAGTACGTGGCTGGAACAGCTAGTAGTTATATATTTAATTAGGTTTTACTATACAGATAGAAGAACCTATAGGTTTAGGTAAAGGCGGAAAATATACTTTACAGTTTTGAACGGAAAAGTTAATGAGCCTTGGCTTAAGGTTGTAGTCACTCTTGGAGTAAGCGGATTGCGATCCGCTACACTCGTACTGGTTCTAAGTTTAGAACGAAGGTCGCCGACCTTGAATAAGTTTCGTGTAAGCGAAAGAGCTACGACAGTTCCGCTGCAAGCAACACATTTATTTGGAAAGTTTGCGCGTCATGCGCCAAGTTAGCGGCACAATGGCTGAAAGCCACGATACCTAGAACCATCCTGCAGATTCCAAAGGAAAACAAATTGTTGTGTATAAAATTTGTATCAGATACTGTTAGCTCGCCTACTTGCGCAGTACCTGCAGTTCTAAAGCAAATTTGCGTCATAGCCGCATTTGGTCATGTGTAGTTGTGATCATTATGAGATAGAGGTATACACAGAAAGTCATCAAAGAAAAGCAAACACATCTTACGTACTTAAATCCATACCTACCCCACATAGATCGCTTGCAAGCTAAGCGATTGAAATTCGAAAATCCTACAGTCTCCTGTAGCTGCCGACCTTATGCTCCAAGGCACCAATTTAACCTTGATACCCATGATGGTATCTAAGCTAATTCGTCTGTCTTACAGCCCCGCGTAAAAATACATCTGCGCGTTGGGCACACGTTAAAATGAATGGAGAAAGTCGACACACCTTCACAACATCGAAATACCAAAAGATTCAGCTACGTCAGAAATGCCATACAGTGACTCTGCGCGTTGATCAACCTGATTCATTGAACTATTTTGTTCAGCCACACAAGAGAAATGCAAGGTGCACTGTCCACCTAGCTTTTAAATTGAGTTATGTGCTTATGGTATTATTCCCGAAACAGAGTACACAAATCTTCACAACTGTTGCTAATCCAGCCGAGATTGGTACTCCTGAGGATTGGTGGCCTGCGGAGTCAGGAAAAGCTCTTGCAAGTATGCGCTTAATTCCTTGAGGCCCTGTATAAGAGCTCTGCCGAAGCGCAGTGTGTGCCACGCATATTACACAGATAAAGCTTTGACTATAATAGTATTCGTCATGTCCAGCTTTCTCCTCCGCACGCACAAAAGTGTCACCGATTCATTCCCAGAATAAATAAATTCTTGTGTTTACGGTTTGCAGTTGCCTGAAGTGCTCACAGCGCTGGTGCGAAGTCCTTTCATTCCTATTCCTGCGGGCTATCCTTTCAAACCATGAGCGAGCGAGCGCGATAAACTCGCTCATGGAATTATTTCACATTCACCAATGATGACTCATCAGGAGTACCGTCTGCGCTTTGAGCAGCAGCGGTTGAGAAGACCCGTACCCTTCGTGCGAGTGCGCATGTGATCGAGAGTGCCGATGAATATCAAACCTGATTTGCGCACTGAATGAGAGAAAACCCACTGCGACATGCAACCCTGCCTATTTTGCAAGAAGGATGAAGACCGGGAGTACAGCCACGACACTGAATCTATCTTGCCCAACTGGTACCACAGACTCTTATGAGTTTTTCTTAATGTTTTCTTAAACTCGATCAGATACAAGAAAACAGAACTGCTGTACCCGCTCGCCAACCGAACTTTACTCGCGAAAGGGGTTACCGCGTGCTTGCGAGCTGTACAGGCGGTGATCAACCTCCTGTGGCTAGCTCTCAAGAGTTTTTTCGGTTGTGGTGGCATTCTGACTCATTCCATGATTCCGACGTGCGTACAGACCCGAGACATCATAGCATTTGGATTTATTTCCTGATCTTTGTCTTTGCACTGTCTAGATTGAAGCGCCTTTTAGCGGTTCAGGATTGCGGCACTATTATGAAGTAGCGCGTAGATCAACCACAAGGAGTAAAAGAGACGCCTGTCCGTTTGCAACAGATCGCTTCATATTCGACCGGCTCGAAAGAGCGATATCGCGGTTGATCCTTTGAAAGGTCATGTAGCAACACAGGATGTGTCCGCATTCTCCTTGGGATATTCAGAGGATAACACAAACACTTTTTGCTATTACTGTGATTGACCCGGTATAGCGCGATCACATCTTTGCCTTGTAGACCGCAGACACTGCATGTGTATATAGGTTGAACCAGTCAACATAGCCCTTTGCCTCACAACATATTCTTTGATAAGGTACTGTTGATCGTTAATGACTTGCTAATCCCTGGCCGATGCACGTTGTAGCACATGGAGGCTACCAAACCTTGTATGTGAAATGGGTAAGACGTGTCTTCAATAGCACGTGCTACGTTATTTAATGTAAACTCAATTGGAAGGAACGAATGCTCCAGTACCGCGGTCTCTTCGCACAAAATCTAAATCTTCTCACACGCAAATGAAGCGTCTGTCTAACCACTTGTCAGTTGTTGACATGTCGAACTTAATTACTAGTATCTGGGATAATACTCGTGAATACTAGCTGCAAACCTTGTATCTTTATTCGATACAATTATCACAGACAAGCAATGTTAGCGAAAAAAAATTGTCGAAAAACAGCTTGATTTTATTCCAAACGCTTTCAGTATCGTTGCTCCGATGATCCTTGAAGACTACAAAGCTGGCAATACAGGAAGTGTCTTTTTGTAAACCAACAATATAGATCTGCCAAAGCTCTGCCGGAACTGGCAAGCTGGCAAACAGCGCTGCCACATGCGGCGATAGTTTAACTCGTCGATATGTTTCACACCTGTGCATACATGACCTTACGCATGTAGTATGTTGGGCAACCAATATATAGCCCCTACCGAGCCAAACGTCTTTTCCCTCCGAGGTGGTAACCCAAAATGGCACCAATTGCCTCGTACAGTATCTATACTTGGAGTTCCCACCATCAAACAGCTAGACACGCTGAGTGACACGTGCGTCAGCAGGTCTTTGGAAACAGTACAACCAAGAGATTCGATAAAGCGGCATCTGAGTCCTTAAATATTTTGTTTTCCATAGCTTTAGCAACGCGGCACGTTTCGCGCCTGATCCGTACGCCGTATGTGTGGCCACATCGATTGGTGATGTATATATGATGATATTTAGTCAGGACGGCGAGAAAACGAAACCGCCACCACATCAAATCATTCAGACCTCTACCTCGCCTTAATAGTGTACTTGGCAAAGGGGTGATCATCTTGCATTTATCCGCGAGTGATGTGGTGACGACAACGCTGTGCGCCACGATGCATGTTCTGTATATTGAAAATATCTCAGCGTTAAGAAGCTGCTATCTGTCTCCTATTTCGGGCTTAGGCGCATGTTTGACGCGTCAGTCGCCGGTTCTTCAAAGGATCTTCAATCCATGCGGCGGCGTCGAAATAGGACTTTAATGCAAGTTGTGCCTATACACATTAGTAGTCGAAACGACGGGAGAAGAGTTCAATAACGGGTTCAAGAAACATACCCTACAGTCATTTGTGAAATGTTTATCTTCGTAATTTACCTAATCGTTACAGTAACATTGCGTTTGTACTTTATAAAATTTCGCAATATTTGCTTCACGAAGACTTCTGCAAGAATTTAAATTTATGGATGAATGTAGGAGGTGTCTATCGAGTCAGCAATAGATCATCTGAACTACTTCGTATACTATCCACGATTAAAATCGGGTTATCATAACAGGATATGATAAGTTTGCAATTAAAGCCGTAAAGGATCGATACTAAAAACAAGTTCGTTGCCATAACTTTTTGCAAGCAGTAACTCATTTAAAAAAATCAATAAGTGCGAGTCGCCGAAGTTTTTATTTGCTCTTTGACTTGTTATTACTATTGTCTAATCTTTTGGCATGTTGATCCACTAGCTCTTGTGTAGCAAGTTTTGTCCATTTGTTCGTCTGCTTTTGTTCGACGCTTGTAATCAGCTTAGTCAATCTCTTCGATAGCCTTAGCGACGGGTATTCAACAAGATAATAAGTCGTTGTTGAAAGTGCAAATATGACTATCAGCCTGGAGAAGAGTCGATCGAAATAATTTGTTTGCGCCATCAATACCGGATTATAAACAGCAAACGTATGCATCAAATAGATGGAAAAGCTGAATTTTCCCCAAGTGCAAAGCACATTCCATTCGAGCATTCTCGATACGCAGGAGGGTTTGATCATTTCAATCACAATAATTATTGCCAAGAATGCGCTGGAGTAAGGAGCACCTTTCAAATCAGGCATTGGATTCTCAATCACCCAAGTAAATAAGAGTCCTCGAAAAGTCACACTCAATAACATTGAGATAGCTAAGTATTCCACTGTACGAAGAAGGAGAGTGTGCCACCATCGAAAAACAAATCCAGTCGTTTGAATCCATGAGTCCATTTGAATGAAAACCACAGCTGCCACTGAACCTGTAAGGAATGTTGAAATGTGAGGTCTCAAAGGCTGGTGATCATCTCTATACGTGGTAAGCCCTTCATTCACGATCCACACCGAGAGCAAAAGTCCAGCTATCCACCATAGACGGCGTAGTCCTAAGACGACTAGGACAAAAATTGGTATCACAAAATAGTATGCAATCTCCAGTGGCAACGTCCAAAAGACAAAATAGCGATATTCAAAGTCAAACATCAGTGTCTTGGCTATATTTAAAGATGGTCCTGGATTATTAACAGCAAAGTAGCATGCTTGGTACTGGTCTGTCAAGAGTGATATTACAATCAGAGTGACAGAGAATAGTGGGTACACTCGAAAGAAGCGTCGCTGAAAGTAATCAGCTAGTGAGAATATCCAGGTACGAAAGCTGGCACCTTTCGCTAACAACTTTTGACTCTTTTGCATGAATATCCACGTGAGGAGATAGGAAGAAAGCACAAAAAAAAGATCGACGCCAACTGCACCAAGCGGGAGGTGCATCTCTAGCATGAACTCACGAGAATGATGGACAACAACAAGCAATGCTGCAAGGCCACGTGCACCGTCGAGAAATAGTACTTTTGTCTTGTGCTCGGGTGCTAAATGACATTCTGAAGCTTCCGACTTTGTTGATACACTGCTCTCAGCTTGATCTAGCGATTGCTGTTCATCTGCTCTGGAAGAAAACGGGAGAGTTTGTTGGTCCGTTGCACCTTCTTCAATTGTAATCAAATGTATTATCTCATCTCTTGAGTCACCACTTGATGTGTTCTGTAGCATTTCGACTGTTTTTCTTCGTATGAAAGAGAAATGAAAGGCAAACTTTTGATTAGGAAGTGTTTTTGTCGTAAGCACCGACCACATGGAATCGTGTCATTCGTCAAAAGAGAGCTCTTACGTTGTCCAATAGCTTCATCACTTGGGATCCTATCGTTCATTCGCAACGACATGGCCAGGAACTCTTCAAAGATTCGCTCGACCTATTTCATACGGTATATGAAACGCAATGGCCGTCACTAATGAATGATCACGATGATTTGGAAGTGCCCTTCTATGAGTCGCATAATCATGTAATAAATAGTGCAAGGTGCGCTACATTGTAGGTATTGAGATGACGCCACTCAATTCTGTTAGGAACGATGCTGCGTCTTTATGTCTGTTGAAACGAATTTTTTAAGGCAGAGTAATTTGACATAGTTATGACACTATTAAGATGAGAAAGACATAGCATAATAAGCTTGTCACTTCGGGTATTACCATTGAATCAACAGTAGGGCGTAAGACAAGAATCGTTGTCATTGTTGTGAAAAAGCTCGTGAATACCAGCCTGCCAAAATGCTACAAGCGATTATACATGATGTTGAGATGTGAAAATTGCGCTTGAATGGGTAACGTGGATTCAAATGAAGTGCAGGATACAATTCTCTTTTCTTCCTTCATGTAAATCTGGTTGGCAAATGTGGCCGAGAACCAACCACGAAGGTTTTCGCACATGAGCTTAGACTTTTATCTTTTCTATTATGTACACGTAAAGTGTGTATGAATCTGATGCTAGGTCGCACGGGTCTTTATCACAGTCAACCTGCTTGTATATACCTGTCGTCCGTCCAGCCTCCTTCATAGAGCTCACATTAACGAGATTACGAAGAGTGCTAGATTTCGTGCTGGCGACTGTAGACGATGATTCTCCACGAGACTTCGTTTGTAAAACACAGCAGTAAAATTATCCTGAGTTCTAGCAATGTTAGCTGTTTAAAGTCACGACCAATCAAGGTCAGGATTAGCAGCCAGTGATCACGTACATGTATCAAGAGCTCCGTTAGCTCTCAATCCAACGATTCTCAAGAGTCGACTGCAGGTCTTGAATTATAATCTTGAAGAACAATTTGGGTACAGTACGTCTCCAATACACCGGCAACGAGACTCGATGTGGCGACTCTACAAGAACAATTGGATCCCTATACTCCTGCGATAGAGACAAGCGTGTATGTCTTGTATATGAAAAAACTTTACGCCCAATGTCTTAGTATGTTGCATCTCATTTCTGACACAGTTTTACTTGGAGCATGTGCTTCGTGTCACTTTTAAAGCTTGCATGACAATTGCAGCGTATCAAATGCTGTTCGAGCGAGTCTTGCGTTTGACAGGCGAAAAAAAAGCGTTTATGGCAGCTACATATTTGTTCTTACGATGGAAAATGGCATCGCTTGACATCGCAAATTAATGGGCTGAGCAAGCTACGACTAGAAGACGACAGTAAGATATGGGAAGTACAGTTGTTGAGAACGAATAATGAACAGTTTAAGGCCAGTCTCGAGACCCTTCTAAGTATTTCATTTAATGTAAAAGGAGTAGTGTATCCTGGCCTGCTTACGGTAAAAGCAGATTGTTCAGGTCCCCAAAAATTTCAGGATGGTCCATCCTCGCCACGATTTAGCGATACCGCTTAGTCATCACCTTTGTGTGAGTTTCACGTGAATTCCCGCAAAATTTTTGCAGGAAATCTTAATCACATGATCCTAAGGGTTTCAATATCATATCAATCACATTGAGTAAGTGGTGGTGTTTGTGCAGGACAATGAGGTCACCGACATAGTACAGATGACACCGGAGTTGGTGCTGAGCTTGTCACCCGTCATTAAGGACACTCACTCAGCACTAAGTCCGAGTTGTGGGACAGCTATCATCAATGATTCTACAAATCCTATTTATCCTTTTATATAATATCAAGACGTGGCGACAAGCGGTCCGACACGCGTGAAGACCTCAATAGGGGTGTACGTCATGAAATTGACCTGCTTGCTAGGTCCAAATACTGCGTCACAAGACAATGGCCTTTACCGAAAGAATATAGGAAGTCATAGAATTTTTGCCGCGCGAAGTTGTTGTAAGAAAGAGTAAAAATTCCCATTTAGCGCCAACCCAGTGTGTCTGAAAAGTAAACAGCAAGTGGTGAATTGTGCATGCGAATAAAAAGATAACTACAACCATGATGTGGCGCGATCGCCGAATTTTAAAGAGGATTGCTTTAGAACAGCGTAGCCGACTAGATTTGGTTCAGTGATCCTGACCAAGTTGATGTGTATAATCAACTGTTTATATAAGACAACCAACTTTTTTTGCTGAGCGCAAATTCCAAGTGGAATGCTATGAAAAGATTGGTTATGTCACAAGGCCTGCAACGGGGTCGCCGTGCACTTCGCAGCAGGAAGTCTGAATCAACGAGTCCATGTTTACACACGCATAAAGATTGGGCTCGTACGCTCTAACAAGGAGCGCAAAACTGAGCCTATCATGTAACGAGTTCGTTGTGATCTCTCTCTATACGGAATTGTCTTTATGCTTGACGTTCTACGGACCTCTACGTTACGGAACCCAACTTTTTTTTACTAATTACCGATACTTTGGTATTTATGTAATCACAATTCCACAGTGTGTTATGTGAATTGCGCACATTCCACAGTATCAGATATACACCATTGCCGAAAAACGTAGGATTTGTGAGTCAGCAATTACCTCATTTTGAAAACACTCAACTGCTGCTGTCAGAGCTCATGAGAAGATGTGACGTACGAGGTCAGTTGCTTTAAGAATACTTAGAGCAACTTCTGTGTTCAGGTCAGTTGCTTTAAGAAAAATTAAAGCAACTTTTGTGTTCATGTATAGTTGTGTAAGCATCCTGCATTTTACTCCCGATAGCTTGCATCTATATTTATGACTTGATTTAGCGTGCGAGATTGGAGCGAATCGTGTAATTGCAGAAGGAAAAGATCGGTGCGTGGAACCAGATCCTGTTAGTCAGTAGCTAGACATCGTTGTGAGTTCTGCGGAGTCTTATTCAATAGCCCTTCGCCGCAAAGAGCGAGCCTTACTCGCGCAGATGTATAGCGGGACTTATATATCGGGAAACTTTCATATGCCTTTTACTTGCCGGTTTGGCAACCTCAGTTGCCTCAATGAGTATGCAAAGCGGAGCAAATGATATACTAATATTGTGTACTTCAACATCACGCAAAGGTTATAAATGTACTAGATAACAGTAATGATAGCCTTACAAATTCTAGGTTTTGCTATAAGCGCGCCGACTCAAACTCTCTGCGTTTGTTAGCGCCGACTCTGTTTACTCAAGCTTTCTCTGCACAACAACAACATTGCTCTAGGTAGCGTTTGAAGACAATTCCGGACCGCTTCGTGAATGTAGTTGTACCCTACGTGCGGATAGAGTATAAAATGTTTTATCACTCATCCTCCAGACAAGTAGACCAGCTAAATGAGGTGTTTGTTTGTTTCGGGATTGAATCGGATCTAGAAACGGCGGTCAAAGTATTGAAAGCGGTTATCGCGCGCTCACCAGCTTTGATATCGCGGTGAAGAGGCAGTTCCAAGAGCGTCTGATTGGGTGCCGGTCAAGGAACATATGATTTTAACCGTGAGACCGCAAGTGTTGATCGTCCTGGCCTTTGAGATTCAAGACTTTTTGGTATAGAAAAATTCAGTAGCCACGAAGCTAGGAGGTAGCTCGCAAGAATGGACACTGGTGTGCAATATCTCTGTAAAAAGGCGTCTCCACCGTGTGACGATTTGTCGCGATGTTGCAGATATTTGCATTGCCAATCTTGGCGTATTGAGTTCGTATCAACCCATCGAAGGAAGCACACCCCGAGGTGTAGCCTAAACCTAAGGGCTCACATCGCTGCAATGACGTCTGACCCTCCTCTGGAAGCTATAACGCTCACTTTCTTAAAGGAGGGTCGGCATAAGGGTGTGGCTCCGGTCGAGAACTTTCTTTACCTAATCGTTTTCGAGGAAGAGGTGAACGTCGTGATTAGTGCGAGATACATGTTCTGTGCAGCGCGGTGCAAAACGCTGGTACTAGGATCGAAGAGTCTATGATAGATCCCTGTCATACTGAGGAGAGAGATGTTTGAGCGCTTTATGGAAGCTTTTTATTCAGATGTTTTATCTGCGGTAAACTAAACATTCGCACTTTACGTTTCCTTATTGCTCTGGATTGAGAGGTACGAAGTGTCAAACTCCGACTAAAATTGGACGACGATGCTCTAGCGGAGAAGCATCGATTCCCCGTAGGCGCAAAATGGCCTGCTGGAAAAGAAATGGGTTTAGATGTAACATATTGAGGTCGTGGTCTTTAGGAATCAGTCACAAAATGGGCAAATCTATTTAAGATAGGTAACACTCTCCGCCTCGGGTGCTGGTTGTTTTTTAATATCATAGACTTTATAAAGCCGAGAAATACCTAAACATCTTTAGGGCGTGCAACTGTCGAAAACAATAGACGGTACGCGGGGGCATTGATAAGCCAAACACGGGTACAATAGTCGCATTCTTTGCAACAGAGACAATGATTGAATGCCAAATGTTATGTTGATCAAGTTAGGTTTGAGGATTTTGTCTGGGTGGAACGTTGCTCTGTCTTGACCTGGATGCAAGATACGATTTTATCCCAAGTAAAGTGAGGCTAGAACACCACGAGCCATTAATCAACTTTACATCGAGAAAGTTAGGTACCACGCACTTATTCACATCAGGTGAAGCGCAGGCGATTTGAGCCCTCTGTACTGGAGAGTATGAGCGCTTTCAGCCCAAGCACGAAGCTGCGATTTTTCGTGCAGGACATGATATTGTTCGAGCTGACTAGTTGTGATATCACTGAGTATTTGAAGCAGATCTCGGAAGTCAAAAGGTGCAGTGTGCCGTGTTCTCAGGATGGGACAGAAAGAAGCTACAGTATACTGCGGTCGAGTCGGAAATGAGAGACTGCATGTCGCGGCTCTTAAACATTTTCTCTTGTGGAAAGGTTAATCTTAAAGGGTAGTGTTGAGGCCGGGGGGGGG